ATCTCTCCTCTCTCATCTCGCTCCTTTCTCTATCTATCTATTCTCGGTGACAAGTTTGACTGCAGGTTCACCTGTAAAATCGACAAGGGTGAAATAAGATTTCAATTCTGAAATAAGATTTCAATTCTCAAATAATATTTCGATTCTCAAATAATATTTCAGAAATCTAAATTAATCTTCGATATGTCAGAGGGTTGTTCGGAAAACTCGTTTGACTCAAGTCCTCCTCATCCAATGCTCGTACGTGTGTACAGCGCCGGAAGTTTAGTGACCATGACCACACATGAAAGTCTCTTCCTCTGTCCCTTGTTGACAGTCGTATGTTTCTCATCAACATCAACCACGCGTTTGAAAGCTTTGCGGCAATGTTGTTTGATCCACTTGGCGGGGACTGCCTTCTCGTTCTTCCCGCTAGCACTGAAAGAGGCAGCTGCATAGGCAATGGTTGGCTCAGACAGACCTTCCTTCCTTGCCTGTCACCATGCGTCACTTAGAGCAGCGAAGAAACCTAATGCAGGGATAGGGAGCGCTTGCTATCTACACGTTCCCAGGGAGGAGGAGGAGGAGGAGGAGGTTCAAGAGTTCAGAAGGGATAGCAGAAATGATCAGAAGAAGGTTGAGGAGAAGGAGACTGACGGCATTGACACGATTCTTTCGATGTGCAAACAGGACTATGGTGGTGAGAAGAATACAGGAGGGAGACAAGAGGGAACAGAAGGGGAGATGAGGATTGCAGAAAAGGGAAGAAGTAGGGAAGGGCATTTTATCTGTTTTGCATGATGAATCATCACTTTCAAGTACTTGAACTTTTATCCAATCAGATGGCAGATGAAGATGATCTATTCGACGTTTTCACTGAGGGCAACCGACCACAACTCGAGAGCCTGGCAGGTTAAAGAACAGAGAGGAGGACCGGGACAGGAGGAGAGGAGGAGAGGAGAGGCTGGCTTACAGGATGGAGGCATGGTTTGACCGCCTGAGCGTGGATGAGATGGCGATGGCGATGGAGGAGGAGGGGCTGCTAGAGGAGGAGAGTGTACAGACAATCAGACAAGCTGTCAGGCGACAGCTCATCGCTCCACAAGATGAGAGGACCCGTCGAGCCCTCCTCCTGCACTACGCTAACAAGAAGAGCGAGAGAGAGATGGCAAGAGGAGGGACTGCTGCTGCTGCTGCTGCTGCTGCTGCCCGTCTAGATGCCCGCATGGATCAAGGTCTGGCAGGGATGAAGGAAAAGGACGCGTGGTTGGGCATAGGGCGACGGCAGAGCGATGGGGTAGCGGAGAGCAAGATGAGACTCTACTTCATGAAGGATGGCTTTGAATCCGCTCAAAGAACAAGAAGTAGAGGGCAGGAGAGCAAACGACGAGGGAGTGAGACGGTGAGGAGGCGGGAGGAAGCCTTCAAGTGGAATCAAACGCTGCAAGTGTGAGAAATCTCCCTCTCTTCCTCTTCGCCGTCTCACGTGCATGCTCAGGCTGGAGGCAGAAGCAGAGGGATGCAACCTCTCCGCCAAGGACTTGAACTCCAAGATCCTCAAGCTCACGCGCGACAAGGAGGCGACACAACACGAGGGCCTGCGACGCCGACTGGACGAGAAGATCGCGACCTTGAAGAAAAAGGTGAGAAAAGCTCCTCCTCTCTTTCCTCCTGCTGTGCTTCTCTTGTCTCGTCCTTCCCCTCTTCCTGTCTCATCTTCCCCGTTCCTTCCTCCTACTCCTTCCCCGCTGAATCTGACTCGCTCAAGCTCGACAACGAGAACTACCGCAAGGTGCTTTTAACTAGGAAGCTGATGCAGCACAAGCTCGCTGGCAAACGGCTGTCGCTGTGCGAGGGGTGAGGGAGGTGGCTGCCGTCGCGAGCTCACGCCATGCCAGGGGAGAGCTTTACGACGAGTACACAGACTTGTCGCCGCTGGAGGCTCAGGTGGAAGAGCTGGGGAAGAGGCAGAGCCTGTTTGAAGCTGCCGCGAGAGACTCCAAGTGGGATGCGGGTGAGGAGGAGGAGAATGTGCGATAGGCTGACAGGCTTCAGGCTTTAGAAGCAAAGCAGCAGAGAAAGCACTTGCAGTTGAGCAGGAGAAACAGCAGGTATCAAAAAGCTTCTCTCATTCCTCTGCTCTTCGCTCTTTCCACCTCGTCCTTGTCAGTGATCCCCTTCCTGCTTACTACATCCCTCTCCCTCATCCCCGCTCACATCTCTTGTGGGCTCTCGTTCTATTTCACATCCTCTGACGGTTAGTTGCTGCGCCTGCAGGTGGAGAAGGAGCTGGAGCAAGCGCGACGAGCTGCTTCCATCCTGCAGAACATGACGAGCGAGAAGACGCTTGTCAATTCTTCGCCTCAGAGAAAGGGATGACATGCTGCGAACACGCGTAAGAGCAGGCGGATTGAGGCAACGAGGTCGGAAAGGGAAAGGGAGCAGAAACGCCGGAAACATGTACAAAGAACATGAGAGCAAGGCAGAAGAGGTTGGATGGGAGGTAGTTGCCTTCTGGGTGATCATGGAGCCGTAAGCAGGAGAGAGCGGCATCAGAGTAGTCTGTCCCTGTAGGGACCTCTTGAAGTTGAGCAGGGTGTCTTCCAAAGCTGCGATGAGCCTCGACGTCTGTCGGTTAAAAGACGACACGCAGAACTGGAAGCGAAGGATGAAAAACGTGAGCAGCAGAATCTTGACCGAAGGTACAGCAAGAAGTACAAGTACGAGTGCAAGGAGAGGGCGAGGAGGCGAAAGTGAGGGAAGGAGGGAAGAAGGGCGAGCACCTGCATGTTGTCGTCTTTGATGATGTAGCCAAACCCGAATCCATCCTCGCAAACAGGCCCGAAGCCAAAGAGACGGAGAGCTGGATTACCGCAGTTGCTGGAGACAGAAGGCCAGACAGGAGGAGGAGAAAAGAAGGAGGAGGAAGAGGAGGAGTATAGAGCCGGTCGGAGTTGAAGTTGAAGGAGGAGGAGGAGCGTGAGTATCTTTCACTGAGAGGAAGAGGGGACCTCGAGCTGATGACATGTCGGTTAAGCTTTTTCCATGCGACTCCCTTGAAAAGGTCCGGCAGTGTGACCGTTGAAGTCGCTCCGAGAAGCCTGGGGCTCCACCAGGCCGCTCGGCCTCGTTCAGAGAGGCACTGGAAGAGCGTCAAGAGCAGCAGCAGCAGCAGCAGCAGCAGCAGCAGCAGCAGACCTTGAGGGCATAGAGATGACGGATTCCTCGCCCCTCGGAACCAAGCTTGACGACCTGACACCAGGCATCGGAGAGGAGGGAGAAGATACAGGAGAGGAGCAAGATCAGGTCACGAAGCCCTCAATTCCCAAGCAGCCATGCGGCTTCACCTTGACATGCGCGTCAAGCGCCTTCTTGAGTAGCTCCTTGGAGACTTCGAGCGAATTGCGATCGAAACTCTACACGCCAGGTCAATCAATAAGAGCAAGTGAGGGAAGCACCTCAGCCAGACGCGTACTCTCCTCCGTGACCACAAAGCCAGCCTGTCAGAAACCTCAAAATCGAGTCTCTCTCTCCCCTTCCCTCCATCCCTCCCTCCCTCCTCCCTTCTTCTCTTCCCTCTTCTCTCATGATTTATTCACCTCGGTCCTTCCGTGGAAGAACTTCTTTGTCATCAACGTTTCGTAGGTACAGGCTGTCTCCTTGTAGAGCTGGTAGTAAGCCACCTAAAGAACTGACATTTCAGCAACATCATCTGTACCCTCGTGTTTTCCTCGTTCCATATCACACTGAACTCGTCTTTCCTCTTCCCCTCCCTCTCACCACCTCTCTGCCCCATCCTCCCCTCTCTGCTTCCCTTCCTCTCTTCGTCTCCTCATTTTATTTTATTTTCTCACCTGCATTGCTATCTGCACGTAGGCGTCCGGTGACATTCTCTGGTCGACAATAAAATTTTTGCCGTAGTTGGCAAACTCAAGGACTTGAAGGTCAACCTGCGGCAGCTCAGGAGCACAACTGGCCGGGCTACCTTGCCTGCATTATTCGGTCACTCAGGAAAGCTTCTGCCTTTAGGATGGAAGTAAGCAGCTCCCTGTCGAGAACCCACTCGATACGATGGAAAGACGCTGTTTTCGCAGCTTCTTCTTCCTTTTCGGCCCTTGCATGCTCCGCTGATCGCATGCCAGCAGACGAGCGATGAGCAAAGCCTCCTCGGATGTTTTCTGCATCGAACTGACATGAGAATGGCGAGCAGCATTGAGAGGCAGGAAGAAGACGCTAGATATGGAATATGGGTCGGACAAGGAGGAGGACAAGGAGGAGGACAAGAGAAGGAGGGAGGGTCTCTGACCGGCAAACCGAAGGATAGTTTCAGTGAAGACATCAGAAGCGAAGCGCAACACGGTGTAGCCGTCAATCACCGAGTGCTCGAAGTTAATCGCTGCAGCGCCATTCTGACAGACCACCAGCTGCAGACTCTTGTCGTACCAGCGGTTAATGCTCGTCCCCACTTGCATCCCCGAGCTTCCCATAAACGACTCGACTACCGACGTGCCATGTAGGGCGCACTTGGCCATGTCGGCCGGGCTCTGAGGCGAATTGTCGTCGAGGCACAGGACGAAGAGGCTCTCGTCGACGATCCTCAGACTCTTCTCGTTGTGCTCCGACATGCTGGAGATAGTTTCGCGGCACCTCGCCCAGGTCTCGCGGTCTGTGCTGGTGAGGATGCCAACAGCGTTGCTGATGTTCTGCTCGGGGGTGAAGGCGATGCTGTCCTCGCGGATAGAGCGGAGAGTCTCGCGGAGGATCGACTCGGAGATGCAGAGCCTGCCGCTGCCATCTAATACGTTGAACCAGTAGATGTGACCGCGACACATCACCACGATGTGTCGCGCCTCTGCACACGTCCTCACGTCGTCTCGAGCTGCTCGCGGGATGCGACAAGTGCCAAACAGTCGGAGGTACTGGCGCATGCAAAGAGGAGTGGTGCGAAACATGTCCGGCTCGAGCTCGCCGGCTCGCACGCCCTGACAGAACTTGAGGCTCGACCAGACCAACGTTGTTGCTCGCGCAATCTGTGACGTTCTCGAGGGAGTAGGATCATCTTCGAGCACAAAGAAGGGGTTGGTGTTGATGGCAATGGAGCTGAAGCCCAACGTCAGTCGGCAGCGAGACTGTCTCCTTCTTCACCTCCGTTGCGTGAGATACGCGTCCTCCCAGAAGTTCTCTATGTAGCTATTGATGCCAGGCATGGCATCGTATTCAAGAAGTTTGTCGTGAATTACAGGCCCCTCCTCCTGTTCAGACGATCAGCAAACTGAGAGCAGATAGACATCTCCCTGTCAGGTTATTTCAACCTGCAGGAACTGCTTGGCGAGATGCTGCGTCTCTTCAAACTCTGCAGGAGACAAGAGAGGCTTAGCTGCGCGTAAGAAATCACTGATCGATTCTTCGAGCTGCCTCCAAATGTCAGGGCTGACCCTACCAAGACCTCGAGGAACAATAGCAAGAGACCTCAGGGATCGGCAACCTTGGAAGGGCGGCTTCATTCCCGAGCATTTGACCGTTGAGTTCCTTCTTCAGCGCATCCTGTCACAAGCTTCACGCAAGCATTCGTGATGTCAAGCAACATGCTCATAACCTGCGCTGCCTGAAGTTTCTTATCCATCGTACTCTCAATATCAGCCATGTCCCTGCTTTGTATGATGAGAAGACATAACATGGAGGAATAGAAACTGGCTGCTCCCCAGCCATACACTGCTCTCTCTCCTTCATCTCATCCCCTTTCAATCCCTGTCCTCTCCTCTCTTCTCTTCTTCCCTAAATTCTTTTCCTCTTCCCTCGCCTGCTATCCCCTCTCCTCTCCTCTCCTCTCCTCTCCTCTCCTCTCCTCTCCTCTCCTCTCTCGTTCTCTTGTAAATTTCGCAGCACCAAACCATGTTTTGGAGTGCAACAGGATCGGAAACCCGCCTCAGAACTTGAACCAATCCTTTTGAGAGCACAAACATGAGAGCGCTAAACCGCGAAATACACTGAAGATGCTACCCTAGCTCTGATGAAGCTACCCTAGCTCTGATGAAGCTACGCTAGCTCTGATGAAGCTACCCTAGCTCTGATGAAGCTACGCTAGCTCTGATGAAGCTACGCTAGCTCTGATGAAGCTACGCTAGCTCTGATGAAGCTACGCTAGCTCTGATGAAGCTACGCTAGCTCTGATGAAGCTACCCTAGCTCTGATCAAGCTACGCTAGCTCTGATGAGGCTACGCTAGCTCTGATGAAGCTACCCTAGCTCTGATGAAGCTACCCTAGCTCTGATGAAGCTACGCTAGCTCTGATGAAGCTACCCTAGCTCTGATGAAGCTACGCTAGCTCTGATGAAGCTACCCTAGCTCTGATGAAGCTACGCTAGCTCTGACGCAGCTACGCTAGCTCTGATGAAGCTACGCTAGCTCTGATGAAGCTACGCTAGCTCTGATGAAGCTACGCTAGCTCTGATGAAGCTACGCTAGCTCTGATGAAGCTACGCTAGCTCTGATGAAGCTACGCTAGCTCTGATGAAGCTACGCTAGCTCTGATGAAGCTACCCTAGCTCTGATGAAGCTACCCTAGCTCTGATGAAGCTACGCTAGCTCTGATGAAGCTACGCTAGCTCTGATGAAGCTACGCTAGCTCTGATGAAGCTACCCTAGCTCTGATGAAGCTACGCTAGCTCTGATGAAGCTACGCTAGCTCTGATGAAGCTACGCTAGCTCTGATGAAGCTACGCTAGCTCTGATGAAGCTACGCTAGCTCTGATGAAGCTACGCTAGCTCTGATGAAGCTACGCTAGCTCTGATGAAGCTACGCTAGCTCTGATGAAGCTACGCTAGCTCTGATGAAGCTACGCTAGCTCTGATGAAGCTACGCTAGCTCTGATGAAGCTACGCTAGCTCTGATGAAGCTACGCTAGCTCTGATGAAGCTACGCTAGCTCTGATGAAGCTACGCTAGCTCTGATGAAGCTACCCTAGCTCTGATGAAGCTACCCTAGCTCTGATGAAGCTACGCTAGCTCTGATGAAGCTACGCTAGCTCTGATGAGGCTACGCTAGCTCTGATGAAGCTACGCTAGCTCTGATGAAGCTACCCTAGCTCTGATGAAGCTACGCTAGCTCTGATGAAGCTACGCTAGCTCTGATGAAGCTACCCTAGCTCTGATGAAGCTACGCTAGCTCTGATGAAGCTACGCTAGCTCTGATGAAGCTACGCTAGCTCTGATGAAGCTACGCTAGCTCTGATGAAGCTACGCTAGCTCTGATGAAGCTACGCTAGCTCTGATGAAGCTACGCTAGCTCTGATGAAGCTACCCTAGCTCTGATGAAGCTACCCTAGCTCTGATGAAGCTACGCTAGCTCTGATGAAGCTACGCTAGCTCTGATGAAGCTACGCTAGCTCTGATGAAGCTACGCTAGCTCTGATGAAGCTACGCTAGCTCTGATGAAGCTACGCTAGCTCTGATGAAGCTACCCTAGCTCTGATGAAGCTACGCTAGCTCTGATGAAGCTACGCTAGCTCTGATGAAGCTACGCTAGCTCTGATGAAGCTACGCTAGCTCTGATGAAGCTACCCTAGCTCTGATGAAGCTACCCTAGCTCTGATGAAGCTACGCTAGCTCTGATGAAGCTACGCTAGCTCTGATGAAGCTACGCTAGCTCTGATGAAGCTACGCTAGCTCTGATGAAGCTACGCTAGCTCTGATGAAGCTACGCTAGCTCTGATGAAGCTACGCTAGCTCTGATGAAGCTACGCTAGCTCTGATGAAGCTACGCTAGCTCTGATGAAGCTACGCTAGCTCTGATGAAGCTACGCTAGCTCTGATGAAGCTACGCTAGCTCTGATGAAGCTACGCTAGCTCTGATGAAGCTACGCTAGCTCTGATGAAGCTACGCTAGCTCTGATGAAGCTACCCTAGCTCTGATGAAGCTACGCTAGCTCTGATGAAGCTACGCTAGCTCTGATGAAGCTACCCTAGCTCTGATGAAGCTACCCTAGCTCTGATGAAGCTACCCTAGCTCTGATGAAGCTACCCTAGCTCTGATGAAGCTACGCTAGCTCTGATGAAGCTACGCTAGCTCTGATGAAGCTACGCTAGCTCTGATCAAGCTACGCTAGCTCTGATGAAGCTACGCTAGCTCTGATGAAGCTACGCTAGCTCTGATGAAGCTACGCTAGCTCTGATGAAGCTACCCTAGCTCTGATGAAGCTACCCTAGCTCTGATGAAGCTACGCTAGCTCTGATGAAGCTACGCTAGCTCTGATGAAGCTACCCTAGCTCTGATGAAGCTACGCTAGCTCTGATGAAGCTACGCTAGCTCTGATGAAGCTAGTAGACATTGGAGGAGGTAGACATTGGAAAGGGAAGGGCTCATTCAGATTCAATGGGCAGTTGCGTCATCTTTTCAGTTTTTGACTGTTACCACATGATTCTGATCATGTTGTGCTGCTTCTTCATGACTTTGAATCCAAACTCGGACGTGGAGCCTGGAGTCTCTGACCTTGTTGGCTTTTCTGGGATTGGTCAAGCTCAGGGACAAGTCCTTGTTGCTCGTAGAGCCGTCCAAGCCTTGCAGATCGATCACGGCGGTGCCAATCAGATCGTCCTTGGTCACCTGCAATGCTGACGTCACTGGCAATAACAAGGTCAGGCGCTGGTCACGTTATCTTGGTCCCACAGGGAGATGGTAAGGAAGTGAGTCTCGCTGTACATGGCCCATGAGAACTCAGCGTCCCATCGAGGATTCGCCTCTCTAGGCCGAGTCTCTGTCACGTACGTCTCCGGCTCGCCAGGTCCGTCGACGTAAGCGACGCAGTAGGGGTCGCAGCTACGAAGCAGATCCATGCGCGGAAGCTGAGAGGCACCGATGACCTTGAGGTGAACGACTCCGACCCTCCTGCTCAGCTTCCCCATCAGCTTCGACATGCTCGTCTCAACCTCCGGTAAAGCTCCAAGCGTTTCAATGGCCACTGCCTCCAAGATGCTAGAAAGCCTCTTCTGCTCCTCCAGCACACCGATCTGCAGCATGTTCATGGCGAGGAGGCGCCTGGAACGAAGTCAGACCACCTTGTGGCAAGGCGAATCAACAGTGACCTCATGTTCTCCACCCCTACATACTCCTTGAACTCGCGATTCCTGCGCTCACGTTGCTCGAGCACGTTGCTTCCGTATCGCTCCATGACGTCGAGGACCATGTCGTTGCCGTACCCATTCTCCATCTCCACTGTCCTGTCGCAATGCTGCGCTTGCTCCATGTCCGGGGCAACCTTGTTGCATCTCTTGGACGACTTGCGCTGCAACAGGTGCTGAAGGGCATTGACATCAAGCCTCACACTTCCATGGAGAAGAATCTCCTTTTTGTCTTCAAGCTTTTGATTCACTTCTTGTTGCACCTTGGATGTCTTTCCAAACTGCTGTTTCTGCTCCTTGAGTAGCTTGTACAACTGCTCATCTGACAGGTACCTTGTCGGTAGAGGGAGAAACTTTCTTACAGCATGCCAGAGCACATCCGCGACTTCTTGTATGAGACCTGTGGCTCCTTCGGTAGCTCGCTTCACAGTTGCATACGCGTCCACAAGAATGGCAAGAAAAATGTTGAAGAGAATGAAGAAAACGATAAAGATGTAGGACCACAGAAATATGTAGAAGGCCAGGGGAGATGCTGCATGAGACATCTGAAAACGATGTCAAGGTCACGTGAGAAAGCAGCACAGGAGCAGGATTTAGAACATCTCCAAGAAATGACAATGAGAAGAAGGTACGCAGAGAGGACGAAGAGAATTCGAGTGAACCAGCAAGTAGGAGGAAACAAGATCAGGAGTAGGTGAGCGGAATAGCAGGAAAGCAGGAAGAGTGGATAGTGAAGTCTTGCACATCTGGTGTTGTTTTTGAAGTTGAAGTTGTTTGTGTTTGTATTTGTGTTGTTGTCGATGTTGTTGAAGTTGTTGTTCGTGTTTGTGTTGATGTTGATGTTGATGTTGATGTTGATGTTGATGTTGAAGTTGATGAAGTTGTTTGTGTTTGTGTTTGTGTTGTGGTTGAAGCTGTTGTGGTGGTAGTGGTGGTAGTGGTGGTTGTGGTGATGGTCGTTCTTGTTGTTGATGTCGTCGTCGTCGTTCTCGTTGTTTTGATAGTGTGAGGGGAGAGGAGGGGGAAGTTGACAAGCAAAGTTGACAAGTCACCGAGGCATAGAACTGAGTTGCGTCCAAGCTGAGCAACAAGATGGTCAGAGTGATGCAGCAGTGAGATAGATCTTGCATGCCCTGCCATCAGCGTCACTCAAAAGGAGGGTCGCAGGGTCTTGATACTTCATACTGGTGGCCGAACAGCAGCACTCCGACCATGGCATACCCCAAGAACACGATGACGAAGAGCAACATGAAGTGCCACAGGTCACTGGCAGCCCGCGCGATGGTTCTGGTCACCATTCCCATCCGCTGCTGAAAGTCGAGGGACTTGAGCAGTCGAAACACGAAGAGCACAACAGAAACCCCCGAGAAGAAGGAAAACTCTTCCATCCAGCCGCTGATCTCCCGCATCGCCTTGATCAGTTGGAGGAAGTCATACTCAGCAGCGTTGTTTGTGCGAAACATGCGCGCTATCGCGAAGTTTGTAACACTGATAGGAACTTGGAAGGGCGTTTGTCTTGTGCTTGTAGAACTTGGGTTGGAGGAGTTGGAGCGGCGGGAGTTGCTTGAGTTACTGTACTTGGGGCCATAGAACAAGATTGGGTAATCAGTTTGCAGCTGGAAGGTCAGGGCAGTTTCCCGATACTTCAACCATGACAGCACAGATCCCCACATGAAGAACAAGTGCAGCAAATCCAGCCAGTTGAAGGGATCCGCCAGGTACTCGTTGAGCGCAAACCGTTTGAAGTGCATCAGCATGTCCCGAAGCTCCAGCAGGCAGTTGACCATGAGAAAGACCAGGACGGCGAGCATGAGGCCGATCTGAATGTAAGAGGGGTAAAGAATGCGATCCATCGGTATGGTCTTGATCTTGTAATTCCATGGAATGTTCCCTCCTGATTCCCACGCGAAGACAAACTCAGAGTACATAAAGATGTTCTTGACTGCATTGTACGTGACGATCTCAACAGAGATCTCCTTTGTCTGAGAGTCAATGAACTTACCATCTCTTGCAAATGCGATCATCTTCAACGCTTGCTTTTGGGTGAGGCGTTCGTCGAAGTAGAGCTTGAACAGGTTCTCTGAATCAGCATCAATGTACTTGGAGGGCTTCAAAAGAAAGTTTCACTCCCTCCCGCCGCAAGCTCTTCGCTGCTCAGCATCCCGTCCATGTTGGTGTCAAGTGCGTTCTGATTGTACTTGTGCGGGAAGAAGCCCTTGGGGTACCCGTACACAGTCTTGCCGCTCGACTCTCGTGTGCTATATCGCTCGCCGTAGCCGTAGAAGGAGTCCGGGGTGACCTTGCCGTCATACAGCGAGCTGAAGGTCATGAACGTCGGGTCGTATCCGAAAGGCTGCGAGTCATACTGATCGAGCAGGGGACAAGAGATGTCAGAGCCTGCCGAGGACGTGAAGAGACGCACGTCGCTGTCCCGGATGTGGTTGACGCAGGCCCCTTGCTTGAGCCTCGTCTGCGTGATGACGATGGCACCCACCAGCCGGTTGTACGCCGTCAGTTCCCTCACCTTGGGCGTGAAGGGAGGAATCACCTGCGGGCTCCCCTCACTTGGGCTGGAGTGCTCCCATACCGCAAACTCATGGTGATCCGAACAAGCCCCCGGCAGACTGGAAAGAAGCTTGCTTGCGTTGACACACGAGGGGTAGCCTCCGGACCTCGGACACTTGTCTTGAGGACAGACGTTGTCGTAAGAATCTCTCGAGCCGATAACACATGCGCTACACGGCAAACACTGAAAGTTGGAGGAGGTGAAATCGTTCTTGGCACAGTATGACCCACTCACACAGTCATAGTGAGTCGAACATGCGTCATGGTTCCCAGAAAATGATAATCTCGACGTGATAGACGACAAGCGCAAAGTGAAAGAAAGGTTGGAGATACCTGTGAGCCTCTCGATCGATTTGAAGACATCTGTCTGGTTGGAGGAGATGGCGTTGTAGGCTGCCACCGCATGGTAATTTGATCCTGCCAAGACCGAGATGTTGATAACAACACCTGTAATGTTGGTGCTGTTGCTAGTCAAAGGTTCGCTTGTAAAATGTGATCCGACATGCGTATGAGAAGGATTTGGAACATTCTCATTCAATGCTTTCACAAGATTCGACTTATCTGTCGCATCAAGTGACGACTGCCTCCATTCAGCGATTTGGATCTCGACGTAGAAGTAAGGGGCAGGATAGAGAGAGAATGTCTTTGAAGCGATCGAGCTCATGGTTCTGTTGTCCTTACACGTCACGGCGTAAATGGTAACAGGAGTATTCTTTTCAACTGGAGCCGACAAATCAAAGAGTTCAATCGGATTGGATGTACCGGACACGTTTGAGCATGACAACTGGGTTCTCGTGTAGGCAATTGACACTTGGTTTGACATCGAAGAGATGTTGATCTTGGCATAGGTGACGGCGTTGCTGGTCAAATGGAAGTTAAGAGCTTCTGCTTGGAGTTGAGAGACTTGCGCGATGACGGGAGGGGGCAAGATGCAGTCACTCTCCTTGTAACTCACGCACATGGAGCCAGAGGTGTCTAGCTTGAAGATAGAGTAGAGAACAGAGCCTGGCGTGACAGCATAGCTGAAGCTCTGCAGAGAATCTCCTGATCCAGCAGAAAGAGAGAGGCAAAAAGCCTCTGGAGTCGTCAAGCTTGAAAACCCTTCGCCGGTGACCTGGAGGGTCGAGAAGCCAATGCCGAGAGGCAGGGGGGGACGCGAGCTTCGCTTCAAGTCGTTGCATGCGCGAGGACCCAAGGGGCTTAAGATTGGAGAGGAAGTGCTGACGTAGAGAGTCCCCTCCGATGCTGGCATGTGCCAAGTCACACTGCAGAGACCGGTGATTTCTTCTTCAAGGTGGAAGGGAAGAACTTCATTCACAGCATCCAGCTTGCATTCACCTCCTGTCCCTCCTGACGTCCCTCCTGACGTCCCTCCTGACGTCCCTCCTGACGTCCCTCCTGACGTCCCTCCTGACGTCCCTCCTGACGACCCTCCTGACGACCCTCCTGACGTCCCTCCTGACGACCCTCCTGACGTCCCTCCTGACGTCCCTCCTGACGTCCCTCCTGACGTCCCTCCTGGCGTCCCTCCTGACGACCCTCCTGACGTCCCTTGCGCTTGCATTCGTGCTGCTGCTGCTGCTGCTGCTGCTGCTGTTGCTGCTGCTGCTGATATTGCTGCTGGTGTTGGCATGAGTCGTTAGCCCTCCCAGGCCACCTGAGTGCGAAGGGAATGTAGGCTGTGTTCCTCCTGACGTCCCTCCTGACGTCCCTCCTGACGTCCCTCCTGACGTCCCTCCTGACGTCCCTCCTGACGTCCCTCCTGACGTCCCTCCTGACGTCCCTCCTGGCGTCCCTCCATTTCCTTGTCCCGACCTCCCTCCCCCCCCTGGTCCCACTGAGCCCCCTGAGCTACTTGCGCTTGCATTCGTGCTGCTGCTGCTGCTGCTGCTGCTGATATTGCTGCTGCTGCTGCTGATATTGCTGCTGGTGTTAGCATGAGTCGTTAGCCCTCCCAGGCCACCTGAGTGCGAAGGGAATGTAGGCTGTGTTCCTCCTGACGTCCCTCCTGATGCAGCAGATACACTAACACTTGTATTGCTGCTAATGTTGATACTTGTGCTGATGTTGGTACGAACGGAAGCAGTTTTGATGTTGCTCTTACTGTTGTTCGTGTTGGTACTTGTGCTGGCATTGTTGCTCGCGCTCAGATAGCTGCTGGGATGGCTGCTGGGATGGCTGCTGGGATGGCTGCTATGACTCGAATTAGTGCTGGTACTGAAATTGGCACTAATGCTGATACTTGGACTTGGACTGTCGCCGTTACTTGTGCTAGGGCTACTGTTGGTAGTATCAATGTTGCTGCTGATGTTGGTAGTATCAATGTTGCTGCTGATGTTGGTAGTATCAATGTTGCTGCTGATGTTGGTAGTATCAATGTTGCTGCTGCTGTTGGTAGTATCAATGTTGCTGCTGATGTTGGTAGTATCAATGTTGCTGCTACTGTTGGTAGTATCAATGTTGCTGCTACTGTTGGTAGTATCAATGTTGCTGCTGCTGTTGGTAGTATCAATGTTGCTGCTGATGTTGGTAGTATCAATGTTGCTGCTGATGTTGGTAGTATCAATGTTGCTGCTGATGTTGCTGCTAGTGTTGCTGCTGAAAGTGGTATTCATGAGAGAATGTCTGATGCTGCCTCTGCTGTTGTTCTTGCTGATACTTGTGATGGTATGGCTGCTTGGATAGCTGGTAGCACTTAAGCTTGTGTTGTCGCTGCTGCTGCTGTTTGTTCTGGAGGTGAAAATGATGCTCGAGCTTGAGCTGGCGCTGCTATTATTAGCATTGCTACTAGTACTTGTGCTGGTAATTGTGCTCGTGTTTTACCTGTGCTGGAATTGGTGCTTGTATTGGCACTGGTACTGGTACTGGTACTTGTGTTGGTACTTGTACTGGTACTGGTACTGGTACTGGTACTGGTACTTGTGTTGGTACTGGTACTGGTACTTGTGTTGGAGCTACTATTGCTGCTCTCACTTGTACTGATACTGGCATTTTTGGTGCTTGTACTGGAACTTGTGCTGATGTTTGTACCTGTGCTTGTATGTTTGCTTGTACTGGAATTGGTATTGGCACTGGTGCTTGTACTGGTGCTTGTACTAGCGCTTGTACTGGTATTTTGTTTGTACTGTTGCTTGTATTGGTATTGGCACTGGTACTGGTATTGGTATTGGTTCTGTTTCTAGGGATTGGCTTATGGCTGGGAGGACTTGAAGGTGCAGGGGAAGGGCTGCCACCTGATTTGAAATTCCTTATATCTACGTGCCCTTGCCTGGCTGATGACGGATTGTTGCTTTGAGCTGCTTGGCTGTGCATGGATGGTTTGTCATGACCATTGAAAGACTGTAACGCGGTGTTCTCAATCATCTCATCTTCTCCTGCCGTAAGTCTATGATATGAACGTCGCCCAGATACGCACTGCGCCTTTGCACGCTGAAAGTACAACTTGTTTTGAATGGATCGCGCGCCTCCTGTTCTGTCAGGCAACGCGGAGCAAAATCCAACCTAGCAGCGCATAGTCATTCGAACGTGACTACACACCATTGAGACAACCTGAACAAGATTTTGAACGGCCTGAGAAGAACTTGATTGAATCGTGATGGTTCCATTCAGCCCATAACTAGAAAGGAGCCTCAAAAGATATCTGCGATGTGTGAGGGACATCAATGTTGAAAACAATTGATGAGGTCACCAAAGTATTCAAGCTCTGGCAACGAGAATCGGAGCTGCCTTGCAAAGTGGAGCAGTAGCCTTGAATTCCTTGCGTGATTAGGAATGAAGAAGCAAGGTATTCTCTTTGATCGCCATATTCATAGTCGCTCAGTGTATTTCGAGCAGGAACAGTGCTGATGTAAGCATCAATCTCTGTGCATAATGAAGGAAGATAAGCATTGGCTCGTACCTCTGTTCAAAAGGGTAGAAATTGTATAACGTCGATAGATCAACAAGTTTGCTTGTTTGGTTGGTTTGATAGAACACAAGTGTGAATTTACCATCAGGAACTTCAGTGGATATAGAAGGTGATGATGTTGGATTCTGATCTTCTGCGAACAAGAAGTCTCCCATGGTTTCACTGTAGATGTTGAATTTGAATCCAGCTTTGTCTGAACTCGCGATAGACGTATTCTTCACATTCCAACCCAAGGACGTTTGACTTGTACCGATCACATCTTCGAGGTCGATTGTGATGGGGGTCACTTGAAGGTAATTTCCACAGTCTGCAACGCAGCCAAATCTACTGAAACCAGGGTATTCATCCGGCGCATCGCAAACACCATCTCCACATATTGGGTCAGTGAACACGTTGGATATCACGGCCTTTGACAACCATGCATAGAAATCATTTGAACTCTTCAGCATCCCTGCTGCTCCCACATTCGAATTTGTATATCCTCCAGTTCCAAGCGTGGGAAGCTGCCCTATGATCAAGTTGATGATCGAACTTTCCATGGCGTACGCATCTGTTACATTCCCCTGAGTAAACAGAAGAGTTGCAAACAAAATATAGAAGAGCGCAGTGGAAGCTAATTTGAGGTATGCATGGGAGCGATGAAGTCTATCTTTCACTCTTTTGAGAAGACCATCCACTGCCACATTGTGAGAATGGTCTGTCTTCCCGTGAGCAGGTCCGAAGATGGTATGCGATTGCACATCTTCCAGCACAACTTGGACAGCCTCCATCCTGTCCTTGTAGACATGTGGGGGCTCAAGAAGAGACAGGACGTTGTGATCCTCTTCGGCGCGTGTTCTTCTTTTCTTGCCATGGATCGCGGCGATCAGCCCTCCTCGCGGCAGCATCAACCTCGCTACTGCCTCCTTCCCTTGCGTCACTTTCACAGGACGTGAAGAAGTCTCTGCTACCCTACCCCTGTCAATGAGGAAAACGCGGCCTAATAGGGGGGTAGTCAAATGTGACAGGGTTGCCTCGCACTTCCCGGCGGCACTCTTCGATTCACAGACAAGTACCTGTCACGTGACTCTCCCTCAACTTTTCAGTTAATAAGCGGCTTATGAGTGAACTTTTTTCAGTCAATAAAGAAATTCCGAACTTCCAGCTAGCCAGTGACCCGCCGGGGCCCGGCCCGCCGGAGGTAGGTCCGGGCCTTTACTCAAAGTTAAGTTAAAAATCAGCACGAGGAGGTCCATTACGTCATGGTGTTGAGTTACCGCTTTTTTTAGGTGGAGCCTGAACTACATCATTGACCCTTAGGCTGCTTGTCTGCGCGGCTTCGCGCTTGGGCTGGCGATGCCGTGACTGCCGGGTTGCCAGCAGTGCTGGTTCTTTTCGGGCTTGTGTTTTGTGTGTGTTTGTGCAGCTTCTCGCTGTGCGCTGTGTGCCTGGTTACCTTCTTGTTCCTGCTTTGTTTGGCTTGAGGCACTTTTTACCTTCTGCCAGTAAATCCTATGCTTCATCTTCATGGCATGCTGATCTGCCAGTGTCCGACGCAATGTGATGTATGTCAGCGCGAGCTCGATCCTTCCGTTGCTGCGCATCATCTCCAGACCTGCAAGCGTCGATCCTCCAAGCTTCCCACGGCGCATGACAGTCTGGAAGATTTACTGGCAGAAGGTACTGGAGAGGATTTACTGGCAGAAGGTAAAAAGTGCCTCAAGCCAAACAAAGCAGGAACAAGAAGGTAAAAAGTGCCTCAAGCAAAACAAAGCAGGAACAAGCTAAGCCTGCGTGCACAACCTTACTCGCACTATTCGATCAATGCTCAACGAAGCTGGTCTTCAGAGCGTCATCGCTTTGTGGCGGCAGCGGACGTCTCGACTGACAGTGGTCAGTCGGCGGCCTCCGGGTATCGCGTCTAGTAGTAGTGGATTTACTGGCAGAAGGTAAAAAGTGCCTCAAGCAAAATAAAGCAGGAACAAGCTAAACCTCCTGGCACACACAGCGCACAGCGAGAAGCTGCACAATCACACACAAAACACAAGCCCGAAAACAACCAGCACTGCTGGCACCCAGACGCGGCAGCGCCAGCCCAAGCGCGAAGCCGCGCAGACAAGCAGCCGAAGGGTCAAGCAATCAAGCAACAAGCAGCAGGAGCATGCAGGAGGAATAAAATCCCTTAGACGCGATACCCGGAGGCAGCCGACTGACCACTGTCAGTCGAGACGTCCGCTGCCGCCACAAAGCGGGCGGCCGCGGACGGAGAAAGGGCAGCCGCCGACAAGGAGCCGGCGTTGCCCGGGGGTCCGCCTGGGGCAGCGGACGGAGGGAGGCTGGACACATGAACACGGTACCGCTCGAGGTAGTCCTCCTCGCTAGCCTCCGAGTCAGCGGTAGCCGAGTCAGCGGTAGCCGCCCGTGACGGCGGCGACGCCGCAGCAATGCCCAAGGACCGGCGTGACCCGACCGATGCCGGGGAGGAAGCAGGCGAGCTCGGCCCAGCACCCCAGTGGTGTCGAGCTCTCCGGAGGCACCCGTCGTCACAGTGAGGGACGGAGACGCCTCGCCAGCTCCGCGCCGATCGTCGGCGCCACTCGACGTGTTTCCCCATAGTATAGGATTTACTGGCAGAAGGTAAAAAGTGCCTCAAGCAAAACAAAGCAGACTGCTGAACCGGCAGGCACACAGTCCACAGCGAGAAGCTGCACAATCACACACAAAACACAAGCCCGAAAATAACCAGCACTGCTGGCACCCAGACGCGGCAGCGCCAGCCCAAGCGCGAAGCGGCGCAGACAAGAGGGGTCACATTTCGCTGCGCAGGCGGAGGAATGAAGTGCTCATGAGACGAGTCGACGAGAGTTCTGTCAGACGCGATACCCGGTAGCCGCCGAGTGACCATAGTCATGGAACGTCCGCTGCACCGTCAAAAGGGATGACCGCTGGACGGAAGCCGCGCAGACAAGCAGCCTAAGGGTCAAGCAATCAAGCAACAAGCAGCAGGAGCATGCAGGAGGAATAAAATCCCTTAGACGCAGCCGACTGACCACTGTCAGTCGAGACGTCCGCTGCCGCCACAAAGCGGGCGGCCGCGGACGGAGAAAGGGCAGCCGCCGACACAAGCGCGAAGCCGCGCAGACAAGCAGCCTAAGGGTCAAGCAATCAAGCAACAAGCAGCAGGAGCATGCAGGAGGAATAAAATCCCTTAGACGCGATACCCGGAGGCAGCCGACTGACCACTGTCAGTCGAGACGTCCGCTGCCGCCACAAAGCGGGCGGCCGCGGACGGAGAAAGGGCAGCCGCCGACAAGGAGCCGGAGCTGCCCGGGGGTCCGCCTGGGGCAGCAAGCACCCCAGTGGTGTCGAGCTCTCCGGAGGCACCCGACGTAACAGTGAGGGACGGAGACGCCTCGCCAGCTCCGCGCCGATCGTCGGGGCCACTCGAAGGGTTTCCCCCATCGGAGTCGGAGACCTCCGGCGAAGACTCCTCGGGCGACTCGACAAAGTCCGAGGAGGAGCTGTCCTCTGGCTCGAGAAGTGCTTGCGCCCGCAAGGGCGTCATGCGCCTCGCACCAGACAAGAGCGCTTCCAGCGTCAGCTGCATGGTGAGGCGCTGATAGGTTTCCCCCATCGGAGTCGGAGACCCCCCTCGGGCGACTCGACAAAGTCCGAGGAGGAGCTGTCCTCTGGCTCGAGAAGTGCTTGCGCCCGCAAGGGCGTCATGCGCCTCGCACCAGACAAGAGCGCCTCCAGCGTCAGCTGCATAGTGAGGCGCTGATAGGTGGCGGCGCGTTTGCGAGCCAGGACCTCAGCAGCAGGGCCGTCATCAGGCACGAAGTGCCGACCAAACGCCGCATCCTCAAGAGGCATCGAGCGCTGAGCAATGATGTCCGCGAGATACCCGATGAAGCGGAGGGTGTCAGGATGCAGGGTACCGTCCGTCGAGATGGCAAGAGGGATGAACGCTCGAGGAGGAGTAGTCATAGCATATGCAGCGCGATGTTTGCGAATCTTCTCAGACGCTGCAACATGGAGGGCGTCGAGGTTGACCTCCCCCCACATAGTACAGAAGGTAAAAAAAAAAAAAGTGCCTCAAGCAAAACAAAGCAGGAACAAGCTAAACCTCCGGGCACACAGGCAGGGACCGGGCTGTGCGGCATCGGAGGCAGGCGAGCTCGGACCAGCAGCAAGCACCCCAGTGGTGTCGAGCTCTCCGGAGGCATCCGACGTCACAGTGGGCGCGTCGGCTTTCCGGTGAAGACTCCTCGGGCGACTCGACAAAGTCCATGGAGGAGCTCAATGGATTTACTGGCAGAAGGAGATCAATGGATTTACTGGCAGAAGGTAAAAAGTGCCTCAAGCAAAATAAAGCAGGAACAAGCTGAACCGGCAGGCACACAGTCCACAGCGAGAAGCTGCACAATCACACACAAAACACAAGCCCGAAAACAACCAGCACTGCTGGCACCCAGACGCGGCAGCGCCAGCCCAAGCGCGAAGCCGCGCAGACAAGCAGCCTAAGGGTCAAGCAATCAAGCAACAAGCAGCAGGAGCATGCAGGAGGAATAAAATCCCTTAGACGCGATACCCGGAGGCAGCACCGGCGTGACCCGACCGATGCCGGGGAGGAAGCAGAGTACCGTCCGTCGAGAGGGCAAGAGGGATGAACGCTCGAGGAGGAGTAGTCATGGCATATGCAGCGCGATGTTTGCGAATCTTCGAAGTCCAACGCTGCAACATGGAGGGCGTCGAGGTTGACCTCCCCCCACTTGATCAAGACGACTCTCTTTTGCTTGAGGAACTTTTTACCTTCTGCCAGTAAATCCGTAACCTCTCTTCTGCCAGTAAATCCGTATTCTCACAACGGTGCTCGTTGCTTGCCCCACTCTCTGGCATCGCCGCCGTCACGGGCGGTGTTGGTCTCGGCTGCCGCTGACTCGGAGGCTAGCGAGGAGGACTACCGTGTGCAGCTTCTCGCTGTGGACTGTGTGCCTGCCGGTTCAGCTTGTTCCTGCTTTATTTTGCTGGAGTCACTTTTTACCTTCTGCCAGTAAATCCTATGCACCGTGTTCCTGTTTCCAGCCTCCCTCCGTCCGCTGCCCCAGGCGGACCCCCGGGCAACGCCGGCTCCTTGTCGGCGGCTGCCCTTTCTCTCCGTCCGCGAACGCCAGCTTTGTGGCGGCAGCGGACGTCTCGAATGACCATTGCGTCTAAGAGGCTGGAGATTTACTGGCAGAAGGTAAAAAGTGCCTCTAGCAAAACCTGGGATTTTATTCCTCCTGCATGCTCCTGCTGCCAGCTTGTTGCTTGATTGCTTGACCCTTCGGCTGCTTGTAAAAAGTGCCTCAAGCAGGGATTCGGAGTTTTATGAGGTAAAAAGTGCCTCAAGCAGAAGAAAGCAGCAACAAGCAAGACCGCCGTTCAGGCGACGGGGCCGCTCCGGAAAAGCGGCACCGTCGCCGGTACCGCTCGACTGACTCAGGCTGAGGTGACGCATCCAGTCCTCCTCAGCAGCACCCTCAGTGCACTGAGAGGAAACATCCAGAGTGGAGCCGACGACCCCCATCGGAGTCCGAGACCTCCGGCGAAGACTCCTCGGGCGACTCGACAAGCGAGTAAAACTCTCCTCAAAGTTTGTGTACTGGGCCCAGTAGCAGTTTTCGTTGCCTCCTCCGTTCTCAAGGGCTCTCTCTGAGGCGGATTACTTTGATTGCTTCTTCCAGTTGAGTAAACAAATGTTTGCAGACGAAAGATGCACATGCTGGCTTCATGGTTGATATGACATGTGTCAAGTTGATGAGAATGAGGCTCGTGAAGAGGGTTGAGGTTGATGAGGGAAGAAAGAGAAGAATGAATTGGACGAGCAAAGAGAGGTGGTGGTTTTGTTCTGATTGTACTGTTTTCAGTTCTTTGCCTTTCTCGGTTGCAATGCAGAGGAAAGGCGTTCACAAGTGTCCAGTCTTCTACCCAACAGCACAAGAGTTTGAGGACTTCGAAGGCTACGTGCTTAAGATCCAAGAGGAAGCTGAGCCGTTTGGCATCTGCAAGGTGATCCCTCCTTCCTCATGGAAGGCCAGAGAGGCTTCCTACTCCCATGCCGACGATCTTGTGCTGCATGCTCCTGTTCGACAAGAGGCGGCCGGCCGGGCAGGCGCGTATGCACTCATGAACATAACTCAGCGAGCCTGTACGATCGCCGAATACACCAGGATGGCGAGCAAAGACGAAAACCGCCCGCCCCTTACTGGCCTCAGGTTGCTGCAGAGCCAACGATGGAAGGAGGAGGAGGAGGAGGAGGAGGAGGAGGAGGAGGAGGCTTGGGAGGTGGAGCGGAGATACTGGCAGGGGTTTGCGGGGAAGGCTCCCGTATACGGCAGTGACAACTACTCAAGCACGCTGTTTGAAGCCTGCGCGGGGGCCTGGAACCTCAGCAGACTTGACTCCCTCCTGCGGCGACGCTTGCGGTCCACGATCCCCGGAGTGACCTCACCCTATCTGTACATGGGGATGTGGCGCGCTAGTTTTGCTTGGCACGTGGAGGACATGGACCTTTACAGCATCAACTACCTCCATTACGGCGCCGATAAGATCTGGTGCTCCCAGACTCTTCCTCCTTTCACCTCTCTTGCCTCTCGCGTTCATGATTCTATCCTCATACTCGCCATCGCTCACCTCCATCTCCTCGTTCCTGCTGCTTCTCCCGCATTTCTCTCCTCTTCATTCTATTCTCTTCCCGTCTCTCCTCGTCCTGCCCGTTTCTCTTTTGCTTGCCGTCATCTGCTCTTGATGTCGTTGGCAGGTATGCAGTCCCTCACTCGGAGGGCGAGAAGCTCGAGCGCTTGGCCTCCAGCATCTTTCCGGATCAAGCTCGAGTATGCAGTCAGTTTCTGCGGCACAAGAGTTGCGTCATGCACCCTTCGCTTCTCCTTGCTGCCGGCATCAACCTCACTCGCGCCGTCCAGCACGCCCGAGAGTTTGTGATCTCCTTCCCCTACGCCTACCACAGGTCTCTCTCCTCTTTCTCCTCTTCCGTCGCTCGCGTCGCAGCTCCTCACTCCTCGCAGCGGTTTCAATGCTGGCCTCAACTGTGCAGAGGCCGTGAACTTTGGCTCGGAGAGGAAGGCTGCGCCTCGTGGTCGCTGTGCTGTGACGTTAGAGCAGGTGGGTCCCCTTCGGTCAGCGATCCAAACCTTGCAAATGCTTCTCAGACTCCGTCAAGATCAAGGTCCTCACTACCTGCTCCTGCCTTGTTCTCTCCTGCTCCTTCACCTTTCGTGACCTCAAAATCCTCTTGGCTCTTCAGCGTGTCTGAGGCTCAGCTGTGCAGATGTCGCTCTTTTCTCCTCAAGCTCCTTCCCGACTGCTGTCAAACTCTGACAGCACCATTGACGACATTGTCTGCGAAGTCTGTGGTGGAGGGCACGATGAGCATCGTATTCTACTCTGCGACAACTGCTCGTCCGGGTAAAGCTTGCTCATACTGCTGCTGCTGCTGCTGCTGCTGCTGCTGCTGCTGCTGCTCCCGGTCCTCTATCTCCATCACATGCTCTCTCTCCTGCCCTTTGCCATCGCTGCTTGTCAGGATCGGAGTAACTTGAGCCTGGCTCAGCTTCCACATGAGTTGTTTGCTTCCTCCGCTTTCTCGCGAGCCGGCAGGGATCTGGTGGTGCCCGGCATGTCAAGCTGAGCTGGAGGAGGAGGAGGAGGAGGGAGGAGGACGAGGAAGCCTTGCGGTTCTCCAGCTCCTCATCTGCGCCTGCTGACTTGATCACAGTCCCCTTCCTGCTGCTCTTGTGGAGCGAAAGAAGGATGCAAAGAGATGCATGCTCTTCTCCTCAGCGGTTGGGCTCTCTGTGCCATTGAGCTCGGTCCTCCTCCTCGCCGTCTTGGCCTCTGCTTGTCCTGCAGGTTTTCCCCTCCGTTGGCAGCTTCCACGAATCTCATGCACAGCAGCACCAGGTGGAGCAGGCGACACGCAGACGCCGGCGGCTCTTTCGAGAGTCTCCAGGACTTCGCGTCCATTTGCTCCATCTGTGCGCACAAGCTCGACAAGCGGGGAGGATCACGACGACGATGCAGCACCTGCCCGCGCTCTTTCTGCAGAAGCTGCTTGTCTCGATGTATAAGGAGGGAAGAAGAGGAGGAGGGAGGCAGCTGGCGATGCCCCATCTGTTGTCCAGAGCTTCTCTTCTCAAATAAGGAAGTTGAGACCTTCCAACGTCAGCTGAAGCTCCTCACTCGCGTAAGCCTCATGCTCTCGCTCTCCACCCTTCTCAGCCTCTCCAGGCGAGCTCTGCTGCTGGCCTGCAGCCCGAAGAGGGACTTGACCTCCTTCACCTCGCGAGGTCTCTGCCGCTCGCGTCCGACGAGGACATGGCGATGATGCTGGGATGCAGCAGTGCTGCCGAGGTTCCTTCTCCCCCCTCCTTCTGTTGTTTCCCTTGCTCGCTCTCCTGCCTCCTCTCCCGTTCGACTCACGACTTGATCAGATCAGGACTTTCCTCGCTCGCACGAGGCCCCTCGCCGCCTCGCTGCTGCTGCCTAGCGAACTTGAGGGTGACGCGTGGAGCGAGTGCCATGCGTGTGGGAGCTGGAGGGTCGTCAAGTTTCGCTGCTGCAACGAGAGCTGCCGCCGTCAGGTGTGTGTGGAGTGTGTGGGACGAGAAGGAGAGCGGAGGAGAGCTCTGCTTGAGGATGCATCGAAGATCCGAGCAGCAGACGGAGACGCCAGGTAACGGCCGAAGAGGGGAGGATGAGCTGAGGAGATGTCCAGGATGAAATCTTGGCCCTACAGCTCTGCCGTGTGGGAGAGAGCGACGGAAGCGAGGAGAGAGGAGAAGGAAAGTCAAGTCAGTGTGGATGATGTGGTCGAGTGCGAGGTAAGCAGAGCAGGAGGGGTGAAAGAGGGCAGAGGAGCCGCAGAAGCAAGAGAGAGCGAGAGTCGTCGGGGGATGACAAGGGAGAGGAGGAGCACAGAGAGGGAGAGGCCAAGGGGCAGGAAGCAGGACATGAAGAATTTGGCAGGGGCAAGGCAAGTTCTATGCGTGCAGGGTGATGGAGGAGAGGACGGGAATAGATGGCGAGCGACATTTCAAGCTTCACTTCAAGGGTTGGCGGTCAGGCTCGGACGAGTGGGTGCCCGCCTCCTCCCCTCGCCTCTCCTTCCTCCGCCACAATGCTGAAGCTCTGCTACATCACCGAGGGGGCTGCACAAGAAAGGTGTGCCTGCTCTGCTGCTGCTGCTGCTCCTCCTCCTCCACTCGCTTTCGCTCCTTGTTTTCATTAGTGTGCAGGTTCCGGGCGAGACCAGGAGAAACATAAGAGAGAGTAGGAGGCGGCAAGCCCAAGCCAATCAGCCTGCCGTGAAACGAGCAAGAATCTTCGCGTGCAAGGAAGGAGATTCCTGCTCTTCCTCCTCCTCCTCCTCCTCCTCCTCCTCCTCCTCCTCCTCGGGGTGGTGGGTCGAGTTCCCTCCATCTTGGCAGTGTCCCGTGTGCACAGGGAGTTGCGGCTGCACCGGAGGCTCTCTGCCTTGCTGGAGGAGACAACAAGGCGAGCCGCGAGTGCCAGTAGAGGAGGTGAGAGTAAGCAAGGACGAGAAGAGACACAAGCCAGCTGGAGAGGAGGAGAGGGAGGAGGAGATCGATCGACTCATTCAGATAGCAAGTCGCACCCTGCAGCAGCAAGACTTTGAGTCTGAAGTAGATCGTCTCATACGTGAGCAGGCGAAGCTGCTCTACTCTCAGACATGATGTATGAAGTCAGTATGAAGCCTTTCTTGTGCTCCTCTTCTTATTCCCTATGCTTGTTTGTTGTCCTCCACCTTCAACCTCCTGGACTCCCCTGGGTCTCCTCCTCAGGAACGTCCTGAGCACTCCCGTCCTGCAGCAACTGGACCATCTTCTTTTCGATGGCAAACCTTCCTTCTTTGTATCGCTGCTCAAGGGCGTCAGCGCAGGAGTGAGGGAGGGCCAGGGACCTCGAGCACGTCGAAAGCTTCGAGGTACTTCCAGCCCAGAAGCGTCTGACGTCGGTCGTGATTGAAGGCAAGGAGCAAGAGCAGCGCAGCAGAGGCAGGATCAAAAGGAGAGTCGTAGGAGAAGTGCAGGTGCTGGGGGAAGACGATGATGATGATCAATGATAGAATTGATCAGGATGGTGGTGAAGATGATGATGATGGAGAAAAAGATGATGATGATGGAGGAGGAGGATTATCTTCTCACCTCACAGCTACGGCAGTGAAGGTCGGCAACGACGTGGAGGCCTGTGATCATCGCGCGATCCTCCCGGGGCCCCAGCTGAACGTTCACCATGCGCTGCAGCAGATACACCCGACCGAGCTTCCCCTGCAAGTGAGGGCCCAGTGAGAGGAGCAAGAGGAGGCTGCGCAAGGCCGTGCCTTGTGTTGTGCTCGAGCGGGGATGATGGAAGGAAAGCATGAGGAAGAGGGAGAAAAGAGGAGGGAGGAAGAGGAAGCAGGGGAGGAAAAAGGAGGAGAGAGAAGCGGGAGGGAAAAGGTTGAAAAGGAGAAGGAAGGGGGAGAAAGAGGGTGAGGGTGGAGACTGGGAACAGTTGAAGACCTGGAATGCCCTTGAGACGACATCGGACACGCATGCAAGCGGAGCTTCACAATTTCTACACACGAAGATGTTGCCATGTCGTTTCTCCTCCAGGTACTCCCTCCACACGGGCCCTCCCCCCCGAATCCTCAGAGCATCAGGGTGCCTGCATGGCAATGACACTGCCGCTCCGATGGTGAAGACTATAATGGTGGCGGTAGACAATGACGGCATAGAGATGAGAGAGAGCAGAGTAAGAGAGAGAGCTGAGAGACCCTCCTTACCTCCTTCTGCCCTGCCCCCAAAAAACAACTTTCCTGTTCCGCCCCCTCCCCCCCCTCCCCCCCCCCCCTCCTTCCCTCCCTGCACGCTCAGTGTCACCTGCACCTTCTTGTCACCTGCTCCTTCCTCTTCCTCTTCCTCTTCCTCTTCCTCTTCCTCTTCCTCTTCCTCTTCCTCTTCCTCTTCCTCTTCCTCTTCCTCTTCCTCTTCCTCTTCCTCTTCCTCTTCCTCTTCCTCTTCCTCTTCCTCTACCTCTTCCTCCTCTCCTCGCCTCGGCCTCGCCTTCTCCTTCCAACTCTCCGTTCCCTTGCCCTCTTTGCCCTCCTTGCCCTCCTTGCTTGTTGCTTGTCCCCGGGCGACCAAGGGGGGTGGGTGTGCAATCTACTAGGGTGGGGTATCAGTGGTATTGTTGTGATTTACGGACTCTGAGTGTGGCGAAGTGGGGTAGGGGTATTTACTCTGGGTAGGTAGTGGTGTGAGCTTCAGGGGTAGGGGTGGGGAGTGAGGAGGCGGAACATGGCTGTCAACACAGGAGGAGTGCGGAGGGAGGCGAGGACGATGATGACGCGACGGAGCGTGAGAGGAGACGCTCAGGTTCCATGGCTCCTCCGTGCTGTCTCCTGCCTTGACCTCACCACCCTCGCCGGCGACGACACCCCCGGCACCATCGCCCGACTCTGCGCTAAAGCAAAGGAGCCAATCAGGAAGGACATTCTGAAAGCCCTGGGGTTCGAAGACCTGAAGATACAGGTAAGGCGAAGAAAACATGAGACAGGCAGGATAGGATAATCAAGGAAGCATGGAGAAGAGAAGGAGCAGAAGGAGGGAGATGCAACAATGAGAGGAAAATTGCTTAGAGAGGATAGAGGGATAGGGTAGCGAAGGAGAGCAGAAGGGAGCGAGTGATGTGATGAGGGGAGAGCCAAGAAGGAGGGTAGAAAAAGAAGGAGATGAACGGAAGTGGAGGATGAGAAGGGAAGGGCAGAGGGTCATGTTCGCTTCCTCAGCGACCTGTGGGTTGAATTTTTTCAAGGTGGGAGCTGTCTGCGTCTATCCTGACCGGGTCAGCGACTGCAAGCACTTCATCGGAGACTCTGCCATCCCTATCGCAGCCGTCGCCACCGGGTTCCCTGCGGGCCAGATCAAGCACGAGCACAAGCTGGAAGAGATCCGTCAGGCAGTGGCTGATGGCGCTAGCGAGATCGACATCGTGATCCCTCGCAAGCTCGCGTTGGCTGGCGAATGGGATCAGCTCTTGCGAGAGCTGCAGGACTTCCGGAAGGCATGCGGTCACGCACATATGAAAACCATCTTAGCGACGGGAGAGCTGGGCGAGTTGACGAGGATCTACAAGGCGAGCATGGTCTGCATGGAGGCTGGTGCTGACTTCATCAAGACTTCGACGGGGAAGGAGAAGGAGAACGCGAACCTCGAAGTTAGCCTCGTCATGTGCAGGGCCATCAGAGATCACTACCAACGCTCGGGCATCCGCGTTGGGTTCAAGCCGGCCGGAGGCATCCGAACAGCAAAGCAGGCGCTGCAATATCTTGTGCTGATTAAGGAGACGCTGGGAGATGAGTGGTTGGATCCCTCGCTCTTGAGGCTTGGGGCCAGCACCCTCCTGACCGACATCGAGCGACAGCTGTTTCATTCCGCGTTCGGCTGCTATCCCTCTGCCTGTGAGATGCCCATGCCCTGACCTCTGCACTAGAAAACCCTCAACTTGCCGAGTCCTTTACTTTATCACCCCTTCTTAGCTCCTCGTCCGCCTCAGTCTCCTGGTCTGATCCTCTTCTTCATCCTGCACTGCCCTCGCCACTTTCTATTGCAACCTGTCATGTCACACCAGGCATAGTGCGCCAGCAGCAACTCAGATCTAGCAGCCCCGTCCTTGTGTGCATGATATGGACAACTGCCACAGATCCGCTTGTTTGGATACCAAACTCGCGGAGAATTTTCAACTACAAGTCTGAGGGGTCTTGAGACACACTTGCGTTTTCTTCAGAATGCCATCAACAACACAAGATCAATTGTATTCACGTTCATGTCCAACACAGAACACCTCGAATCTGCCATGATTCGTGCGTATCTTTATTTCATTCCTCCCTCCGTCCCTTTCTGCCCTCATCCCCTACTTTAACATTGACATCCCTCAGGTTCGATCCATCGCATCCTCCACGCGCGCGAGCAGCTCAATTCCACGGCTGCTTCATCCCTTTAAGAAACCTGTGTACCCCTGCGCGTTGAGGGTCTGCGGATCCAAGTCAGATGTCAGAGATGTTATTGAAGCAAGTCCCTCCTCCTCACCTGGAACACTACTCCCGTGAAGATGCCTCCTGCGAACATGGCCGGCACTGCGATGACCGACTTGGTCACCAGCAGCGCCATCCCTGACAGCCCGTGCCCGCTAGTGCATCCCGAAGCAAGACGGCTCCCAAAGATGCTCAGGAAGCCGCCAATGAACGCCTGCACGACGGGCACGCCAAGTGCGAGCCCTCGGGTGTTGGTGAAGGTGGAGGAGAGAAAGGCGCCGGAGATGGCGCTGAGGAGGTACGTTGCCTGCCACCAGTTGTCCAGACCCATGCGGTATCCGTTCCAATGCACGAGCTTCTGCTGGAGGTACCCCGAGAGACCGAGAGGCTGCGACGTCAGCGTCATGTATGCCTGCGATGATCCCAGCGTGTCGGCGACCATGAAGACTGCAGGGAGCTGTAAGGATCCGATGATCACACCCATCAGGTGAGGAGGAAGAGTGTTGATCCATGGCTTCGCCCACGACGGCAGCTCTGATGAGCTTGTCCAAGGAAAGTAGATCTCCACGAGACAGATTACTCCAAACAGAAAAGCAGCAAGAGAAGAAGCCAAGCGAGCATAGGGAACGTTGATCTGACTCATGACCGTCTGCTCTTCAATCTTCTCCTTTGACTTGGTGCAGTACAGCGGGATCAGCCGAGGCTGCAAGATGCCGTATAAGGCAGCAGCCGTCATGCCCCCTGCGAGGGTCCACAAGGAGTTGGGAACACCTGAACCAACCTGGACCAGCACCATCCCAGGACAGGAGCCAGAGAGCGCCATGCCTGATCCGAGAGTGAACGCCCCAAGAGAGACTGCGGCCACTGTCTTTGCTGCCAGCGGCTTCATGAAAATCTCTTGTACGTGCTGAAAGCGCTTCGGAGAAAGCTTAGATGCGATCGTCAAGAACAGCGCCGAGCTGGCAGCCGCGCCCAAGAACATCTTCAACTGTGAGCAAGAGCTTCAGAATGACCCCAGCCAAACAAGCAAATCTCGCTCGTCTTACCATCAAGAACCTCCGGAAGAGGAACTGCTCACGAATCACCAGGGGCAGGGTAACCTTCCCCAGATCCATGGCGGCACCGAAGCAGAGACCCATCACGCAGGATGAAGAAAGGGTTCTTGCCGATTTCGACATATTGGACTCAACTTTCGATTCTGTATGCTCCTCCAAGAAATGAGGATCAGCTTGTTTGATAATCGTTTCAGCCCTCCTTCCGGTTCTACAGTGTACTACCACTGGCTTGGCTGTGTTTAAGAGTTCATTCAAGGTGTCCTTGACCCGGGCGCATAGCTCGTCAGAATAAGGTCCTTCTCTCGGGACAGGCAGATTTACATACTTCAACCCAAGCGATTTCACAATCTGCAATACATATTCGTTACATCATCTGGCTACAAATTTGGCAAAACAACCTCTTCTTCTCTTGCAAGTACTCCCAGGCCCAGCTGTCCTGCCTCTGCAGGACCTCGCATGTTCAGGATAGACTTGACGCCTTTCTTTGCGAAGTCTTTGAGCTCTTCTTCGGTTAGCTGTCCAGTGATGTATAGGTCTTCAGAGATCTTTGTATTTTCTGGACGTTTTGCACAGTTGGAAAGCTTAGACGCAATGTAACCTGCGACGAAGCTTTTGATAGTCGTGCCTGGATGTGATTCGTCTAGCTCGTCCAAAAGGTTCATGTAAGTAGTCTCGAGAATGTTTGTCAGGTCCACAGTTCCTTTTACAGCTTCTGCTCCTTTCTTTCTAGTCGTTGCGAATGCAACACCAACTGCAGCTGCTCTGAGTCCAACTTGACAAAACACCAAACATGGTTTTTTGCATTTGTCAAGAACTGACAAAACTTGATCCATGTCAGTATCGGCCCGCATATCGTAATCCAGAGGATCATTAATGCATTCAACACCAATCTTGCTGAGCTCGAATGATAGATCTTCGAAACCGAGCTCTGATTTATCTCTCAGATTGATAACTGACTTCACTCCGAGATCTTTGATGTTCTGTAACGAATCTGCATGTATTTGACCCGCGATGTACACATTCTCATCAACTCGAACGATGCGGGTTCTCTCATGCACACTGTGCTCAATGTCCTTGCCTACCCTCCAACAAATTTGAGTGAAAGGATTTTCCATCAGCCCAGCATCAGCGGCTTGCTTCATGATTTCTTCGGCGCGTCTCCCTGTTCTACAGTGTACTACCACTGGCTTTGACGTCTTGAGAAGGTCCGTGAGAGTTTCAGAAACTTGTTCACATAGTTCCAGACTGTATGGACCATTCCTTGGGACAGGCAGATTTACATACTTCAACCCAAGCGATTTCACAATCTGCAATACATATTCGTTACATCATCTGGCTACAAATTTGGCAAAACAACCTCTTCTTCTCTTGCAAGTACTCCCAGGCCCAGCTGTCCTGCCTCTTCGACTGGTCGCATGTTCAGGATAGACTTGACGCCTTTCTTTGCGAAGTCTTTGAGCTCTTCTTCGGTTAGCTGTCCAGTGATGTATAGGTCTTCAGAGATCTTGGAATGCCCTGGACGTTTTGCACAGTTGGAAAGCTTAGACGCAGTGTAACCTGCGACCAAAGTTTTCAACTTGGAACTTGATCCCGCCTTCGTGAATTCTTCTAACAACCCAGAATAGGTGGGTCCTAGGATATCATGCTCTTCATAAGCCTCTAGCTTGCCAAGTACTTCTGCTCCTTTCTTACGAGTAGCTGAGAATGCAACACCAACTGCAGCTGCTCTGATACCAGCCTCACAGAAGACAAGGCAAGGCTTTTGACTCTTATCCAAGAGCGAGAGCACTTGGTCGAGCTCATCTTCCGCATTCATCTCGAAATCCAGTGGATCATTGTGATACTCAATAGCAAGGCGAGTCAAATCTTCCTTAAGGCTGTTGAAGTCTCCTTCACTTTCAAACTGGATGTTGATGACAGTCTTGACGCCCAGGTCTTTGATAGAAGACAGCATTCCTGGTTTGAGCGAGTTGGAGATGTAGAGGTTCTCGTCGACACGAATGATTCTACCATTGTTGTTCATAGCTTCTTGCTCTACACCCTCCGCAAGAGACATACACACAGAAGTCATCGGTGTCTCCATCTTGTATTTAGCTGTTCGAGGACAGTCAGCAATCATCGGACAAAGACAGCTTCAAGAAAGGTGAAAGAGATCAACTCTACAAGGTGGAAGTAAGGTTGAAAAGTACTCAGGCTTTGTTGTGGAATGTCGAGTGAGCAAAAAGGTTTGAATATATTTGAGACATACACACTGAAATGGCAGAAAGAATTCACTGCAGCAGACAAATGTGAGGGAGCAATACAAAAGCAGATACAGAAAGTAGGGTATACAAGAACTTGGAGGTGTAGGCAAAGAAGGAGGAGAATCAAAACTTGACCTGATTCAGAGGGGTTGAAGGGCGGCAGAAAGGGAGAGGAAATTCTTTTCGTTGTGGCTGAAGCAGAGGACTGCAATATTTGTAAAGGACGAGCAAGGGGTCCATCCCACCTCAATGAGGGTGGTGGGGGGTACTGATTGGTGGCGGGTGGAGAGTGTCTGAATGGTGGTTTGAGAAGCTGAAAAGGGTGGGTAGTCATATGTAGAAAGCAGGGTAGAGGGTGATCTCATGGTTGGTCTTTCGGTGGGTAGGGTGGTACAAACCGGTGGTCGTAAAGGGTGGTCGTAGCGAAAAAAAGAAAGGTACGTGACAAGTCAGCGACCAAATGCTGACTCAATTTTGAAAGTTAATTCAATATCTCTTCCCATATTTGGAATTATGAGATGAAAGGGAAGGAATTTCCATGGATGGAAAGGAAGGTCATGGCTCGCCACGATCATGTAGAATGAGTTATTAAAATGTATCTATTTTGAACACAACAATGATTTTTATCTTTTTGTTTGTTAGAAAGTCTCGGGTACAAACTGAAATTATCATTTGTACTGAAACCGGGAATGGGTACAATATCATTACCGGCACTTCTTCTGATTTAGTACTGGTGCACATTCAGGTAGTGTTATTCGACGACCTAGTTTTACTGTAGAGCGTGAACTTCCAGCAAATGGTAACTTATGTGGTTCCTAGGTGGTAATTTATGAGGATATTCAGTGGTAACTTTAGAAGGATACTCAGTGGTAGCTTACGAGGGGAGTTGAGGAGTCATGTCCTGTCATGGACCCAACCAAGTTTTCGACTACCCCACCCCCACTTTTATCATAAACTACCCCACCCTTTGGTTATCCCACAGGCTACAAAAGCTCCGCTGCGCCTCACAGGCATAGATCGTGTTGTGTGAAGGCGAAACTTGCGAGCATGTCCGACTTTAGACGAATTTCTGCTGTAGACGATGAATGTTTGCCTCATGTCATCCTGTCTTCATCGACATGATGTGTTGAGCTGATCGCTGATACCTGACAACTTGAACTTGGCAACCCACATGCCTCGCACTGACAACTTCGCATCTGCTTGCAAGCAATCTTAACTTTTCGTTGCCTTCAGAGTTGTCATCCCCGTTGCGCTTTTATGGTTTGACATCCTTTCTGTTTCAAGATGTGGAAATCAGTTGTCACTCTTGCCTCCTCCTGCGTGATGGGTCTCTGCTTCGGTGCCGCCATGGATCTGGGGAAGGTTACCCTGCCCCTGGTGATTCGTGAGCAGTTCCTCTTCCGGAGGTTCTTGATGGTAAGACGAGCGAGATTTGCTTGTTTGGCTGGGGTCATTCTGAAGCTCTTGCTCACAGTTGAAGATGTTCTTGGGCGCGGCTGCCAGCTCGGCGCTGTTCTTGACGATCGCATCTAAGCTTTCTCCGAAGCGCTTTCAGCACGTACAAGAGATTTTCATGAAGCCGCTGGCAGCAAAGACAGTGGCCGCAGTCTCTCTTGGGGCGTTCACTCTCGGATCAGGCATGGCGCTCTCTGGCTCCTGTCCTGGGATGGTGCTGGTCCAGGTTGGTTCAGGTGTTCCCAACTCCTTGTGGACCCTCGCAGGGGGCATGACGGCTGCTGCCTTATACGGCATCTTGCAGCCTCGGCTGATCCCGCTGTACTGCACCAAGTCAAAGGAGAAGATTGAAGAGCAGACGGTCATGAGTCAGATCAACGTTTCCTATGCTCGCTTGGCTTCTTCTCTTGCTGCTTTTCTGTTTGGAGTAATCTACCTCGTGGAGATCTACTTTCCTTGGACAAGCTCATCAGAGCTGCCGTCGTGGGCGAAGCCATGGATCAACACTCTTCCTCCTCACCTGATGGGTGTGATCATCGGATCCTTACAGCTCCCTGCAGTCTTCATGGTCGCCGACACGCTGGGATCATCGCAGGCATACATGACGCTGACGTCGCAGCCTCTCGGTCTCTCGGGGTACCTCCAGCAGAAGCTCGTGCATTGGAACGGATACCGCATGGGTCTGGACAACTGGTGGCAGGCAACGTACCTCCTCAGCGCCATCTCCGGCGCCTTTCTCTCCTCCACCTTCACCAACACCCGAGGGCTCGCACATGGCGTGCCCGTCGTGCAGGCGTTCATTGGCGGCTTCCTGAGCATCTTTGGGAGCCGTCTTGCTTCGGGATGCACTAGCGGGCACGGGCTGTCAGGGATGGCGCTGCTGGTGACCAAGTCGGTCATCGCAGTGCCGGCCATGTTCGCAGGAGGCATCTTCACGGGAGTAGTGTTCCAGGTGAGGAGGAGGGACTTGCTTCAATAACATCTCTGACATCTGACTTGGATCCGCAGACCCTCAACGCGCAGGGGTACACAGGTTTCTTAAAGGGGTGAAGCAGCCGTGGAATTGAGCTGCTCGCGCGCGTGGAGGATGCGATGGATCGAACCTGAGGGATGTCAATGTTAAAGTAGGGGATGAGGGCAGAAAGAGACGGAGGGAGGAAATAAAGATACGCACGAATCATGGCAGCCGCCTCGTCCTCGTCTTCGCTTTCCATTGTCGATTGAATTCGAAGAAACATCTCTGTCTTCAATTTCTGCAGAAACTTGAGCACAGGATCTCAGCTGGTAGGCTTCTCACCTTCAATTCTTCGACTTGCTTCTGGCGCTGACGCGGCTGAGCGTCTTGGTAACTGAGGCTGACGCATCCTCCCTCCTTGATCAGCCCATCCCTCCCCTCATGTCGCCATCCTCCCCCTTCCGCAAACAGCATCTCCCAGCTCTTGGCGGTCTTGAGCGGCATGGCTGTGAGGTTCAGGGGGTTTAAGCTGGTCTCCTGCTGCGAGACCAGCTTGCGGAAAGCGAGCTCTTGGATGATGTCTGCTGCCTCTCGGATCATGGCGCTTCTGTCTTGCACATACCATTCGGGCCACTCGCTGCCGTGGTAGAAGGAGGGGCCTGAGTTGAGGTCCAGCACGAACGCGTTCTGGTGCCTGTCGTAGGCTACGTCCATGGCCATGAAGAGGTAGCCCCAGGGGGAATTCTGCCCCCAGCTGCGGTACCTCACAGAGAAGATGGCGCTCAGTGCCGCATTTCTCACGCTCAGGCTCAGCTTCCTCCACGCCTGCCGCCCGCGAGTGACCCCAAGCTCCTCCTCGAGGGCCGAGCGGAGCGTCTCGACAGGCCGAAGGACTTCCTGGGACTTGTTGGTGTGGGCGAGGCCAAATCGAGGGTTGGTGACGTGAGTGGCGAGGTAGGGGTCGGTCTCCGCCGCCGAGTTGTCGGAGTCGTTGAGGAACACGAGCTTCTTGGCGCGGGTGCGAGTGGCGTTGGTGTGATTGAAGACTGAGAAGCGAAGGTGACCCGGTCGGAAGAAGATGGTCCAGGGCTCCATGGACGGAACGAGCACGTAGATGCGATGATCGAACTTGTGGCCCTTTATCGTCCACATGTCCGGCACCTCCAAGCTTGCCAGCCCTCCGCTGCGTGGGCACCTGATCAAGCGTAAGCCAGAGGTGGATGGCAGCACAGCGGGGAGGAAGGAAGAGACTGAGCAAGCCAGGATGAGAGGGAGGACATGAAATAGGGAAAGGAGATGAGCAGAGGGAACTTGGAGGTGGCGTTGCTTTACATGTCCTGTTGCTTCGCTGCAATTTGCTCCACTTCCTCGCGAGTGATCAGCCGCACATGTCTCCTGATCTACAAATCAGCTGCCAAGGGAGCAGGCGTGGTGGAGGAGAGGTAGAGGAAGGAAGGAATGTCGTTACCCAGTCGAACCCTTTGACTTCTTTAGGAACCAGAGGGCCTGGGGAGATGTGGCATATCTCGCATTGTTGTAAAAGAAGGCAAAGCATCCATGCTGCTCGCCAAGGTCGAGGGTAGGAGGTGTGAACTACGGCGAGTAAGCAGAGTTCAAGCAAGCAGTTTTTCACCTGGAAGTACTTGCAGCCATTCCTCTCCACGTACTCGGACACAGCTTGAGCAAAGTAAGCCTTGTTGTCCACGCCTGCACCTGCAGCGACGCAGTTACATGATATGGAAACGAAGAACAAGGGAACGCGGAGGAGGGGGAGCGGAGGAGGCGGAAGGGAAGGATTGTGATACCTAGACGTGACAACATCAACCCTGCTCTGCCAGCCGTCGGCCTCGTCCATATCGCGTTTGTATACCACAGGAAGCACTGCGAGTCTTCGGAAAGATTTCCGCGGAGCTGGAGCAGGCCAGGAGACTTGAGCTCCTGCGCGGTGGTTGTCAACAGCCTGACCCAGTGTGTCGGCACAAGCAGACCTCAGGTGGGGAAGAACCATGCTTGCTACACATGCCATTACAGAACTTGACCAGTCGGGTATTGCAATCTGACTTCTTTCCTGTCTTCTTGTCATACCTTCCTCCTGTTATCCCGAAAGTCGGGAGAGACTGGTTCTCCTTGAAGACCAAGAACTCTTGTTTCGTGCGGTTCAAGACAGAGGCGTCCTGGCATGAAGGTAAGCCCCAAGGAAACAAGCTCTTGATCGAGAACCAGCGCGGGTTGCCAGACAAGCTTGACGCGATCCTCACCCAAAGGCGGGAGCATGAGATGCAAGAGAGTCAAGAGGAATAGAATCCCAAACGACATCACGACGAAGAAAGTACGGTTCTGTCTCTTGCAGGAACACAAGCGTCTTCTCTTCTTCTCGTTCTCGTTCTTCTCCTTCTCTTCTGGCGCTGTCCAAGTCGCCATGTACTGCCCGAGGTGCCATGGGGAGCCGTGCACTTCCCTCCTCTTTCTTCCTTTCAAATGCTCCTTCTGTCTTTCCTTGTCCATCGTGATGCTTCTCTCACAAGCCTCTCCTTGTGCTTCTCTCACAAGCCTCTCCCCGCTAGCTCAGACGGTGTCCGCCTGCTCTGTGCAATTGCAGGGGAGGTTGTCTTGGAAACTTATCATCGACCAGGCATCTTGAAACAATCAAGTCAGCGCACTGTTGGACTGTGGTGATGATGGTGACTGTGATGATGGTGACTGTGATGATGGTGACTGTGATGATGGTGACTGTGATGATGGGGACTGTGATGATGGGGACTGTGGTAGCGGCTGAGGAGAAAGCAGGGGAGAAGAAGGTCGTGACGTGTCCCACAACGAACAAAAAGAACGATCTGATGATAACATTGGCCACTAATATAATTGCGACGATGATTCCAAGGATGGAAATGAGAGATGTGATGATATATAGCAGAATTCCATGGATGGCAAGACAACACGAGTGAGTATTCATTCAAGGTACGAGAAGATGGCAATGGGACATGGCGATCATGATTGCAGAGATGATAAGATCATACTAGCAGGCATGAGCTTCTTGATATGTTCTCTGAGGAAAGAAATGTGCATATGTAGCAGGAGGATTGGGTAGTGGTGGTGGTGGTGGTGGTGGAGGAGGAGGAGGAGGAGGAGGATTGGTAGTTGTGCTCACATCGTCACATCGGAATTATTGCAGGAATATGGCATGTTTATAGAAAACATAAACATCCCTCACTATTAGTTGTTGAAATATATTAATCAAAGAATATTCCTATAAAATCCTTCATGAAATGTTGGGAGGTTTATGGAAAAAATTTCCACTCACTATATTTTCCACCCTGCAAAACACTTATCGAAACACCCCTCGTTTTCAGTATTAAACCACCCTACCCTGCTCACCAACATGACCCCTAGGGTGATGAGGAAGCGTAGTAGTAAAACCACCCACCACCCACCCCTCTCTCCAGGCTCAACACAGCATCTCTACCCCACAGTTACAGTGTAACCACCCCCTTCTTAACCAGGCAGGACAACCCCTCTTGACTCGGAAGGGAAACCTGCATAATCTTCATCGCCCTCATATCCACACAGTCGCAACCCACCCCTGACCCACCCCCACTCACTCACCCACCACCTGGTGCATGTCAAAACTCGCCGCCGTCCCCGCATGCTCGGCGACAGACAACAGCGACGCATGCCGTCCCCAGTCATTTGATAGGATCAGCAGCTTCGCACCTACCCCCCCTCCACCATTGTCACAACTTTCAGTGATCCCGACGTCACCTCTGAGGCTCAAGGTTTGGGCAACAGCATTGCCTGCTGCCCACAGCTTCCTCACTCTTCCTATCATTATTAAATTGCATTTTCCCTTCAGTTGCTCGCTCGCTTCCGCTCCCATCTTGCCCCTTTCCATATTTCTATCCACCCTCCATCCTAATACATTCCCCCTTCGTTCCCTGGCACCTTCACTGTCCTTCACTCGCTCCCTTGTTGGCCTCCTCCTTTCCTCCTCTCCTTCTCTTACTCCTCTCGCCTCCGCCCTCCCTCTATTGCTGTCTCCCCCTTGCTCCCTTGCTCCCTTGCTCCCTTGCTCGCTTGTTTCCTCCCACCCTTGCTCGCTTGCTCCCTCCCTCCCTCGCCTCTCTTCCCGCCCTGCAAACATGCCGCCACTGGGCGCATCTATTGAGAACCTAGACCACCCCTCTCTTTCATATTCAATTCTGCCAAAGGGTGGGGTGGTGGAAGAATTGCAATGGAGGCGCTTCGGCTGGACTATGGGGAGGCGAAAGAGAAGGTGGAGGAGGAGATGAAGTGGCTCGAGCGCCATGCTCGCAAGTTCGGGACGTTTGTTGGAGGAGAGTTCAGATTCTCTCCCTCTCCAGCTTTCGCTCCTAGCGTGGACCCTTGCACTGAAGAGGTTCTGGCTGAATGCGAGCAGGCAGGTAAGGAGGAGGTGGACCAGGCGGTGGCAGCAGCGGCAGAAGCCTTCAAGAGCTGGTCTGCGCTGACAGGACATGAGAGAGCAAAGTACCTTTACGCCATCGCCCGGAGCATGCAGCGACACCACAAGCTGTTGGCTGGAATCGAGTCCTTGGACAATGGAAAGACGATCAGGGAGAGCAAGAACATCGACGTGCCTCTGGCTGTCAGACATTTCTACCACCATGCTGGTTGGGCTCAACTCCAAGAGCAGGAGTTTGCTGGATACCGTCCTCTGGGAGTGGTGGCTTGCATCATCCCGTGGTGAGAGGCAACGAGGTCAGGAGGCCCCTAAGCGTCTTTGCAGGAACTTTCCTCTGCTGATGCTGTCATGGAAGCTTGCTCCTGCTCTCGCCATGGGGAACACAGTCGTCCTCAAACCAGGTCGAAATCTCCTCCAAGTCGTCCTTCTCTTCCGTGACTCTGATCTCAGCGCCTTCGACCCGCCTGTCAGCCTTCCTGTTCTGCGACATCCTCAAGGAGATTGGGTTGCCGCCGGGGGTTGTCAACGTCATCACCGGCGACAACGAGATGGCGAGCTACCTTGTTGCTCACCCGGCCATCAGCAAGGTAGCCTCTCGCTTCCTCTCGCTGCATCATACGCTTCCATCTCACGCTTCTCCTCCAGGTTGCCTTCACTGGTTCCACTTCCGTGGGCAAGCAGATCAGGAAGCAGCTGGCCGGCAGAGATGTCAAGCTCACAATGGAGCTGGGAGGCAAGAGTGCGATGATCGTCTTGCAGGACGCAGACCTTGACGCGTGTGTGGAGGGATGTGTCGACAGCATCTTCATGAACCAGGGGCAGGTCTGCTGTGCAGGGTCGCGCCTGCTGGTACAGGAGGGAGTGAAGGACAAGCTGGTGACTAAGCTGAAGGAGCGAATTGAGAGACTTCGGATGGGCAACTCTCTAGACAAGAATGCAGACATGGCAGCAATCAATAACGCGAATCAACTCCGAACCATCTCGACGTTCGTGGATGAAGGCAGGAAAGAAGGAGGAGAGATTTTTCAGTCCAACTTGTCTTTCAACCCCAGCAAGGGTTATTTCTTCAAGCCAACTCTCATCCTCGGACTTCAAACCTGCTCCTCCCTCTCTCAGGATGAAATCTTTGGCCCTGTCCTCGTCCTCCACACTTTCCGCACGCCAGAGGAAGCTTGTTTGCTGGCCAACAACGTTAGGTACGGTCTTGCCGCTTCCATCTGGACAGAGAAGACGTGTGTAGCAATGGAGATGGCGAAGAAGATTCGAGCAGGAGTTGTCTGGATAAACTCGCACAATGTATTCGACGCTGCTGCAGGATTTGGAGGATGCAAGGAGTCAGGATTTGGGCGGGAGGGAGGAAAGGAGGGCATTTTCGAGTACCTCTTGCCTGCCTGGAAGGGAAAAGTCAAGCAGGGAAAAGCTGAAAGGCGCGATGACGGGCAAGAACAGGGTGTCGGATCAAACTCGAAGATGTCAGTCTCTTCAGAGGAGTTTGCTCAAGTGGACAGGACGAACAAGCTCTTCGTCGGAGGCAAGCAGGTGAGGAGTGACTCAGGTTTATCTGTGCCTGTTCTCTCGCACAACAAAGAGCTCATCGGACACGTGAGTCTTTCTTCTCTCGCGCCTCGTCGAGATTGACTCTTGCTCCCGCCTCCTCGCCTCGTAGGTCTGCAACGGGAGCAGAAAAGACATCAGAGATGCTGTAGAAGCTGCTTCCTCTGCTCTCTCCTCCTGGGCTGCCAAGCCGGGGCACAGCCGAGCGCAGGTGATGGTGCTGGTGGTTGAAAAGGGGGGGCAGGCGTGAGCGTCACCTGTAGATCCTCTACTACTTGGCCGAGAACGTGAGCGCCAGGGCGCGAGAGCTCGAGCAGAGGATCATGACCATGACCGGATGCAGCGCGCTGGTGAGCGAGAGGAGGGCGATGAACAAGAGTAGGGCGAGCGGAAGAAGAGATGATGAGGTCGCTGCAGGAGGCAAAGGAGGAGGTGAACGTGTCCATCTCGAGGATCTTCTCCTTCGCGGCCTACGCAGACAAGTACGGGGGATCAGTGCAAGAGACGACGCTGGACGGGACAGTGATGGCGATGCACGAGGCTGTCGGAGTCGTTGGGATTGTCTGTCCCAGCAGTCATCCGCTCCTGTCGTTGATGTCGCTGCTCGCGGCAGCCTTGTCACGAGGAAACGCGGTCGTGATCATCCCGAGGTGCCGATGGAGGGGGGGGAGGAGAGTCTGAGTTGAGGGCAGCGAGAGACACCCCATGATTGCAGCGGACTTGTACCAGATACTCGAGACCTCGGACGTCCCTCCTGGTGAGCACAGGGTTCTTCTCCTGGTTGTCGCTCAACGTACAGCAGGTGTGGTCAATGTGGTGACGGGGAGCAAGCAGCCTCTCGCTCTCGTGCTCGCCGAGCATCGAGCTGTGGACTCGCTGTGGTTCTTCGGCTCCAAGGACAGCATCGCCAAGGTGGAGTCAGCATCAGCTGACAGCATGAAGAGATTGTTTGTGGAGGAGGAGAGCAGCCGCGACTGGTTCACCAGCACTCAAGGTGAGATAAAAGGGCAACGCTCGAGTCTCATTCTTCATACAGAGACAACGCTCGAGCTCCTTCAAGCCGCAACGCACGTGAAGAATGTGTGGATACCTCACGAAATGTGAGAGTAGAGAAACAAGGGGAGGAGAGGACAGCACAGCAAAGGAGAGCTTGCTTTAAGAGATTAGAATCCATGCCAAGTTCTCCACGAGTTAGTTGGCAGCATTTCCCTCACCTCCTTCAGCCATGCCATGTCCTCCTTCCCTGGGACCGGAGCTCCTTCCTCGTGCTCCATCCAGCCTCGCAGCTCTTCTCCTGCATGGAATGATATCTCCCCTCCTCCGGTCTGCTCCAAGTCTTTCACGCGACTCTTGCCGCACCTTGAGCTCACGAGCTCAACCTGCAGAGACTGTGAGCCTCGTCAGTCTCTCTCCTCTCCTTCACGACCTTCGCAGCAGAGCACAGCACTCCCATGCTGCTCCCAGCGATCTCCACATGGGAGCAGAGCAGCCTCGCTCCCTTGCCAGACGCCACAAGCCCGATCTCCCTGTTGCCTCGCACAGAGCAGGAGAGCAGGCAGATGCTGCCACCAGCAGAGGCGGCAGCTCCGCTTCTTGAGTTCACGAGGAGTTGACATGACTTGAGGAGGCAGGAGGAGGCGAGGCCCTCCGCCCTCACGCCGTCTCCTCCGTTGTCCTCAAGTCGCACGTCCTCCATCCTCACGCTGGTGAAGTTTCTACTGGCCCGTCTTTGCTGCTCCATTGGCCTCCACCCTCTCATCTGCAGGAGCGGATCTTCTCGCGCCTGCTGCTCCCCTGCTGTGCCAATGGCGAAGACTCCGTGAAGTCGATTGCGTCCGACAGAGCTGGAGAAGAGGTCAGAGAGCGGAGAGGGAGGACAAGAGAGGTCAAGAGGATGGAGGACGGTAGACAAGGGTGGCTGGGATGGGAGCACGAGCACGCAGGGGGGAGGAGGTGCGACAGGTCACCAAGAGAAGAGCTTGCAGTGCGAGCTCGACTTCAGGTGGATGCCAGACTCTCCGTTCTCCAAGACTGAGCTGGACTCCAGCACGGCGGTGGCTCCTTCCTGAAGCAGGAGACCTCCACGCATGTTGTTATGGAAGGAGGAGGAGGAGAATTCGCAGGAGGAGCCAAGACCCTTGACGAGACATCCACTGCCTCCGTTGCCTCGCAGTCTCACGTTGCTGCCCAGCAGCTTTGCCTCCCCTAGCACCATAGCTCCAAATCTCCCGCAGCTCTAGAGCACGAGTCAAGCAGCGACTTGTCTCTCATGGCTGGGGGGGGGGAGTTGAGCGTTACCTGGACATCGCAGTCGTCGAGCTCGACTCCCCCCTTTGCCGTCACGAGGATGCCATCGCCATTCGCGTTGCTGAAGGAGCATCGCTGACAGACGGCAGTCCCTCCGCTCACAGACAAGCATGTCGGTAGTTGGTCGTCGTTGAAGTAGAACCCCTGCTGTCATTCAGTTACGCCAACCCCACCACCCCTCACCTTCTCCTTCACGGCATGTCCAGACGTTGGAGCATGGACAAGCGGCTTGGATACAACCTGAAGCAAGACACGTCAGTCGCTCTAGGAGGAGAACAGGAGATACACGAGGGGAAGCAGGAGGAGGGGAAGCAGCGGCTTTGTTTGCCTGGATCTCTCGACAAGCTGGTCGTACGGAGGAAAACATCTCCAAGTCGATGCCTTGCAGGATCAGCTGAGAGGAGACGGTTGTGAGTCGAAGGCCCACCATGGGCCCCGTGAATCGTAGCATCGACTTTCGCCCCCCTCCAACACTCGCTATCATTCTCACTTGTCCTGAAACCTCCAGAGTCTTTACAAAGTCGAGTGACGTTGCTTCGACCATCACTTCTTTCAACTTCTGTTCTTTTCGCGCTAGGAAGGCAGCAAGTGCAGGAACGTCCTCTTGGCTCTTCACTTTCAATGATACCACCATCCGTCTCGCTGCTTGCTCTTCGCTCATCCGTTGCAAGTCTCTGAGAGCCAGAAACCTTGCGTACTTAGAAACTATCTCTCCCTTCAGAACCGAGTTCCCGTGGCTGCTAGATGTTCTCCTGTCGATTCCAGCGGACCTTTCCTGAGCTTTGTAGTCAATGCCATCGTCGTTTTCATGCGTTCTCGGCGTTTCTGCTCGCTCTACATGCTCCTGTACCCCCCCGTCCAGCTTTCCCTCCTCTCTGCCACTCCTCGTTCCCGGGGACATTCTTGATCTGTGTGCATCTCTCTTGGAAGAATTTCCGTTGGATCTAGTCGTTTTCACCTCATAATCTGTGAAATCCTCCTCCTCCTTCTCCTCCTCCGCCATCGTCGCCATCAGCCGCTGTGGACCTCTGCCGATAAGTGCCCACGCCATGGTTTGGATTGCGGTAACCGTTACATAGGAATTTGCAAAGAAGTAACGGCTTTAAAACAGTATTTTAAACAGTGGGAGATTTTAAGAAGTGAGGAAGGGGGTGGGGTAGATAACACAAGGGGTGGTGAACGAGTGAGTGCTCAACAGCACATGTTTGAGTAGGGTAGGGTACTTCATAAGGGGTGTATAATCCCGAACAAATGCTAGAGTCAGTGGTAGTGGGTAGGGGTATGAAGGTACTTGTGTCAAAGAGGGTGGTGGCTGGGTTGAAAGAAATCGAGGGGGTGGGGTGCTGAGATTACTGTGAACATTTAGCGGCAGGAACATGCTAGCGAGGGGAGGAGAGAGGCGAGAGGAGAGGAGAGGAGAGGAGGGGGGAGGAGAGGAGAGGCATCACAACCGTTGATGTGAAGCATGAGTGTCAAGTTGTACCAGGGTTCAGCAGCAGTTTCACGCAATCGAATGGCAATGTGGTATGAGAGGTTTCAGTCCATAAGACTCACAGTGTGGAGCTGGTTCGACCAAACCAGCTGATTTCAGACAAGTTGATGAGAGGGTTGGAGAGGAGAACCAGGCAAGATGTGAGCAGGTAGCTGGCATGACCACGCGGTGATTCAGGGGTAATATAGGATTGTGGTGTGACCGGAAACAAAGCTGAATTTACTTCCCTCGTTCGGTTAAATCCGCTCGAAATCACCATTCGATTCTACACAATTTCAGGAAAGACGTAGACTAAGGGTTGAAGTGGGTCGGTGTTCTTGACTGAAGTGCTTCCAGCCGTTGAGCTGACTTGGTTGGCAGAGTGATCGAGATCTCACGGCCGATGGGGTTCTTTTGATTCGCCTCCCTTCACTCAGGACATGTCAACTTCACATGGTTTTCTCGTCTCCTCCTCTTCGTGCCCGATGACTAAGTAATGCTGCAGCGCCCATGCAGCCTGATCAGGCGGAAAACCCTCCCTGTCGATTCCATCCTCATGGAGACGGTCGAGTGAACTTTGAATGCGATGGGAAGCTGAGAAGCAGGGAATGTGCTGCAGGTCTTGTGGATTCTCAGAATAGAAGCACAGGAGGTGAGTGAGGAGCGAAGAGTCGATCGTTGCCTCACGTCCTCTCTTTCGCAGAAGATGCGGAATGGAATCGCCAACTTCAACTGGACATGCTCAAACGGGAGAATGAAGGTTCAAGTCGCAAGTGAAGTTCTGCAGACCCTGACTTAGATGTGTCCATGAAGAGTTGGGGAGCAAACTTGAAACTCTAGTGCAGAAGCTTCGAAACCATTCGGACATCAACCTCGATCAGAACCTGGTCCTTCATCTCCCTGCCGCGATTTGTGGTTGTGACCTGAAGGTGCAGGAGACAAGCACGCACTCGGCGTACCTGGATGAAGTCAACCGCGCTGGGAGCACTCATGGCATTGACGGTCTTGTGCAGGAGCTGTGCGTCATGCCAGTGGCAAAGAAGAGAAAGGTATGAGGCCCTTGGGCCCTTGTGTTACCTCACCTCCGCCTCAGGTCCCACAAGTTAAGGAAGTTCTGCTTGTGTTCGAAGGTCTGGGTCATGCTCCTTCTCCCTCAGTCACTCTGATACTTCAGGCGATCTCGAGGACTGCGACAAGTCGAGCATCTGTGCGAAACTTCTTCACCTGAAGCGACTTCTTCATCGACGAGTGAGGGACATGAATGTTCTCCTTGCGCCTGACGTGAAAGCAGCTCGAGTCTCGACTCGCTCCATCCCCCGACGCCATGAACTCACTCATGCATGTCCTCTTCAGTGTACATAAGATGTCTCCTCCTACCCCAAATGAGCGAATCAGGTTCCGCGTGCTCCGCGTGCCTCGTGTCTCTGATGTCACTGGTAAGGGTTCAAGTTTCAAGCAAGGTGACGGAAGCGGCGAAGGAGCAGCTCATGAAAGAAATCATTTGCCTTCTCTCCTTCACTCAAGGCCTCACTATCAACAAAGACGCCGTGACCTTCGTTGAGCTACAAGAGGAGGGAGAGGAATTCCATCGCTCCTGCTGCCGACAGGTTGACTCGAAGCCGGCCAAGGTGCAGGTAGTGATCACGTCATTCAATCACGGGCTGGAGGGAGAGGTGAGGATCGAGGACGCGACCTTGACGGAGCTCTGTGAGGTGGAGAGCATCTCCTGGCAGAAGTTCTTCGGCAAATACGTCAACCTGGGGTGGGTCAACAAGGACGTGTACCGCCTGGACAGCAACGAGCGGACTATCATCTGCAGCAGGGAGAAGCGCTACGGCGACATCTGCCTCTACTACCCTGCTCACCTCGAGCCTTTCTTCATGGACAAGGCTCTCCGGCAGACGCTAGAGCCTGGGAACCTCCTGCACAGCCTCCTGGCCGACCACATTGACGCGATTCACTTCGAGGAGTGGCGGGCGGGCAGCATCCTTGTCCCTGTCAAGATGGCTTCGTGGATCGCCGAGTCTCTCTGGGAGCTCGCGAGGACGGACGACCCCTGGTTGTGCTTCCTCCGCCATGGCCCCCACAGACTCATCGGCTTCCAACTCGACGAGTGGAGATGCGCCCTGGGGGCAGGAGCCGGGGGATTGCAGTCCGGGGAGAGGATGGCGAGCCTGTACTTTGAGCAGGAGAGACAGCAGGAGCTGATCAGGCGCAAGATCTCAGCCCTCGAGAGGCTGTTCAGCTGCAAGCAGTTCGTCTCTCACATCGAGGCCTACACGTTGCGCTTGAGCTCGCAGGCGGAAGATTTATGCGGGGGCATCAGCCTCAAGGATCAAGACACGCGCACGTTGGACGCGCTCTCCTCGCACCTGAAGCGCTTGAGCCTGGAGTGCGAAAGCTGCATCGACAGAGCAATGGATGCCATCCAGGTCTCCCTGACTTCCTTGTCTCCTACTCTCCTCCTCCTCCTCCTCCTCCTCCCCACCGGCAGACAAGCTGACAGCCACATCAGGCGGTAGGGGACGCAAGCGTGCAAGGCGGAGAGCGAGTTATGCACGAGCAGCTGACGAGGATACTGAGAGCAAGAACAGCGAAACAGAATGTAGACAGACTGAAAGATCAGGTCCGGTCCTCCTCTCCTGGCTCTTTGAGTTCTTCCTCCTCCTCCTCTACTTCCCTGCCCTCCTCTGACTTGTCTCCCGCTCAGGTCCATTCGAGCTTACACCAGAGGCTGCACTCACAACAAGTCAACGGTGAGACTGAGGAAGTGACGTGGCCGCCGTTGACCTGCTGGCAGTTGAGAGGAGCACGGAAACAAAGTTGACCTTCGCCATGGTAAAGGAGCTCGAAGATGGTCTTCAGGTATGACAATGATGCTGACGACGACTGCGACCATGTGTACGATGCATTCGTGTCGGGTGTGATGAGATCGCATGCACGCAACTCTCTCTGTTGAGATCCTAGTATTCGCCATGCCCTCATGCCCTCATGCAGGCAAATCGAGTTCAGCAGGAGAGGCTTGTGAATCTCTGGCTGGGTCAGCACGAACTTATGCGATCTGAGCTTCAGGTCTGACTTCCTCCTCCTCCTCCTCCTCCTCCTCCTCCTCCTCTTTCTCCTTCCGCCCTCTGTCCCTTCTCCGAGTTCGCCCCTCTCATCTCGCTTTCTCCTTTGAATTCCCCGCAGAGGCTCCTCATCATGGCGAACTCAGCGGCGTCAGCGGAGATAGGGTTGGTTGCTCTTCAGGTACGACAGGAGGAGGAAGACAGGACCTGAGTCTGCCGCAGGCGAGGTTTCAAGACTACATCGCGTTCCTCGCCGAGCACGAGGCTGTAGAGGACACCATGCTCTTTCCCATGGTTGAATCTGACCCTCCTCCTGCTCGTCTGCTACCTCTCCCTCCCGCACCTCCACTATCTCATCCTCATCCTGTGTACATTGGACTCCTCCTCGTGCCCCGTCGTCCTCTAGCTTGCACTCCTGCTGCTCCGTGCCTCCACTCTCTGATTCCTTGCTTGCAGGTCAAGTCGCTCTTTCCTCAGAGTGCCAGAGACGTCGATCGGTTCTCCTCCTGTTCCTCTCTCTCTCGATTGTTCTCACCCTCTCACAGCATCCTCGACCCCGAGCGTCACAAGTCAGTCGATGACGTCAATGCCGGAGTTGGGAAACTTCTGCAGCAGCTGCACGATCGCTACAGGTCCTTCTCTTTCTCCTGCGCCTGCGCATGTTCCTCCTCCTCCTCCTCCTCCTCCTCACTTAGCTCTCCTCGTTTTCTGAAAACGTCAGCAGTGCGGGAGACTTCGAGCAGCTGTCAAACCATGTGAGGGAGAGGAGGAAGAGACGAGGGAGAGGAGGAAGAGACGAGGGAGAGGAGGGAAATGACTTGCTGACATGCTCGGACAGGAAATGCAGGGAGTCGTGGATGCTCTGGAGCGGCTCAACGACTACATGGTATGGAGGGCGGGAAGGAGCGGGAGGATGGAGTGAGAAGGGAAGGAGAAGTGACGTCGAGCAGGTCGGGCACATTCGATATGAGGAGGAAGCGACGATGCCTTGGCTGGAACACGTTGGGACCACGAGGAGACCTCCGATTGCTGTGTGAAGAATGAGAAGAGAACGAAGAGAATGTTGGAGAGGAGAAGGAAAATTTGTTGATGTTCGTTTGTGGAATAAAGTTTGCCTTCCTCGTCGCCCTCCCCCTACCACCCCCCTCCCTCGACTCGTCACTTGTTCAGCCCCGCACGCGACCTGAAGTGTTTGCGGATGCAATCAGACTCGTCCTCCCGCATCGCTCTGAACCCCACGCCCTCCATTGCCTCCTCCTCCTTCGACCCTCTTTCGACTCCGAAGGAGCGGAGCAGTTCGGCCCAGCAGGCGTGGAAGAGGAAGGAGGAGGAGCGATCGCGGGCAAGGAAGAGCTTAGCCTTGAGGTACTTGAGCAGGTGCGTGCAGCAGCAGTTCATGTCTGAGATGCAGTACTCCACCTCTGCCCACAGCTGCTCGTCCCCTCCGAACCTCCGCAGGAACCGGCGAGGCCCCTCCTCGTCCAGCTCCAGCATGCTCCGGAAGAATCCCACTGCTCCTCATACACTTCCTTGTCCACGAACTTCTCCATGTGCGCGAGGTCGTGGACGAGAAACTCTAGAGCATCCCGGCTGTGCAGTTTCTCGCCCTCCATGTACCGCAGAGGAGCCGTGTGCTTGGAGCTCAGCTCCTCCTCGCTCGTCAACATCGTCACCACTCGCTCCCCCCTCGCCTGCATCTTGAGCACCTCGATCGGGGAGGGGATGCGGAACATGAGCACGAAGGGGCGGGCAGCCAAGAGCCAGCAGACGAGGGAGCGGTTGGCAAGGTTATCCTTGTTCTTCTTGATGCCGTCGAGCTTGAGAGTTGAGAGGATATCGAGCACAGTCAGCTCCTCCTGCTCCTCCTCCTTGAACCATCGCGAGACGTCTCCCAGCAGCTCCTCCAGCCCCTCGAACTTCCGCACGGGACTTGACTTGACGTCCTGCACGGCTCCTCCCCCGTAAGCCGAGGCATCCAGCCGACCCCCCGTCCAGCGCCCATGCCTGACGCTCAGGTAGGCGAGAACGAACGCACCCGCGAAGCTGGCAGCATCGACCTCGCCATGCTCGTAGAGCTTCTTCCACTGAGAGATCAACGGGCTAAGAACCTGACACAAGACGATATCAGGCTGCTTCTTCCTCCATCCTCCACTTCCTCCTTCCCCAACTCGCCTGCTCTCACCTTTGCTTCTGTTCTCAAGTCCACCTGAGCTCTCCGACCTTCTCTCTTCATTTCTCGCTCATCGCCCGCGCGTCTTGTGAGATGCCAAGCAAGGACTCGAAGCACTCCAACCCGCCCGTCCACGCTCCACGCCTCGCCCTCTCCCCTTGCGACGTCTCTGTTGCCTTCCAGGTCAACCTTCACAGCCGCCGATCCTGCTGTCCCTCGTGCTCCTCCTCCTGCCGCTCTCACGCCTGTTCCTCCTCCTCCTAGACCTCTCCTCCCTCCCTCAAGGATCCTCCCGTTCAATCGCAGCCAACGCGGCATGGCGCATTTTCTTGCTCGCAGTTGAGTAAAATTGAAACATTTGAGTCCCAGGGCCATGCAGGACAAGGGCAGGGGGCGACTCCTGACCCCTTCCGCTCCCCTCCGCAGTGACTCCTACTCTCCCTCCGCCTTCCATGCTGGCTTCTACCAACCATCCTCCTCCTTCCGTCCTGACGTCTATCCCTCCTCCTTCTTCCCTCCTGATGTCTATCCCTCCTCCTCCTTCCGTCCAGATGTCTATCCCTCCTCCTCCTTCCGTCCTGATGTCTATCCCTCCTCCTCCTTCCGTCCAGATGTCTATCCCTCCTCCTCCTTCCGTCCTGATGTCTATCCTCCCTCCTCCTCCTTCCGTCCTGACTACCTACCCTATGCAACTACCACAACCAGGTTGACCCCTCCACACGTTAGTTTCGCTCCTGCCCCTCGTCCTCCTACAGAACATCCGCATCTTCGTATGCCCAAGACGACAGGAGCGACTGTCTTGATGGGGAGGCTGCAACGGATCGAGGGGGAGCTGGCGAAGCTCAGGTCGCTCCATCCTCGCTTCAAGCCTGCGGCCTCAGAGGCTCCGCCGCCTTTCAGGAAGTTCTGCTGCTCCTGCGGGTCTCCGCTGCTAGCACGAGGAAGCTTCTGCATGGCATGCGGGGAGGTGAGAGAAGCTTGCTCGACTTCTCTCCTGACGCTCTGATCACTAGAAACTCCCTGAGAGCCCTCGGCACATGACTCAGCAGCAAGGAGCAGAGGAGGATGAGCAGCAGCAGCAGCAGCAGCAGCAGCAGCAGCAGCAGCAGCAGCAGCAGCAGCAGCAGCAGCAGCAGCAGCAGCAGCAGCAGCAGCAGCAGCAGCAGCAGCAGCAGCAGCAGCAGCAGCAGCAGCAGCAGCAGCAGCAGCAGCAGCAGCAGCAGCAGCAGCAGCAGCAGCAGCAGCAGCAGCAGGGTATGCCTGTTCTGTTGAATCATAATGATGACATGTGTATCAGATGAAAAGTCTGAGCAGAGGAAAGTTGCAGAGCAGAAGCAGCTGATGGCGATGGAAGTGAACGAGAAGCCTGAGGGTCCGGACGAGTCTGAACAGAAAGAGAAGGACGAGCAAGCAAAGGAGCAAAGGCAGACAGGCGAGAGCGATCGGGCGAGACAGGAACAAAACAAAATCAGTGAAATTGAGGAGGAGCAGGAGGAGGCAAAGAAGGAGAGTGTTGGTGAGCAGCTGCAACTTGATGTGCAGAGTGAGGAGCAAGGAGGCGAGGCAGAGGAGGGAAGAGACTCGGCCCTTGCTATGCCTGCAGGTCTGCCGGCAGAGGATGGAGGACATTCGACTTCCCAGCTCCGAGACGAGCAGCTGGAGGATGAGGAGCACGAAGTTGAGGCGGACGTGAGGCCGTCGGAAGAAGAAAAGTCTCCAGCGCCTGCTGACGAGGAGGAGGAGATGCGAGGTGGTTTCGAGGTTGAAGGAGAGTACGCGGGTGACGAGCTGCTGGCGGTCAAGCCATGGCTGGGCACCCTCAAGGCCTTGGATCAGATCGGGTTCGATGGGTTCCTTCCTCCCGTCGAGGTCAAGAGCTCGGCGAGCAGACGACTGAGGCTGCAGCATGTGAGTCTGATTCTCCTCCGCTTCCTCTGATCGCCTCCTGGCAGGTCCACGGGTTCCGCGGGGGTCAGTCGCTAGAGGAAGGCTCTGCCTTCGCGCAGTTTGCTCGGGACGGATTTTACGTCTTCGCCGCTGCTGCTCTCGGGGTAGTGCATGACGGCAGCGACAAGGAGCAAGGCATCTTCCACCATCACTCTTCTGAGATCTCCTGCATGGCCATGGACCCGACCGGCTCGTTGGTCGCCTCGGCAGACCAGGGAGCGCGGCAGGGGAAGGGGAAGGCAGCATCCAACATCCTGCTGTGGTCGGCTGAAGAGCAGAGGGTGAGGAGGAGCTTCTCGAGCAGCTGGGGCTGTCGCTGCCTTTCCTTCAGCCATGACGGCAAGAAACTGATCTCTGTCGGTAGCGACCAGGACAACATGCTGCTGCTGTGGAGCCCCGAGGAGGAAGGCAGGGATGCGCACGTGGCGCAGGAGAAAGGCGCTCCCAACGGCAAGATCCTGGCCTGCTCCTTCGCCCCCGTTGCCGTGGAGGGAAAGTACGTGTTTGTGACTGTGGGGGTCAAGCACATTCGCTTCTGGGAGGTGGAGGAGGGGAAGGAGCGCTGGAAGGTGACCAAGAAGAGCGGAGGCAGCGCGACGGAGAGCGCGGTGAGCGTTGACTTCGTGCGTTCGCCGGGAGCGTCGGAGGTTCAGGTGGTGACGGGGATGCACGACGGGTCGATGCTGGTGTGGAAGTGGGAGGGGAGGAAACCCGTAAGAAAGCTGGAGGGCCTGCTGGGGCCTGACGCGATGCTGCGAGTGGCTAAGGTGGACGATCGGGAGCTGCTGGTGTGCGGAGACTCGGAGGGACGAGTGAGCGTGCTGGAGGCAGAGAGCCTGTGGAAGGAGAAGTGCCAGCCCGTGGGGGTCTGGGACCTCAAACATGTCAAGGTGGAGGATGCCGGGGTGGGAGAGAGGAGGAAGGACGAGAAGATGGGGATACGGAGCGTGTCGGTGAGAGCAGGAGAGCAGGGGAGCTCAGTGCTGGTGGGCACGAGCTCGAACGAGGTCTGGTTGATCACGACGGACGGGACCTTTCAAGTTGCTCAGGTCAAGAAGGTCGCCGGGGGTCACTCGAGCAAGAATTTTGACCCGCCGGAGGTCAAGCAGAAGACATCGACAGGAGAGCTCTGGGGTCTCGCTGCTCACCCGCAGGAGGAGGTGTTCGCCACGTGCGCGTATGATGCTGTTCTGCGGGTGTGGAGCCTGACGGACAGGAAGACCCTCAGGTGAGTCCTGCCGTCTCTTGCCCTCCTCTCCGTCTCTTCCACTTGACTCGATCCCTCCTGCAGCTTCAGCTACTTGGAGGAGGACGGCATGCGCATAGGAGGGCGGGCAGTTGCCTTCAAGAACCCTGAGGGTCGCGAGCTCGCGGTGGGCATCAAGAGTGGGACGGTGCTGGTGTACTCGCTAGGAGAGGACAAGTCGACCTCGCTCCTCACCGCGTTGAAAGCTCGCAAGCGCGAAGTCACGGACGTAAAGTACAGCCAGGACGGGAGGCGACTGGCGGTCGGGACGCGAGAGAATTTCGTCGACGTGTACGCGGCTGAGGACGGGGAGTACCGAAGGACGCACGTGTGCCAGGGACACAGCAGCGCGATCCTCCACGTGGACTGGAGCGACACGGGCGAGTGGCTGCAGAGCTGCGACTCCTCCTACGAGCTTCTCTACTGGAAGTTGGAGCAGCCGCAGGAGGAGAAGCAGGCTGTGCTCAAGCCGCATGCTCGCCTGGCGGACCTCGAGGTTTTTCCCGCCCAGCATGTGCCAAAGTGATGACGAGGAGCTGCAGGGGCTGCGGTGGACCAGCATGACGTCACCCATCAGCTGGACCTGCATCGGAGTGGTTGGGAGCAGCGGGACAGGTGAGGTGGGAGAGGAGGAGGAGAGGAAGTGACAGGAAGCAGAGGTGAAGGCGGTAGCTAGAAGCGAAGACAAGACGTTCCTCCTCACAGGCACAGAGAAGCGAGAGGTCTCTGTCTCTCTCCTCCTCCTTCACTCTCGCTCACAACCCTCTAGGTCTGCATCTTCGATTACCCTGCCGTCGCCGGGTGTCAAGGCGCCAGCTACGGGGGTCACGCGTCCTTCGTCACCAACGGTAAGCATGACGAGCATCGCGTCCTCAGCTGACGCCTGTCAGTCGCCATCAGCAAGTCCTGCAAGTTCGCCGTCTCGGTCGGAGGACGCGACGCCTGCGTGCTGCAGTGGAGCATCGAGTGAAGGGAGAGGAGCAGAGCGATTTACGACCAGATGTCCTGCAAGTACTTCCCCTTGTGCATCCACCCGGTCACAAGCTTCTCAGCCTCCGCCGCCTCCATCTCCCCGTGCTTCGCCAGCAGCTTCACTACCGTCGACCTCACGTCCTTGGCCATGTGCGCCCCGTCCCCGCAGACGTACAGGAGCGAGTCAGGACGGAGGAGGAGCTTCACGAGTTCCTCGCCCGCCTCCTCCATCTTGTGCTGCACGTAGACCTTCTTGTCCGAGAGCCGCGAGAAGGCAACGGAAAGGAGCATCGCCTCCTCCCGCTGGAGCCTCTCCAGCTCCTGCTTGTACAGGTAGTCGTGATCCGGATGCCTGCACCCGAAGAAGAGCCACATGAGCCCCTGCGCTGCTGCCTCCACCGTCTCGTCCTCGAGCTCCATCATCATCCCCCTCCACCTCCCCAAGCATCTGTCGCCCATCGACTGCTGCTCTGCCTTCCTCTCCTCCGCGAGGGTGTTGCGATGCTGCAGGAAGCCGACGAAGGGAGCGACGCCTGTGCCGGGGCCCACCATGATGATGGGGCAGGAGGAGTCCTCGGGGAGCTTGAACTCCTTGCTGGGTGCGATGAAGACGTTGAGGACGGGGCTGCTGGCTCCCTCCATCTGCGACTTGCTGTACCACTCGGTGCAGAGAAGGTGCAGCCAGTTGGTGCAAAGGCCCTTCCTCTCCACGCCCTTGGGCGTCTTCCAGCGCACCACAGAGAAGGCGAAGCGAACGCGCGAGGGCTGGACGAGGGGGCTGCTGGCGATGGAGTAGAAGCGAGGGCTCAGGGCGGGGAGAACCTGCAGAAGGAGAGCAAGTGGCGGCTTGCAGGAGGGATAGCGCTCGAGGATCTCGTCGATGGTGGGGCACTCAAGCTCGATCTCCTGCTTGAAACGATCTTTGCCCTTGATGGAGGAGAGGAGGTACAGGTCGTCTGCCTCTGCCGCATCGGCGCAGTGATCGGCCATGAGCCTCAGCACCGCCTTCTTGGGGATCGATCGGATGTCAACCATCCTCTGCACCAGCCTCAGCAGCGAGATGCTCCCAAGCCCCTCCAGGTGCTGCGGCACAGCTGCAGTGGAGGAAGGCGCTGCACTCGGACCTCCTGCGCTGCTGCTGATCTTCACCACTCGGTCTGGGTCTTCGCCCAGCCGGGCAAGAAGCTTCCTCACAACCTCCTCGTCGTTGCAGCAGTCGATGCCGATGCTGTCGCCAGGCGCGTACGTCCAGTCCACGTTGGAGATGTCAAGCTCCAGCTCCACTACGATCCTATCTCCGCTTTGCTGCTCGATAGGGTCAGCCCCGCCATCGCCTTTCCCTCTTCGTCACCTCAGTGGTCAGGTATCGCCATGACGTCACGCGCGCTGGATATCGTCGCTCTGCCAGCAAAGAATCAGGGGGAGGAGGAGAACAGCATCATCTTGTACCAGGCTGTGAGGCACCGAAGGAGAGACTCTGCGACGAGCCCTCGCTGCTGTCCTCGATGCTGTCCTCGATGCTGAGGTTCAACGCGGTGGGTCGAGGAAGCACACCGTACTTGCCCTTGAGAAGCGCCTCCCCACCCTTCACCTCCTTCCAGCCACCAGCGATGTCCTGAATCAGATGCACCTTGTCTTTGTCGGGTACCTGCTCCTCCATCGATCAGCGACGACGCCGTCCCAGCTGCTCTCACCTCGTTTGCGCTCTCACTATCCTTGCCGACCTGCGCAGGAGGCAATAGGAGCTCTGGGACAGCCTGAGAGGGGGCGGGAGGTGACGGAAAGCTGACGGCTGATTGCAGCCATCCTGAAGGCAGTGAGTAGGGAGAGACAGGAAAGCATAGCTCACCGTGGGAGTCAAGAACCTTGTACAGGTGCTGTACCCAGGGCTCCACCGTCGCCTCAAGCCCCCCTCAGCCTCGTCTGCTGCTCCTCCTGGCCCTCCGTGCTCTCCCGCTGCTCCCGATGGACCCGTCACAAGCCGCCTGCCCGCCAAGCGTGACTTCCTCGCCTCTCTCTACCTGCCCTCCCTCCCTCCTACCCTCCTAGCTGCTCCCTCCTCCCCTGCCCGGTCCTCCTCCCTCCCTTTCTCCCTCCCCCCTCTCTCCCTTTCTCCCTCGCCCAGCCCCGCCTGCCCTCGTCTCCCCGTCCCCCTCTCCTGTCCTTTCTCCTCCTCTCCCCTCCCTACCTTGCTCCCAGCTCCTCCAGCCGCTTGTCTAGAACCTTGCCTGGCTTGCAGAACTGGTCGTAGTTCGTGTCCCCGAGCCCCAGCACCTGCGCTCCCTCCCTCGTCATCTATCTCCCTCCTCCCCTTCCCCTCTCCGCTGCCTCTCCTGCCCCCTCAGCCTCCCCTGTGCCTCTTCCCCGCTCGTCCTCACTGGCTTTGCGCTCTCCCTCCCCTTTCCTCTCTCCCCTTCCTCACCGCAAACCGCCACGCGCCAAGCAGCGTCTTGGGATGCGTCCTCCCCTTCACGAAGCGGAAGAACTTGCTCGCGTTCTCCGGAGCGTCTCCCTGCCCTGTCGTAGACACCACGGCGATCACAGCTCGCTCCAGAGTCAGGTCGATCTTCTCGTAGTCCTTCATGCACAGCAGCGAGCATGACCCTCCCTTGCTCGAGATGTCTTTGCTGATCCTGCCGGCGATCGCCTCTGCGTTTCCTGTCTGCGATCCGAACAGCACGACCACTTCCCCGAAACCGTCTTGGAGCACCATTCCTTTAAAAACATTTCAGAACAGCTGCATGAATCTTACAAGGCGCATGAAAGTGACTATGAAAAGGTTGCACTTGATGTTCAGCTGATGAATTAGCAGTGGATCGATGATTTTCCGTGACAATACAGCATAAAACAAATAAGACATCAAGAAAGGACATGAGGTATGTAAAGAAGGAGGTATGTGAAACATTCTGCAGCTAAAATTGCCATCCTCGTTATCTGATGTGAATTCGAAAGGGAGGAATAAGGTATGGTATGCCGATGGCAGTCAGGAATGGAGCATGAGTCTTGAAAAGGGAAATACGCAGGGGAGCGGGGGTGGGCTTAACAACGATGACAAATATGGAAGAGAGGAGGAAAGGAAACCGAGGGGAAGAGGCGGCGAGGGAGCATGAGAGAGAGAGGGAGAGCGGGAGGGGGTGAGTGAGGTTGGGGAGGGAGGAAGAGGAAGCAGGAGTGGGGCTTGTTGAGGTCAGATAGTCGCAAGAGGGAGCGAGAAGAGCTTCTAGTTTCGTTCGCATGGGCGCTTGGAACCTCAACCCCATCCCATAAGTTTGCGTGGGTCTCATGTACCCACCCCATTCTTCAACTCCACTTAAGACTAAAAACACCCCGTGGTATGAACCTTTGCAAAGACCCCCACCCCCACCCCTCCATGTTTGCTTTTACACGGGTGTGATCCTCTGTGACTCACTGAGATCGCCGGCAGTGGCGCCGGCACCGGGTGACCGGTGGGCCCATCGGGCCGGGCCCGGTCACCGACCGTCCCGTAGAGCGTTCACTGAACTTGATTTGACTCGGGCACTGCACGGGAAAGGACAGGTTAAAAAGAACGTCACGTGATCTGATACTCGTAATGATTTTTGACTTAACTTTGAGTAAAAGGCTGTAATCTTCTGTACTGAAGGGGAAGAAAAAGGAAAAAAAAAAGAAGGATGCTGTAAAAAAAAAAGGCCGGACATTAGCGCACTCTGTACAATTGAAAGCGGCATTATAGCGGCGTATCGAGGCCCCACAAGGTCCAATTGAACAGGCGGTAACGCTCACAACAGTGCCTCCGGAATCACATGTGGTGACACGGCGAGGTGGGCTCGGGAAAACATCTTCATTTGGGGAGAAACAACCAGCATCACATATGTAAATTTAACCTAGGTTTTTACCCCTTGCTCAAGGTTAACTACTTGGTGGGGGGGGGTAGTACCCAACGCTATTCAGAGGGACATCCATAAGACCTCTATTATTGTTTCTGCACCCCCTGCTGACGTCCGGCCTCAGAGCACTCAGTCCAGGCCTTCAACTACTGTATCTATTTACCCGAAATTATTAAGTTATAAGTCACTCAGTTGTACGCCGAATGGTCGAGTGTACCTATTTTACCATTGCACTGAGTCTGCAGTTCCAGTACTGCTGGAGGACAGCAGTACTACATTTCCTGTACAAATAGGTAGCTGTTTTTACTACAAGTTGACGTTTTAAAACTCAAATGACGCGTCACCCACCACCCCTTCCATATAGGAGGCATCAGGTGGAGCCTCGTGGTATGGACAGGGTGGGTGCTGTCGCCGAAAAAAAGATTATTAGTAGTACCCCACCCCTCGGTCGACGCCGGGTCTACCCTACCCCCATCCGTCAAACTTGACGGTTCACTCGAAGGCCACGGCATTGGATCCATGAGCTCCTGATAGTTTTTATAGGTGAGTCTCTATTACAAGAAGGGTATCATCGTACCCTCTTGTTCCACGAGCGTGACGTCAACAGCCTCACCTATCCCCCTGCTTGACGACTTTCTTTTACTTCCTTCTTTCCCCCACCCCAGCATGCACTTCCTTCACCTCTCCCTCCTTCCCTTCCTCTGGTAGATCTCTCCTCATGCATTTCGCTCTCTCCTCTGCGTCAAACTCCCTCAATCCACCCGCGTGATTTCCTCCTTGAAGGCTGTATCTTGCTCGACCCTGCGTGCTGGTATAATTCCAAGATGGAGTCTCCTGAGGAGGAAGAGGCAATGAAGAAAGTCTCGAATCGTCGATACCGGTACCTCGCAGCTGCTGCTCTGATTCTGCTTCTTTTGGCTGGCATTGCGATTTTCGTCGTTTTCACCCTACCCAAGAAAGACATGATGCTTCATCCTCAAGGAATTGTTCTGCATGTCGCCTCTGAAAGAGATGCGATCGTGTTCAATGCAACCGCAACCGCCCCCTCGCAGGCTTCTATGCTGCATGACATTCAATTTGAATCAGCGATTTGCAATGTTTCTTTCCTCTCGGCAACTTACTATTGGCTGCACCTTGTGCAAATCAACATCGACGGGCCTGTTCAAGTCATGGGTCAGAGCTCTGACTCTCAGTCGCTCCGAGGAGGTGTCAACGTCACCGACGTCGACTTCTCGCAGTTCATGTCCTGGCATGGGGCGCTTCTCAGACTCAAGGTGGAATGTTTCCTTGAGGTGAAGGCCGACCTCTATTGGGGTCTGTATCAGAAGACGCAGACGAGAAACCTCACGAAATTCCTGAGTTATGAGATGGGGAAGATTTCACGTCGATCTACCGATTCACAATCCTTGGCCTCTGTCTTGAACCTTGCTCTGAATCTCTTTCAAGCAGAAGATCTCAAGGATTTTGCAAGCATGTTCGTCGTTCCTAAAGAGGAGATTGCTCTGATCTTGAAACCCAGACTCCCCTTAATCTTTGATTCGAGTGGATTGATTTCTGCTGTATACGTTCACGTCCCTGAAATCTCTTTTGATATAGGGGCCGAAGCGTTTTATGGGACCGAGTCACAGTTCCAGGAATCGAGCTCAAAGCAACCGAATGGAGTTGTAAGGATTGGGACTTTACCCACCCAGTGGCTGCTGATCTCGCAAAAGGGAAATGGCTCTACTCATCTCGATCAGATTTCTCGAACACGAGCAAATTTTTTCATTACTTGCGCTCATGGAAAATGCAACAGCAGCAGCATCCGGCCAATTGTACAAGTCTTTACGAACTATCTGACCACTCATCCTGTTTCTGGGATTTCAGTTACCTTTTTGACATCAGGTTCGAGCTCAGCGTTGTTCCGGAATCTGTTGGGAAGCCGAAATTCATTTTTCATCAAGCTGTATCCAGTGCAGACAAATTTTCATAGAAAGATGCATCCTCGATCCGGATGGGTTGGGAATCAGAATTTGAATTGTTTTGAAGCTGATTTTGTTCAGCGATGGAGACTTCAGGTTTGTGGCTCATTGGAAAACAATCTGATTTCAGAACAAAAGATACCAAATTTTTCATTTCTCTTTGATCCTCATAAACTACCATCCTTGGAAATAACTTTTGCGGACATCAGTTACTTCTTATCAGGGCAAGGTGATCCGGTTATATATGGTCATGCTAATGTCGCCGAATTCACAAAGATTGACCTGGTCAGGGCATACGAACTAATTGGATTCAATGCAGGGCAAAGTCAACCGTACCTCGATGTCCTAGACGACAGTCTCTCGCTGATTTGTGCCCTGGACGTTGAGGTAGGCAGCACTGTACTCGTCAAGCATTCGTTGGAAGTGGACATCGGGATTGCAAGTAAAACCGGCACGGGGAGTCTAGAGGGATCAAGCATCTTGTTTGCGATTGTCAGACTTGTTGACTCGCAGGGCACCATGAATTGGGAGTGGGTCAATACTGCAGCTAGGCGGCAACTTAACAAGGTGGATCAACTCTTCTTGTTGCCTTTGAATTGGACATTGTCTTCCAAGATGCAAACCAGCTCCCAGGATTGGTACATGGCAGATGCTGCCTTGCTAGCACGAGAGGTCAGAGAGATGGGGAAGATCGAAGGGCTGGCTAGCGTCAGCTTCAGCATCGGGGACTCAACGATACTGGACGGCAGCATTGATGGAGGGTTAGTACTCCGAAATGATGAAATAAGTATCAATCTTATTGCCAAAGATAGAAAAGATCGAAAAGAAAAGTTCCGAGTGACCCTCTTCCTAGGAGACAACAAGCCTGGAAACAACGGATTCGAAGGAATCTTCCTTCTTGCAGACATTCGATGGGAGAACCGATCTCTGCTAAAAACTGATACGAGCCTCAGTTTCATATTGCCCGGGCAAGGAAGTGTTGATTTGCAAGGAAAGATAAACTTTGAATTGAATTCTCATCGCTTGCTGAACTGGAACATCCATGCGGGAGCATCTTGGCCACAAATGTCCCTATTAGATGGGAATTTCGGAGCAGTGCTCAATGTAGAGGATAACAATCACAAATTAATCTACTTTGATGCAAATCTGATCAACAATTTGAAAGCAAACTTGCTATCTATGAATGGAGATGTCACTTTACTTTTCCAAAATAACAAACTCTTGCACTGGACGGGGTCGATAGCAGGCAAGTACACCAAGACCGACCAGTACACGCCGATACCCTCGAGCTCGTCGACGGAGGCCGGGACGACATTCGATGACGTGACGCAGAGAGAGGAGCTGCTCGCAGCCAACTACTCGACAAGCCTTGGGCTCGGGCCGCTAGCAGGAGGCGGCAGCCTAGAGTCGAGCGGAGGCCTGACCTTCTCCACATACTATCATCAAATCAGGGCATGTTCTTCGTCGTGCAGCTACGGAAGCTGCTGGTCGTCCTGCGACGAGCCCAAGACAGAAAGGAAGCTGCACCTGGCTCCAGGCCTGGTAGCGTTGTGGAACCAGAAAAAGAAGATCGACATGACCATGACGCTTGACGGGGCGACGCTGAATGAAGCTCTGGACGGGTCAAGCGTGCTCCATGTGGGCTATGACTCAGAGCCTCTGGTCGACTGGACGGGGTCGATAGCAGGCAAGTACACCAAGACCGACCAGTACACGCCGTGGCCCTCGAGCTCGTCGACGGAGGCCGGGACGACATTCGATGACGTGACGCAGAGAGAGGAGCTGCTCGCAGCCAACTACTCGACAAGCCTTGGGCTCGGGCCGCTAGCAGGAGGCGGCAGCCTAGAGTCGAGCGGAGGCCTGACCTTCTCCACATACTATCATCAAATCAGGGCATGTTCTTTGTCGTGCAGCTCCGGAAGCTGCTGGCCGTCCTGCGACGAGCCCAAGACAGAAAGGAAGCTGCACCTGGCTCCAGGCCTGGTAGCGTTGTGGAACCAGAAGAGGCAGGTTGACATAGAAATGTCTCTCAATGGAGTGGTGTCGGATGCTCGTTTGGCAGGGAGTAGTTCACTGAATGCTCTGATTGGATCTAATAATCTTGTTGGGTTTGCAAATGCTTCGGGTGATTGTCTTGGTTGGTCTTGCCTTCCGTCTGAAATCCATCTTTCTAGTAGCTGGGCTGAGAGTAAGTTGACCTCTATTGATCTTGTGATCCAAGGCTTGTTGAGCCGAGGATGGGACTATGCGCATGGAAGTGTTCTTGCCAGCCTTTGGATTGGTGAGAGACATTGGTTTGCCCTGGATGTTTGTGGAGATCTCCGCGAGCTAGTCATGCTCAAACCAGGGGGAATGGTGAAGTTGATTTCAAGAGCCGCTCTTCTAGGAAACGAACTGATTGACCTTAGCTTGATCGCTGAATATGATGTGAGGGGCAAGGGGTTAAATGCCAACATGACCGTAACAAATCTTCTGACTATCAGCAACCGCCAGCTGTATGCAATTGCTGCAGAGGGATCGTACAGTCTCAACGCTGGACCATATGGAGTTACCGCCAGATTGAGAAAGGATGGTGAGGAAAACTTCCTTCTGATCGGGAGAGGTGACTACGACTGGAACTCTGAACAGAGATTGTTAAATGGATCCATCACAACGATTCTGATTATACCCCACACGCCAGTCAAGGTCGACTTGGATCACATCGTCACTTTGAGCTTGGGCAACGGAGGGAAGTATGCAGGGGCTGTAGACGTCTTGGAAAGAAGAGGCGCTCCTCTCGGATTTCTCGTCCCTTCATTTCCTTCCCTCCTACACGTCAAAGCATCTGCTGTCCTGCGAGACATGCCTGACAACACTCCAGCAAGCTTCTTGAAACGATTTGCTCTTGCGACTGCCGGGCTGGATGTGGCCATGTCAGTGGCAGTCTCAGGGAAAACTGCTGTGGTTGTAACTGCACTGGTGGAGTCGGATGGAGACATGCGGGGAGACGAGACTCGCATGTCCTGCCTCGAGGTCGACCTCGGCTTCCATGGCCCCTTATGGATCACCTTGTACGGAGACTTGAGGTCGACTCGCTTCTCCCTTCCCTGGGCACTAGAGAGCTCCAAGAACTATGAAGCCTTGACAGCTTTGCTTCAATACATCTTGGTCAGCTGGCGGATCAACAACCTCATTGACTCGGTACAGGATTGGAATGGCTTGTACAAGAACCAAGTGCCTCAGTGTGACGTGTCGTCTGCCGGCAAGTTGCTCATCACTCTCGGTGACTTGCCTCATCCAGCATGGCCCCCAAAGGCAACCGGCATGCCGAATGCTGCGGATGTAATCTCAACCACACCCGAACCGACTTATGCGATGCCGTCACAGGAGCCCATGGCAACTAACATCTCGACGACGAGTGTCTACATTCCTTCATCCGAGAAGTCAGTCACATTCTTCGTACTGAAGCTTCCCTTCCTGACTACCGATGAAGATAGCAAAAAGCTTGACTTCGTTACTTCTGTTGCAACCAACATCAGTTATGTCAGTTCACAAGGCTTCTTTCAGTGTGCGATGATTGAATCTAGCAACAATTTGTTCAAGGTAACGCCGTCATTGGATTTAAACGGAAGCCTTCACCTGCAATTAGAAGGCAATGCTTCGGGAGACGCTTTCTGGAACATCAGTCTCGTGGATGGAGACCGAACCCACTACTCTCCCATTCCATTGCACATTGTGGTGCGTCCCGTCAATGACCCCCCGAGCTTCGTCGTCGCTAGCCAACTCCTCCTCCTCCTCGACCTCGGATCGAACCTCGTCCCCAACGCTCTTCGCAACATCTCCTTGGGAGCTCCTGACGAGGATCTCAGTCAGAACATCTCCTTCAGCGTCACCTTCCTAGGCGGGCCTCAGAACCTCCTCCTTAACACCCTCGCGATATCTCCGAGCGGCACTCTATCCTTCAATGCCACGTCGTTAGGAACAGGCTTGACTACTTTCTCTGTTGTTGCGCGTGACGATGGCGGGACGATGAACGGCGGAGTCAACGTGTCGACCAAGCAGGCCTTGAAGCTCGCAGTCGTGAGCAGACCTCGAAGCGTCTTTGACGTCGTCCTTACTCAGATCTCTCTCAATCGCGTGTCCATTCAGTGGTCATACAAAGATCCCGGCCAGGACTTTGAAGCGGCCCAGTATCATTTCAACGTCTCCGGGCGATATGCGAGAGCGTCCAGCGGCAGCTACTACGGCTTCGAGAGGATGGAGAACCTGACGGTCTGTCTGGGTGTCTGCAGCATCGTTCTTGATGACGTCCTTCCCAAGTCCACCCTAGCCGTTACAATCACGGCGGTCAACATCGCAGGGAAGAGCCCTGAGCAAAACCGGAGCATCGTGCTAGAGGATAAGAATGTGGCCCCTACCTTCTCAATCAACTCGACCTTCGTACGCCTCGAGGACGCCGGCCTGGTCACGATAGGCGGGGCTGCGTATGACATCTCTGCTGGGTCTCTCGACGAGGTGCAGCAGAAGCTGACTTTCATCGTATCCTCAAGCTCGCCGGCTGCCTTCACCCGCCTGCCTTCCATCGACCCGACCAACGGCAGCCTCACCTTCCAAACAGCCTTGAATGTCAACGGGAATTTCAACTGCACGGTGTTGTTGGTAGATGACGGTGGCACGCGGTTCGGAGGCGTCAACGTCTCGCAACAGCACTCGTTTGTCATCAAGGTTGTCCCCGTCAACGATGCTCCAAGCTTCTTGCTCAAGCAGCCTGTCATCACCCTCCTGGAGGACGCTGGCTTGTACGTCTACACCGGCTTGGCCAACAGCATCTCGTCAGGGCCAAGCGACGAGAGCTGGCAGTCGCTGACCTTCAGCATGACGTGGACGGGGGGGGCAGACGTTGGCATCTTCCAGGTCGCACCCTCGCTAAACCAGAGCGGGACGCTCATGCTCAAGGCGAATCCAAACATGTCAGGCACGTCCAACTGGACGATACAGCTGCATGACAACGGGGGAGAAGACAACAACGGGCAGGCATGGTCAGCGACACGCACACTGCAGATCATCATCGTACCGGTCAACGACCCCCCGAGCTTCGTCGTCGCTAGCCAACTCCTCCTCCTCCTCGACCTCGGATCGAACCTCGTCCCCAACGCTCTTCGCAACATCTCCTTGGGAGCTCCTGACGAGGATCTCAGTCAGAACATCTCCTTCAGCGTCACCTTCCTAGGCGGGCCTCAGAACCTCCTCCTTAACACCCTCGCGATATCTCCGAGCGGCACTCTATCCTTCCATGCCACGTCGTTAGGAACAGGCTTGACTACTTTCTCTGTTGTTGCGCGTGACGATGGCGGGACGATGAACGGCGGAGTCAACGTGTCGACCAAGCAGGCCTTGAAGCTCGCAGTCGTGAGCAGACCTCGAAGCGTCTTTGACGTCGTCCTTACTCAGATCTCTCTCAATCGCGTGTCCATTCAGTGGTCATACAAAGATCCCGGCCAGGACTTTGAAGCGGCCCAGTATCATTTCAACGTCTCCGGGCGATATGCGAGAGCGTCCAGCGGCAGCTACTACGGCTTCGAGAGGATGGAGAACCTGACGGTCTGTCTGGGTGTCTGCAGCATCGTTCTTGATGACGTCCTTCCCAAGTCCACCCTAGCCGTTACAATCACGGCGGTCAACATCGCAGGGAAGAGCCCTGAGCAAAACCGGAGCATCGTGCTAGAGGATAAGAATGTGGCCCCTACCTTCTCAATCAACTCGACCTTCGTACGCCTCGAGGACGCCGGCCTGGTCACGATAGGCGGGGCTGCGTATGACATCTCTGCTGGGTCTCTCGACGAGGTGCAGCAGAAGCTGACTTTCATCGTATCCTCAAGCTCGCCGGCTGCCTTCACCCGCCTGCCTTCCATCGACCCGACCAACGGCAGCCTCACCTTCCAAACAGCCTTGAATGTCAACGGGAATTTCAACTGCACGGTGTTGTTGGTAGATGACGGTGGCACGCGGTTCGGAGGCGTCAACGTCTCGCAACAGCACTCGTTTGTCATCAAGGTTGTCCCCGTCAACGATGCTCCAAGCTTCTTGCTCAAGCAGCCTGTCATCACCCTCCTGGAGGACGCTGGCTTGTACGTCTACACCGGCTTGGCCAACAGCATCTCGTCAGGGCCAAGCGACGAGAGCTGGCAGTCGCTGACCTTCAGCATGACGTGGACGGGGGGGGCAGACGTTGGCATCTTCCAGGTCGCACCCTCGCTAAACCAGAGCGGGACGCTCATGCTCAAGGCGAATCCAAACATGTCAGGCACGTCCAACTGGACGATACAGCTGCATGACAACGGGGGAGAAGACAACAACGGGCAGGCATGGTCAGCGACACGCACACTGCAGATCATCATCGTACCGGTCAACGACCCCCCGAGCTTCGTCGTCGCTAGCCAACTCCTCCTCCTCCTCGACCTCGGATCGAACCTCGTCCCCAACGCTCTTCGCAACATCTCCTTGGGAGCTCCTGACGAGGATCTCAGTCAGAACATCTCCTTCAGCGTCACCTTCCTAGGCGGGCCTCAGAACCTCCTCCTTAACACCCTCGCGATATCTCCGAGCGGCACTCTATCCTTCAATGCCACGTCGTTGGGAACAGGCTTGACTACTTTCTCTGTTGTTGCGCGTGACGATGGCGGGACGATGAACGGCGGAGTCAACGTGTCGACCAAGCAGGCCTTGAAGCTCGCAGTCGTGAGCAGACCTCGAAGCGTCTTTGACGTCGTCCTTACTCAGATCTCTCTCAATCGCGTGTCCATTCAGTGGTCATACAAAGATCCCGGCCAGGACTTTGAAGCGGCCCAGTATCATTTCAACGTCTCCGGGCGATATGCGAGAGCGTCCAGCGGCAGCTACTACGGCTTCGAGAGGATGGAGAACCTGACGGTCTGTCTGGGTGTCTGCAGCATCGTTCTTGATGACGTCCTTCCCAAGTCCACCCTAGCCGTTACAATCACGGCGGTCAACATCGCAGGGAAGAGCCCTGAGCAAAACCGGAGCATCGTGCTAGAGGATAAGAATGTGGCCCCTACCTTCTCAATCGTCTCGACCTTCGTACGCCTCGAGGACGCCGGCCTGGTCACGATAGGCGGGGCTGCGTATGACATCTCTGCTGGGTCTCTCGACGAGGTGCAGCAGAAGCTGACTTTCATCGTATCCTCAAGCTCGCCGGCTGCCTTCACCCGCCTGCCTTCCATCGACCCGACCAACGGCAGCCTCACCTTCCAAACAGCCTTGAATGTCAACGGGAATTTCACTGCACGGTGTTGTTGGTAGATGACGGTGGCACGCGGTTCGGAGGCGTCAACGTCTCGCAACAGCACTCGTTTGTCATCAAGGTTGTCCCCGTCAACGATGCTCCAAGCTTCTTGCTCAAGCAGCCTGTCATCACCCTCCTGGAGGACGCTGGCTTGTACGTCTACACCGGCTTGGCCAACAGCATCTCGTCAGGGCCAAGCGACGAGAGCTGGCAGTCGCTGACCTTCAGCATGACGTGGACGGGGGGGGCAGACGTTGGCATCTTCCAGGTCGCACCCTCGCTAAACCAGAGCGGGACGCTCATGCTCAAGGCGAATCCAAACATGTCAGGCACGTCCAACTGGACGATACAGCTGCATGACAACGGGGGAGAAGACAACAACGGGCAGGCATGGTCAGCGACACGCACACTGCAGATCATCATCGTACCGGTCAACGACCCCCCGAGCTTTTCCATGATCGGATCTCTTACAGTCTATCAACGTGTTGGAATCATATCATCTTCAATAGCTTGGGATATTTCTGCAGGGCCACCCGATGAGAGCAAACAGAACATGACGTTTGAAATGGACCTTCTGTCTGGTCGGTCTGATTTGTTTAGCGAGTTTCCTAGGATTGACCAGCAGGGTCTCTTAACCTTCTCCAGAACAACTGGGACGTTCGGAAGATCTGATTGGAAGGTGAGTTTGCGAGATGATGGAGGTGTGCTCAATGGGGGCATTTCATCTTCGTCAAAAGTATTTACAATGGTTCTTATCGGAATTCCTTCACCAGTCTTCAACATTCAGTATCAACAACCGAGGAATGGATTCGTTTTGATAACTTGGAACCATTCGGATTTTTCATTGACCAGACAAGAATTAGGGGAGACCTATAACTCTGCAAGAAGTTTTCTAGTCTCATTCACAGAGTGCAGATCCAGTTGCATTCTCACAGCCACTGTACTGGTCAAGAGCAGTGAGTGCTCGAAGATTTGCAATGTGACGATGCAGCTTGCGATTGGTGTCACGTACTCTGTCTCTATAGTGGCACAAAACGAAGCAGGTCAAGCATTGCCAGTTCTTGCGAATGTGTTTCTGCCTGACCTCACACCGAAGTTGGAGTATCTTTCGGTTTCAAGCGGTGACGTGTCACTCGCAACCCTCTGCACGGTCGCTATCAGCAATTTCCAAGAATCTGCTAGCAGTAAATACTTAATTCGAATCAACGACATCAAGCCTCTCCCAGTTGTAGACCTTTTCTTTGTTGCAGCAACTGCGTCGACTGCTCCCAAGGTCACATTGTCGTTCAACATCCCCCCCTGGAACACTACGAGTATTGTCAACATATCTGTGGGATTGATCGCAGCGCCTGACGTTCGTGTGATCTTTCCCTTCGAGTACTTCTCCAGCAGTGTTCCTCGCGTTTCTCTTGTCTTCCCTACCATGGCTTCGACTGCTGGCGGTGACTTGGTACGTATCACAGTCTCCAACGTCTTCGAGTCCAATCCCGACACCAGCGCCTGGCTCTTCAACTTGGGAAACACAAGCTTCCATCCCACCTCAGCAGTGTCCATCTCTCAGTCTGAAGTGTCGCTCATCGGGCAGATTCCTCCTCAGGCTCAGTTCACAAGTGTCGCTACCATAGACGTGCATCTGCTCTATAAGCAAGTCAAGATGAGTTTTCTGCTGCAGATGCAGCCTCCCTGCAACTATCGAGTCTTCTGCCCAGCAGCAAAGTCAAGTTACCTAGCCAATGACTACCTTCTCAAGTTCGACCCCCCCATGACCACGTCTTGTGATATGAAATACTGCTTGGACTCCTCAACCTTCACTGCGATGCGCTTGATTTCGTCATCCCCATCTACAGGCAGCACGAAAGGGGGAAGTCCAGTGCTGATATCGATCGCTTCAGACACTCTCATTTCTGCTTATTCGGGGGGATTGAAGCTCTTGTACAATGGGGTTCCGTTGGCCATCACTGTGGTCTCTACGATAAGGCTTACCTCCATGAACTTCACCTTACCCCAGTACGTGTCGCCATGCTGTTGTGGAAGGAACTACACGTGTGTCTCCACGTTTCAGGTTGTGGATCTGTTGACTACAAGAAGCCTATCGATACCGTTTGAGTTCATCGCAGACATCGAAGGGCCTCCCAACATCGTGTCGATTTACCCTGGATGTACGTCCTCGAGGCCAGACAGTTGCACGTCAAGTCCAGTTCTAACTTTGCAGCGATCCAGCATCCTGCTTGACCTTGAAAACTTCCCTAAGATTGAAACGCAAGGAGGCATTCAAGTCTACATCGACTTCAGCGTAGATCCAAACGCAACCGTAACGGTCTTGTCGAGCACGAATGCCTTGACCAAGATGAACATCAGTTTCGTGACACCAGCGTCTTCTGGTATTTTTACAGGAAGAATTTGGGCCGCTGGGTATGAGAAGAGTAACTCTTTTCAAATCTATGTGCAGAGTCCACCGAACCCTCAAGTGTTGAGTTACTTCCCAAGCAAGTTTGTGGAGGGCGACAGCATTCAAATCCAAGCTCAACTGAGCGATTGGTCATCCTACTTTGATTTAAGCAACGTCGAAGCCGTTTCATCAACCAACCAGACTCACCCAGCGGAGTTCAAGCTTCTCCTTGGCGCTACCTTAGGGTCTGCGACTCTCAAAGTTTCTTTCGTCGCAAGGCTGACAAGCTCCGAGTATCAGCTGAGAATTCAAGTCAGACGCGTTGCCAACCAGGAGACTTTCAGCATACCGTTGAACTTTCAGGTCTCAGCAAATCCCTACATTGGCTACGTATTCCCCAGCTCCGGTCAAGTTCTTACCCGCACTCGCGTGAATGTCGTGGTATACAATTCGTTCTCTATCGCCAACAGTCAGCTCTTCGCTAGCTTCGAGGGGCAGATCGTAACCGTCACAGATGTTGGTCAACAAGGAACTCAGAACACAAGCAGCAGGTTCCTCACCTTCTTGACGCCGAATGTTTCCTCTGTTGGAACCATCAAATTCTGTATTACCAGCAATCAGAATCAGTGTGGAGGTTTGACATCTCAATTTCAGTTTATGGCACCAGCACCATTAGCCTCTCGACGAGCTTCTTCTCAGGGAGGAACCAACATCTTCATCTCCTTCTACGGGACCAACGACGACTTGAAAGTCTATGCTTTTCTTCCCTCAAGACTCTCCGGTGTAGTGAAGTCAGAGTTGAAGGCTACTAGGACGTCTACCTGCACTGACCAAACATTTTGTACTCAGCAGGTTGCAATTGAAGCCCCCGTATCTTCTGATGGGTCAGATGTGCTTCTGCAATTGGAAAACGGAAAATTGTCTCCTCAGAACCTGGCAATCTCGTATTTTCTCATGCCATCAATCATCTCGGTAAATCCAACACAGTCGTCAGTGATGGGCGGAGACTCTGTCCAGATTTCAATGAAGAATTTTCCTGCAATCTCGACAGCCTTAGATGTTTCAGTTGTGTTTGATTCTCAACAAGCAAGAGTTATGCAAGTTTTGGGATACAATGACTTCATTTGTGTATCTCCAAGTCACAAATCCGTAGGAAGCATTCAGCTGTCCATCATTCCAACAAAGATTGCGAACGCGCAAGAGAAAGCTGACATGACAGTGACCAGTCAGTTCTCTTATTCTCGTCCGGATTCGAAAGTGTTGAGCATGATCCCGTCGAGAGGTTCTCTGAAAGGGGGTGCCATCGTGACCATGATATTCTCGCACTTCCCAACGAAATTGACCGAGACTGATGTCTCGGTCGTTTTCAGTAGCAAGCAGCAAGCTACTGTCAATCGTGTTGTACAATCAGACTCTTTCTCTGGAGAATCGATCGTCGAGTTTCTGATGCCTGCCCTTCCTGTCGGTCTGCAGCAGGCTACTTTGACGGTGTCTGACGGGTACAACTCAACGGCAGCTTTGTTCTTTGAGTCCTATGACGCTACCGTACAGCTGACTTGCAACCGTCTTCAGATGCAAAGTCTCGACGACCCGATCAAAGTGACAGGAGGTTGTCAGGGAGGAGTCGATGGAACTGACTTCTTGTTGATCGCTGTCACGAATATCGGGCAAATTCAAAGTTTCTCAGGTCTGGCAATCAGTTTTGGTACAGAATATGCAGTTATGGGCAAGTTAGTCAACTCCACCATGCAGAAAACGTTTGTGATAGTAGCTGTTCCAGCCAATAGCTTCTTTTCCAAGTCCACAGTGATAGACCTGAGCGTTACCAACGCGAAGACCATGGCGGGGATGAGCACCTTACAAGGAAGTGGAAAGTTTGAGTACATTGCAGCTCCTTCCGTGCTGTCAGCTTCTTTCGATGCGATGGGATCTTCAATTATGATTGTCTTCTCTGAAAGTACCAATATCTTTTCTCTCCCTGTGGCTCAATTGTCAACATGTCAATCCTTCCTCGAAATTGGCACCTCTCAACCTTTTGGCAAGTCAGCCAAGTGCACGTGGCAAGACGAACAGACGCTGAGCATCATTCTGTCCTATGACGCGACAGTAGCTGTCAATGACAACCTTCAGATCAAGATGAACCTCGTCAAGCACGTGTCAGGCCTCGGCCCCTACGTGAGTGGAACCGTCAAGGTCGCAAGTCCCAGCATTCTCATCAAACCTGTCTTTCAACTCTTGGGGCCCCAGGAGGTTGGCCCTTGCGACGATGCTCAGATCATGGCTCTAGGAACGTCGTCAAGGCCTCTGACCTTCTCCTGGACCTGCATGGGATGCCCTGATGTGATTCAATCCAAACTTGCAGTCACTGTGAGCGACAAGATTGTGATTTCAAGCTCCGACCTCGCTCAATCCCAGAGCTCCTACCGCATTCAAGTGTACGGGGTGAACTTTCTTGGAACGAAGAGCGAAACACTGAGCCTGCAGTTTTATCGCACATCCTTGCCCATCCCTGTCGTCAGCTTGTCAGGGTTCGACTTGTACAAGAAATCGGATGACATCCTGCTTGGGGCCCAGACAGCCTTTTCCAAGTGCAGCGAGGAGATGGAGTTGCAGTTCAAGTGGGAGCAAGTCAACCAGGATAACGCTGCGACTAACAATGGCATTCCCGCTTCTGTGCTGGCAAGAAACTCTCCGACTTTCTTTCTGTCCAAAGGAACGCTCGCGGTCCCCGGGTTGTATAAGTTGAAGTTGACGGTGACGCTGCCTACGACTCCTCCGACACAGACTGCCGTCAGCACTTCCTTCACTCTCTTGGCTTCCGATCTCATTGCCATTGTCAAGAACGGAGACTCCAAGATCGGCCGCTCGCAAAAGCTTTCCTTGGATGCGGGAGATTCAAAAGATCCCGACTATAGAGGAAGCTCGCCTGACGTCAACTTGAAATTCACCTGGACGTGTAAGGTGCAGGGGATGATGTGCAGGGACCGGAAAAGCAACAATCCGTTGGTCTTCGACAGCTCGTCTGTGCTGTCCATGTCTTCCGACGGGTTTGAAGTCAACGTGCAGTATATTTTCTCACTTGAGGTCATGAAAGACTCCAGGTCAGCCAGCACCAGCGTCTCCATGGTCTTCGTCGAAGAGTTCGTACCGCTCACAACGCTCACATCCCCTTCCACCATGCTCGTCAAGGGAGAGAACGTTCTGAACCCTCTGCAGACCCTGAACCTCCTCGAGTACTCCTGCACCTCCTGCAGCTCCTACAAGTGGCAGCTCATCGACCAAGGGACTGCGACGGTCTTGCCAGCAACGACCAACGAGCTTTTCTTGTCCTCCTCCACCTTCGTTCAGGGCCGTCGATACACAGTCCTTCTGACAAGCTACCAGTCGCCACAAGAAGGTCAGGTGTGTAACGGCCTGTGCCAGGGATCAGCTTCCTTTGAGTTCCGAGTGAATCTTGCTCCTTCGGGGGGTCAGTGTAGCGTCCAGCCGACGCAAGGGTACGAGTTGAACACACAGTTTGTGGTACAATGCGGAAGTTTCAGCGACGCTGATCTGCCGCTCTCATTTCAGTTCAACTACAAGGTTAAGAACGGAACCGAAGCCTCCTTGGCTCCATCCTCGTCCCCCATGCGCAGCCTCTACCTGCCCTCAGGCGAGATCAACATCTCCGTCATCGCCATCGACAGCCTCGGCGCTCAGTCGACTTACTTCCTTGATCTCGTCGTTGTGCTTCCCATCCCCTCCGTCTCTCCCGTCGTAGCGCAGCAGGCGCTGGACTCCTTCGTTCTCTTGGGGAAGACATCTGAATTCAGCAACTATGCCATATCCCTCACGCAGAAGCTCTCGAGAGACAGCTCGACGCTTCTCGCTCGTCGCCGTCGAGCTGCAGCTTCTCTGCGCGTCAATGATGTGCAGCTGTCAGAAAGCGCGTTGATCAGAAGCAACACTACCCTCTCACTGTTGCGAATCATTGAAAAACAAGTGCCATCAGCTGGGAACTTGCTGGAAAACATCGGGACCCTCTTCTTCCTTGTCAACAGTTCAGAACCGCTTACGATGGATGCAACTGTCGCTGCCGTTGAGATTCTAAGCAACACAACCATCTTGATCCCGCAAGTCTTGCAATATTCGCTAGAGAGAACAACGGTACAGACAATCATCTTCATTGCATCCACACTTAAAGATCAGCTGCAGCAATCTGTGTTGTCGATGTCAGAAAAGACGAGATGTATGAGCATGCTGGTTACTTCTGCTGCGACTGCGATGTATCACGGGATCTTCGACTTTATTGACATCAAGAACAACCTTGTTTGTGATCATACTTGTGTCCCTACCACCGACCACATCTTTACTTACAAGTGGAAATCCGCATTCACAAAGATTTTGCACCCTCAAGACATTGCTGTCGAGTCACTATTCATGCTAGCAAACATTTCAGCTGGCAGCTCTGCTGTTGTTCCAGCCAGTAGCGAGCAAAGCGCATCATTTTACACGTTCATGTATGTCTGGAGGACTCCGCTAGCGACCAACACAGACACGTTCATCTCAGACTCGCATGGTTTCATCCTAGGCATCAGTGACCTCAACGGCGTCCGGAATTCCGTCAGTCAGTTCGACTACGACGCGAGAATCCCTGTTTCTCAATCAGACCTCTCAAGCATCCTATGGAACTGTGTGATGTGGAAACAAGGCTGGAGCAGCGAAACCTGTTCGCCTGTTGGCTTCTCTCCCAACATTGCCCAGTGCTCATGCAAAGAGACAGGGTTAGTTGCTGTCTCGGTATCTTCTGTCAGCGTGTGTGGTAAGTTGCAGATACTTTGCGCAAGTCATAATTGCTCGCCCTGACATCTTTGACTTGTAGGTGATGGGCGAGTGACTGGTAAAGAAGAATGTGACGATGGCAACCGAGTCAGTCAGGACGGATGCAGTCAGTCCTGCACACTTGAGAGCGGATTCACATGTCAGCCCGGCAACAGCATACTCCGGACCCGATGTGTCAACTCCTCCTCGACAACCACAGCCTGCAAACCTCAGATGCTCGGCCCTCACTGCGAGACTCTCTGCCTGGGTGAGGTCGTCGGCGACAGCTGCACAGCAGAGACCTTAACCCCTCTCCTGGTGCAGCCAGCCGTAGTCGTTGGATCTCTCGGCGGCCAAGTCTCCCTAGCCAGCTGGGGAAATCTGACCTTCCCCAAGGACTTTTACGGCTCGACCCTAGACATGACCGTCAAGTTGTATGCTGGAGTCCCGCTAGCCTCTGGGTCGTCAGTCGGGCCGACTCTGGTGCTGGAGCCAACAGGCGCCACGTTCTTGAAGCCTCTCACGCTCTCACTCTCAACATCACACGTCACGGACTTGGTCGCGCAGCCTGTGGCCTTGTACTACTTGAACTCCCTCACCAAACAATGGGAATACGTGGAGAGCAGGGTCGATGTTCAGCAGAACCTCCTCACTGCTCAAATACTTCACTTCTCCGTGTACGCCGTGCTACGAAAGCCTCCCGAGAATCAGTCGCCGAGCCCCAAGGAAGCAGCTCCTCCTCCTCCTGCTGCATCCTCTACTCCACCTGGCACGACAAAAGACACCAAGAGCTCCAAGGTGCCTGTCATCGTTGGCGTGACGGTCTCGTGCGGGGTGGTGGCGCTGGTGGCTGCAGGTTTGTTCGCTTACTACAGGAGAAGGATCGCCGAGAAGCTCAAGGAAGGAGCGTCTCCGGCTGTCACTCCAGCCCCCGAGCCCGCAAACACCCAGGAGAATCAGGTCAACGATGAGGGCCTGGAACCATACTTGGAGTCACCGATGGCCGACGCCTCCTCCCGATCGTCATCCTCAGAAGATGATGAAGAGATCGGCAGAGATCGAGGAGACACCGACAGACCCCATCTGGACGCGATTCCACCAGGACATGTGGCACAGATGGTTGAGAAACAGAATCGGTTGGTCCTTGAGAGCTCCAAGACCGACAGCGAGGAGAAGCGACCGCAGAAGCTCAAATCCTCCTTGGAGTATCAAGACAAAGTCAACGACGAAGACAAAGACAAAGGGGATGAGGACAAGGAGGAAGACAAAGGGGAAGAGGAAGATAATAAGGAGGAAGGCGAAGGAGAAGGAGATTATGATAAGAAAGGCGAAGGCGAAGGAGATTATGATAAGAAAGGCGAAGGCGAAGGAGATTATGATAAGAAAGGCGAAGGCGAAGGAGATGATGATAAGAAAGGCGAAGGCGAAGGAGATGATGATAAGAAAGGCGAAGGCGAAGGAGATGATGATAAGAAAGGCGAAGGGGAAGAGAAAGATCATAAGGAGCGTCAGGAAAAGCCAGCTGGCGAGACTTCTCCGGTATTCCCATGAGAGCGAGCGAGGCTTATTTCTTGACCTAACCTTTCAGGAGCAGCAGGAGCAGCAGGAGCAGCTCCCTCCCCTGGTGTCCACAAGCAAGGAGGCAACAGCAGAAGCTATGGAAGGAAGCCACCAGCCTGAGCCAGCGGCTCTGCCGGTCGAGGTGACTTGTTATCTCTGTGTGGTTCTTTCGTTGACAAGCGCTACAGCATGATCAGGAGCTGCGAGTCATGAGCTACTCGCTTGTATTCGCAGAGCCTCAGCGATCTCTGGGGCCATGGGGGCTGGACGGGCCCCACAACTGCTAGTGCGAGAGGTTGAGAACAGCGAGAACTCTGACAGTTTGATAACGACACGAGGGACAAGTGTCGTTGATCTACCTGCTAGTGAAACAACTTGATACCTCTCTGATGCTACACACACTCCCACTAACATGTGGAGTACTCCGGGAAAGCGAGAGCTCGCGAGGGGCGAGTGTGCTGGTGCATCAGGGAGCACTTCCCCTAGTCCTTCCCTTAGCCTAGATAAGGATCAGCCTCTGCAGCTAGAAGGGTCTGTTCTCTCCTCATGTTGTACTCCACGTGGATCTAGCATCGGAGGAGCCTTGAGCGTTCGCTGTAGAGGTGTGCTAGCCGTAAAGCTTCGGGGTGTGACACCATGACATGCGGCCTCCTCAGCAGCTCTGACACCCTCTGACACCCTCCATCATCATGAGCTTCTAGTCTCATTTCTATCTATCGATGAGGCACAATCGCATAGGCCGATCGAAAGTCAAGTCGTTTTGGTTCCAGCACGAGCAGTCAACGCCTCCTAAGACGTTTGAGGGTATCGTAGAAAATCTCTTTCAATTCAACTCTCAACGACTCTGATATTTGGCGACAATTCCTCACGGCCATGTTGTACCTGGAGAACACTCACACCCTGCAAGCCCCGGATGGTCCCGGGCAAGAGGAGGGAGTCCCAATACAATACAGCTAGGAATCCCAGAGCACAGCTTCCGTAACAATAGGAGCAAGTTCCAGTTGACGCCGGGGTAAGGATTGTTTGCAAACCTCATCTTCGTTCAGTCGCTTTTAGAAAATACATGTCTGACCCAAGTAAGAATCGATGCCATTGATGTGTGCGCCCAAGACCAACACACATCACGCGTGCTCGTGACTAGAGCTCATCTAACCACTCTAGTGTGTCTTACGATCGGGATGAAAACCCCCTGGCCGTCTGCTGACTGCTTGCTCGAGCACCGACACGCTGCCAGGACTTCCGAAGTAGACTCACTGTGAGTCAGTTCTCCGAAGTTTGGCCGTATTATTTCAATCTTTATTGAATATTTTAGTCATAGATCGCTCTGCTACTGAAAAAGGTACTGAATGTCTTATTAACTAAAAGATCATGTCTTAATGCGGCAACAACCCTACTACCCCATCATACCAAATGAATAAAAAGGGTCATAATACCCCCACCCCATGGAACTAGGGTCATTTCACCCCTCCATCTGTCACTGGTGATCCTCAGATGCGTCTTCATTAACCCCTACCCCCCAAACTCGAAGCTTGTACCCACCCCTTTGAAATCGGTCCGGTGGAATCGCCACGGCCGTCCCAAAAAAAAATACCTCCACCCCCACACCCCCACAATGCACTTACGAATGCTGATCACCCCACCCCTCCCATCTATCTCTATCACTACGCCTTGTGTACCCGTCCCTTTACAAGTCGAGCCCCTAGAGAGTTGAGACCCATCCCAAGGTCTACCCACCCCTGTCCCCCTTAGTTTCTACTCACCTTTGATTTTAGTACCCCACCCACACAATTCGTAAAGCATGCTAATGACTACCCATCCACTCCCGCTGTCCGCTTCATAAACTTACTTTTATAACCCCCACCCTCTCAAAGCAACCAAATCACCCTCCTCCTTCTGACCCTCTGCAACTACCTCCGGACCCCTACCCCTTACACGTAATCGCTAGTCCCACCCGTGCTCTAGGGTGGTACCACCAATTCTGCTTGCCAGACTTGTTCTACAACCCACCCCATGATGTACACCCCCACCCCCCCATTGAGCTTTCAACATCAAACTCGTCTCAATCTGCTGATAAAGAGGGGCTGCATCTAAGCCCCCTACCCCCTCCTCAAAGCCTCTATCCTACCCCCTACCTCCTACTACATAACCCCTTCCAGCAACGCAAACGCACAGGACCCCCTACCCTTATGCTTTCGCGTATCTTCTACACCCCTACATCATAGTACAAAAATTTCCTAAAATACCCGGTATTTTGACAAAGTATGACCACCTGTACCCCTAAAATTACGAGGCATTTTCGTTGTTTCCGGTCCCGACCCCTCATTATTCTGGTACCCTACCCTTGGGATGCTGTCCCTTCGTCACAGCAGCCGGGGGGCGGAAAGCAAGGGGTCATAAAGATTAGGGGTAAGGTAGAAGATCGTCTAAACGCTGGAAGGGAAAACGGTGGGGTCATAAGATACAGAAGTAGGGGTATAGATGCATGGACTTCAGAGAAATACTGTGACATGGAGGGTGGGGTGTGACAAATAAGGGGTAGTGAGAAGTTGGGTAGGGTGTGGGAGGGGTCGGGGGGTCCCTCACCGTTGGACAGCAAACTCTATTTGGTTCCCTGCGTCACAACCTCCCTCCTCATAATCCCGCCCGACCACCTACTGCTCCTTCGCAGAGCCAACTGCTTTCACCGCGCTCTCTTCGCTGTTCCCGTCAGCTGCTTCCAGCTCTTTGTCTTGCTCCAGCCACTTCAACTATCGATTCGTTCGTTTGTGGTGCTTGACTTGCTTCCATAGTCCGTCTCAGCCTTTTGATTACGAGTCCGTTAAACGAGTATCACCTTTCGCCAAGTTTGATTCTGTACTTTCTCAAGTGTTTATCATGACCGTCGTAACTCAGCCAACCAAGGATCAGACTACTCCTGAGGTTCCTAACGCACTTCGTGAGCTTGATATTGACGATCTCAACTGCGAGTCCACCTGCCTCAGAGCACTTTCTTCTTCCTTCTGTCCCGACCCGGTCGACGAAGGTAACCTAGTCTCGGACAAGTGACATCAATGCCTCATTTTCTGGTCGAGTTGTCCTGTTGTAGAAGTTTTCCTCGATGTTTTGGTTGTACAGTACTACTGCAGAATTTTGTGAAAAATGTGTAATATCCCTAAATGAATGACTGTTGTAGTATGCAGATTAGAATGGTTTTGTTATTTCGTGCATCTCCAATCACTCATCACTAATTTTCCTCGAAGTAATGAAATCATTTTAAACGATCCTTCAGTTTGCTTTCAACCCACCACCACTTCATGCAGGACGGTGCTTCCCTGAGGATCTGAACAACCTCATTGCCACGAACTCATGGTAGAGAGTCCAGGTGAGAGCCGCCTAGCATGCTCGTGTTACAACAATCCGTCTCGTTACAGTCTGCCTTGTCGCACCTGCACGCTGCGCTTCACAACGCGGGGAAGGACCCCGAGGTGAAAGAAAGCTCCAATCCCCTACGTGTCATGAATGACCAAGAGTGGAAGCAAGGAGAGTGTAACCAACCTCGTTCTTGTACATGGAACGAACGACATGCATGACGCTCATCCCACCTCCCCTGCCCAAACTTTGAGTGAGGCCAATCAACTCCTCTTCTCCTCACCCTTCCACGTTTCGCAGCTGCATTCTAGTCCGAACGACATCAGGAGGATTGGTCAAGATCGTAGCAAAAACTCCTGCAGGCAAGGTGAGCGACAGATGGAAATATTTGGAGGAGAAAGCAAGAAAAACGCATCGACTCACCCGAAAAAGCGCCAATGCAGAAATTCAAGAGAGGGCGGGGGATCATGGTTGCAACATCGAGAGGTTCTATTGCGGCTTTCGACTTGGAGTAGAGAAGGAGGTAAACGCCTGCAGACTCTTACGAACGACTGGCTCTCTCTGTGCTAACCAAGAACCTGAGAACGGAGAGTCTCGTAAGATGGTCGGAAGGAAGCCGCGGAAGAGGGCGGTCGGGTGCTCGGCTCGCGCGATCCCTCTCAAAGTCTGGATGATTCCGTTGCCATACCATCGGTCTCCTGCTTCGAAACTGTTTGCCTTCATCAGCTTCTCCTCTGCACTAGCTCAGGGGAGGACATCCGAGTCTTACCGCGTCTTGACGACCGTGAACGGCATGACGGCTGCTGCTGCCAACCCTCGAGCGAAAAACCCAACAGAGAAGATCTAAAGCAGGCATGACCTTGAGAGCACAGAGAGGTATCCAAGGAGATACAGACCGTGAGAGAGCTTTGCTGCTGCGGTTGCTGCAGCATGCCCTTATTGGATTCCAACACAACAGGAACGTGAAGATGGTTGAGGCAGAAGAAGTAAATCCCCATTCCAGTACCAACTCGTAGAACTGCGAAGTTATCACATGCGTGTGAGAACGAAACGAGAGGAAAAGCAAGAAGTCGCACACAGTCTCACATCACCTGAAGGAACCATCCCATTCCATAAACCTTTCCATCCATGTTGGTGCACAATGTTTTTACATGCGGCCCAAGTGTTCAACCCCTGCTTCGATGGAGCTTTCTGCATCTCTGTCCGGATTACATCCAGTGGTTGTGTGGCAATAGTTGTTATGACACCCGAGATGCAGCCTCCCATCAAACTTGTGGAAGAAGAGACAACTTGTCCAGACGGGGACTGAGGTGCCATTTGATTCAAGTTGGATTTTCTTTTGAATCCGCGGACAACTCTTAGGAGACTTTCTTGTCAAGTATGATCTTGCCACAGACACAAATAATAAATCAATGAGAAGATTGAGACTTCTTTCGCTTCATCCGTCCCTTGGAGGAACAACACCAATCAAGTATAGCAAAGTTGTCCCAACAAACGCTGATGATATCCGCCCCACGTCTTATCCCTGCTTCTTTCAAATCATACTTCAAGGGCGTCTGGGATCTATCACTTCTGTCCTGCTTCCTCTCTGCAGCTGCCATGGTCTGCTCCTCTCTCGCCTGCCCCTCCTCCTCCTCGTTTGTCGTCAAACTTGTTCCCCGACATGCTTCACTCCGGCCGCCTTCAAAAAAAAGACCTGCTGTAAAAGTAAAAACAAACAAACCAATACCTACCCCACCCCGAAGAATCCCTTGAATACATGGGGGTGGGGTCCACGTCGCCGGACAAGGATTGGGATATGGCAGGGCAGAAAGAAGCAGCGAAGGAAGAGTAGCATGTAGCTGACGGCAGCACATGTCTGATTGCCGATATGAGATGGCGACTGACGACATGAAGAGAAGAAGCTGAGAAGAGGTTGCAGGAGGGCTCTCTATCGGTCCTGCTCTGAGCACTCGCGATGTCCGGTCTGCTTGACGACTCCTTTGGCGACGGCCTTATGAGTGGAACCTTCCGCTGGACATCTGCTAAGGTTCTTCCTCCCCTTCCTCCCTTTCCGAAGCCGCCACTGAAGGTGGAGACTATGAAAGGCTGGGGGAGGTTCTTAGAGACCAGAGACCCGTCGGGCAGTCTCACCACCATCGCCAAGTCAGATTCGTCCCTCCTTGACGGCCTTACCTTCCCGGTGACGATGGCGTATGTCCTACAGAAGTTTGGGGGGTGCAGGCGAGAGCTAGAGGAGGAGGAGGAGGAGGAGGAGGCGGGAGACGACCACCAGTGCAAGCGTGACGGAACGCGGGGAAGGAATGCAGGAGACAACGAAACCGGGTTGGGAGAGGCGACGGGGAGAAAGAAGCTGAATCTGATAGTGCTGGGAGCATCGAAGAAGGCAGAAGAAAGGATCCTGTGGGACACCAAGTACTGGCAGGAGGTCGCCTATCTCTTTCCCCATCACGATCTGCACTTGTTCCTCATCGGTCCCGAGATCTCTTCGACCAAGTCGCCTCAAGAGATCAAGAGGAGGGTCGACATGCCGTCAAACTTCACGGTCGAGCTTCTTCGCTTGCAGCCTCCCTGCGCCAGCAAGTTTCTAAGTCAGCATCCCGAGCTCGACAGCGCCAACAGCATGTTCTTCACCTTCAACGGCGGGTTCGGGAGCTTCGTGGAGACGGGGGACATGCAGCTGCTCAAGAGCTGGTACCCTGACCTGCTGCGAGTGAGCGAGAGCGGCATGAAAGCAGCCTTCACTTGCGCCAACGACTACATCGACGTGGTGGGAGAGATGCGAGTGCATGAGGAGATGATCAAGTCCAGGATCGTTGCTGTGCCCCAGCTCAACCCGTACCACTCTGGGAGCACCTTCGTGGGAGAGGCGGGGAAGGAGGGGAGCTGGTTCAGTGGGAACTACTGTTTCTACGTGATACAGGGTCGGGAACGATCAGATGACAGGGAGGAGCGGAATGAGGAGGATAGGGAGGGAGAAGAGGCTGAGTCTGGGCACTGTTTGGGAGCAAAGGGGCAGGATGGTGGCGGAAGTCAAAGGCAAGGTGGAGAGACTGAACTGAACAAGTCCAACGAAGAGAGCGGGAAGGAAGAGGAAGAACAGGAGACTGGGGGGAAGGACAAGGAGATTGTGGACGGAGGAACCGAAGGGAGTGAGGAAGTCGGGGTGGAGGAGGTGGAGGAGGTGGCAAACGTGGACAGCATTGTCGACTACGAATTCCAGCATGAAGTGCTGGAGGGAGGAGAACAAGTTCTCATCATTGTCATTCGATTCAATGAGGATACATCCATGCAGCATCTCGACCTTCAGGTCCCTCCTCCTCGCCCTTGAGGGCGCCTCCTCCTCCTCTATTCCTGCTGACACCCAAGGTAGATGGCAGGGAAAGAGATCATCTTAACGCAGAATCACCGCAAGATTCTGCAGAAGCCGCTGCCACTTCCCGTCGATTCTGAGGACGTGCGGGCAAGGCAAGTCAGCTGATTCTTCTCCTCCTCGTGACCTCCTGGCGCAGGTTCTCCAAGCGAAGGAAGGAGCTAAAGATAACAGCCAAGATACTCGTGTAGGAGAGAGGGAGAAAGGTGAGGAGCGAAGAAGTTTATAGGATGATGACGAGGGCGAGGGCGAGGGCGAGGGCGAGGACGTTCCAGGGACAAACAAATTTAAGTTCAATCTTAAAGTTTAAAGTTTCACTCAGCAAGCAAGTTGACAATGAGCTTTCTGATCTCCTCAGGGTTGAGTGTACGAGTAAGGGCGGGAAGGATTCTGAAGTGGCATCGGGTACATCATGGCGGAGTTCTTCGACCCTCGGATACTCCCAGGCAACTCCACTGGTGCTTCCTTGGTGGAGTTAAGCTGGGAAAGGATCAGGGGGGGTCAAGCAGGAGCATGAGGACTGACCGTGTCAAGTTGGGCTCCGATCCTTCTCACTAGAGCAACGACATTCATGCCTCCTCGGTAGATGAGTAGGTTACAGATGCTCCCCTGCGAGACACTCTCATCAATGTTTCCGCATCATGTTTCCTGCTTCCCTGAATGACTCTTAGGACTCTCTATCTTCATCTCAGCTCTCGCATTCATCACACATCTCTGCGCGTCCTCTCCCTTCTCCATCCGCTCTACCTCTGGGCCCAGCGTGAGGCGTCGGATCGTCTCAAGATCCCTGCCAACGATGCTGATGCCGTCGATACTTCGGATGACCTGCGACGGTTGAGTGACGTCGGGGAGGAGGAGGTGGAAAGATGCTGAGGGAAAGGAAAGGCGATGGTCTTACGTCTCCGATTTGAACTTGTCCCGAGACCGACGCTCCAAATCCAGGAAGAATCTCATCGACTATGGCGTATCCATCCTGCGAAAAGATCAGCAAAGACAGGAGTCTGCGACTGCCTTTTGCCTGCTGCTGTAGTCCTATGCCTAGACCCACTTCGTTGGCCGTCCATGTGACTGCTGTCTCCTCGTCTACCGACTTGACAGCGGGCAAGGTGCGTTTGAAGTACAAGATAGCGAGACCAAGGAAGAGAGCTGAGGGGGTGTGAGACGGAGAGAGGAGAGGAAAGTGCAAGACCAGCAGCGACACAGCTCAGGACGATGGCTACGATCTGCCAGGCAGGAATGGACTGACCAGGAGCTGGAGGAGTTGTTGTGATGTTGAGGCTGCAGAGGATCTCAACAGGTCAGATGAATTGGAAGGAGGAGCCAGTAGAAGCACAACCAGATGGAAGGAGGAGCAGAGAGAATCATGAGCAATCCTCCTGTTCCTATGGGAGGGATCAGTACGAGAACGGCAGCTCAAGACGTGGAGAGAAATCACCACAATATCCTGCAGAAGTGACGGCAGATGCGCAGTCGCTGCTCAAAAGACAAAGCGATGAGAATATGGAAATCACATGTACGCTAACCGCACCTATAAGGATTGAAAGCATCGCCATTGAGCACGTCGGTAGGAATCGAAGCTGAGACTGTGTTCTCTGTTTGATTTCGCACGCTGGAGCACAACACATTCTGTAGACGAGCAACAGAAACAGCTTCACAATGAAAGAACAAGATCATCATTTATGTCATACCCATTGTACAGTCTTCTTGTTTAACCAGAAGACCCTCGGCTCGAACACTGTGCTCTGCCTCCTGCTTGCCGCCGTCGTCGGACTCTCGATCTGAAGCTTCACGGTGATGGCCTTGAGAGCTGCGGCTCCGTATTCGAGCTCTAGAATTCGACTGGAGCCACTGTATGTGAACGACTGCACGAGGAAGGGAAGCGCGGTGGTGTTGTACGTGACTGCCGTCAAGCTGACTACAGTCAACCCTAGGAACGTCCCTGGTTGAATGGTGCAGGTGAACCTGAGTGTGAAATCAGCACGACTGCCGCACTGGCAAGCCTATCACTTTGTGCCGTTGATCTGCAAGGTAGCGACTGCTGTCGGCTTCACATCTAGAGTGACTCTACACGAGGCACGGTCAGTCGAGTATGACAGAGGCGACTACTACTCACGTCGCGTTGGTCGAGTTTGTGGAATTCGTAGCCTGAACGGTTTGGTGGCAGTGCAGCAAGCAACAAGCCGCGAGAACGATCGCGAAAGTTTGCGGTCTCGACATTCTTTTCTGCGTTACTGAGAGTGTTGGGGAAACGAGAGGAAGTGGACGATGAAGCCACCAACAAGGATGTTTAAGTCACAGTAGGATCCAATTCACCGGCCTTCCGATCGCATTCACGACCGATTCATTGGACGATTCCGGATGAGGCCGTCTCAGAAAATCTTCTCTGGGATTTCGATGCCTTCCTTTCGGACCTGGTCGCCTTTACGAACCTGCCCTGCAAGCGATTCAGAAGATACAAAAGCACAATTCAGGTTTTGAATTCGCAAGCAGAGCGTACACTATCCATGAGACGAAGTATGGGCGTCTCTTCAGTAACAAACTCGTCCATCTTGTACTTCAGAGATCTTCGATACTTCTCAACAGGGATCATTCACACCACTCGAAATCCAGCAGGGGTGTATCGGTCAAACGCACAATCTACATCGTCCTAACTGTTCCTGCTCCAGCTGATGGACCTCCTTCCATCGCTCTCGATTCTCTAGAGTCTAATCATCATCGTCCTCGTCCTCGTCCTCGTCCTCCGCATCCTCCTCCTCCTCCGCATCCTCATCTTGCTCCCATTGTGCTCTTGAGCATAGCTCCTCTGTCTCAATCTCCGGTCCGAAGTCCACCCCTCCTTCTCTCGAACCAATATCCGTGTGGTACCCTCCATGCTTGCACAAGCTCTGCGCGACAGTCAGAGTCTTCAAATTCCCCCAAGTCATTCCAATAAAAAAGCTGATAGTGGACCACTCCGTGTTCCAACAAAAGTATGAAAGTACCCCCTACCCCTCACAGATAATATGACCCCACCCTCTCATAGTTCTGCGTTAGTACCATTCGAATGCAGCGACTAGGTCGGAAAGAGGGTGGGGTTGGTTAGTTCTGCGTTTTTAGTGATTGAACTTTGAAGTACAATTTTCCTGCTCAAAATTTTTATTATTGTGATGGCATTTAAATAATTTGTAAAACTGGGACAGTAACGGCCAAACTAAATAAATAGCGTTGAGTGAAACTGACTCAGTACAAATCTCCACCCCCACCCCCCCAAATTTCGCCATCCGACATCCGAGCGATCCGAATCGCCGGAACTGGAAAGGAAAAAAAAAGTCAAACAGACTGTCGGCAGAACTGGCGGCCCGGGCCTGGCCGCCGGGGCCGCGCAACATCAAGTTGAAGGCCCGGGTCCCGGCCCCCCTCTGGGCCTTGAAGTTAAAACGGTCCCGCAGCCGCCGCCACTCAGTCATCATCATGGCAATGCCATGATGTGCTCTCAAGCCATGATTTTACAGTGACTGAACCGCCGGCCGAAGTTGCCAACGTGACTCGGTGACGTGCGGCCTCAGCCTGAGTAGTACGGCCCGTGGCCAGTGGCATGAGACTCACTGCGGCCAACCCGTGAACTGGCAACAGCCGCTGAGCTACTGCGCCGGCTGCTAGCCTAGTAGGCCTGGAGCTCAACCTCCGGCCAACCGTGAACTGGCAACGGTCCAGTCCGAAACTTCTGACTGAGGCCCGGCCCGGATGAATGACTCCCGGAGTCCGGAGGCCGGGGGGGCCCGGATGAAATACTACCGGGTGCTCAGTCACTTGCAATTTGGGGGTCTAGGTAGATGGACCGGTACAAGGTAGGGCAAATGACCGTCATAATGGATGGTGGGGTGTAAGTAATAAACTTCGAACCGGGGGACAACGAACAAGAAGACCCGCAATGGAGCCATAATAGAGATGATGATCAGACTGTTAAGTTTATGGGCCATGATGATGGCCTGTGAGGTCTTCGTAGGAGCCCAGAGGAGCCAAGAGAAGGCAGCAGCTCCATCTCTGATATCAGAAGCTTCTTCTCGCCGAATATGGGAGCATGTCGAACACCTCAAGGATGCCCATCAAACGCTACTGAAAGGTTCTGAACTACGGAAGAGTGGAGGAAAGTCTTCGGGCTCTGGATCCTCCTCCAGCAGCTCCGGCAAGTCTTCCAGCAGCTCTGGGTCCTCCTCCAGCACCTCAGGGAAGTCCTCAAGTGGCTGGGGCAAGTCAAGCTTCTCCAAGACATACTATTATGGCTCGGCTGGGTGTGAATCTTGTAATGTGCAGTCGTCTGAAGGTGACCTCTGAGCAGGCTCGCATACAGCGCGGTGGTGGTGGGCTCCAAGTCAGTGTCTCCGAGAGGCACCTTCACGCAGAAGAGCTCGTCCACGACTCGTACATACTACAACGGCGCTACTTTCACGGCCAAGGCACCTTCATGGTACAACTCCCCCCGTCCACGCTCCCGTATCCGCCCGTACTATATCGTCCCTATCTATGCACTGCAGCATGGGCAGGTAGTGCCGAGTTGCAATACAGGCTACTTTCGCTTCGGGTCGGATTGTCGTCCTTGCTCCAGTGATCCATGTCCTGTAGGGCAATACAGGTAAGCAGCGAGGTGGTTTGATACGCCGTGGCTTTGACGTTGCCGGCGGCAGGATTCCATGTACAGAGGGGACCAACTCCTACTGTACTCTCTGTACGAACAAGCCCAACACCTCTGACCTCGTGTATTACACGCCCGGGAACGACAATGACTGTCTGTACATGTCTTGTAACGAAGATCTCTGTCCGTCGTACACGTCCAACGAGCCGGTCAACATCAGCTTCATACTTGAGTTTCCCGTGTCACAGAGCGACTTCCAAGCATCGCAGACACGCATCACAGACACGCTGTCTGGCGTGGGGAGTGTGCCCAGGTCTGCGGTGTCGGTGACGTCGGCATCAGGGGTCTCAGGATCCTTGTCGGCCGGGTCGACGAGGAGCGTGAAGGCTGGGCGGGGAGAGGGCAGAGGACCTGCTGTAGTACTTGGACATGGGAGACATCTCCTTCAGTCGGAGACAAACCAATCATCAACGCCTTCCAATCCTGAGTTTGCAACTGGTACCCAGTCTACTACCCCTTCACCAGAGACTTCCAGTGCTGGATCGACAGGGACCTCAGCAGGTGTGTAAGGGATGAGATGTGACATGCTGGTTGGAGGAGCTCCACAGGGAGAGAAGGCATCGTCGGGGCTAACGCTGACGATGATGCGCAGAGTACACGACGACTCCCTTGCCTTCTGGAGGCGGCGAGGACCTGGGCTGTCAAGTCGCGGTGCCGAAGTCGAGTGCAACGGCGGTACGAGCGACCATCGAAATCGCTACAGGTGAGGCTTAAGAGGAGAGGGAAAACCCTCAGGTCTCGGCAAAGTAGCCGCTTGAACATGATATCGACTGGCAGATCTGATGCAGTTGGATCAAGTCTGGAGCCGGTCAGAGACTCTCTTGCACGCGAGAGTCGGGTGTGGAAATGACCATGCAGGGGCTTTGCAGGCTAAACGAGTACGACGTCAATGTCGGGCTGTCTGAAAGGTGTCTGCCTCCGAGCATCATGGTCTACTTCAGCTCAGCGACGTAAGTCTATGACTATGAATGTGGCTAGATACAACTGTGTGTCTGACAGCCTTGCAGGGGGTACGGGGCAGGATACAGTCTGATACTGGGAGCGGCGGTGGCTGGGATGGCGACGCTATTGATGCTCAGGGGATAGATTCACCGAGCCTGCGGCGAATCAGACGGTCAGCAGCGGAGTCCCCGATCATGATTCAGTGTTTAGCCTGGCATTGTCTCGGGCCTCCTTGCGGCTCGTCACTGCGGCCGCCGTGCGGAAGTTCAGTGACGGACCGGCCGGGCCGCGCACCGTGCGGGGTGACAGTGCGGCAGTCGTGACCAAGTCGTGGCTGGCCGTGACTCACGGACTCGCCTCGGCCCATAGGGATTGGAACATACCAAGATAACTTCATTGCCGCGCGCAGTTTATGTACATATACTCTGAGGGGAACTCGTTTGTTTACCCTTGTCATAGTAGACCATCTGATGAGTAAAACCTTACTCATGGCTGAGAAGAGAGGGGAGAGGGATGGAGCGGCTGGGAAGTGGGGGAATGGCAAGGGAGGAGGGAGGCGGAGCGAGGAGGAAGGGAAGGAGCGGGAGAGCAGGGGGCAAGATAAGAGGTAGGAAGGAGAGGAGGAACTGAGAGGGAGAGACATAGCTCAAACGATGACGAGGAGAAGGTTTAATGTGCATTGAATTTGGATGACTGAGTAGAGGTATGAGGGAATCGGAGGTAAGAGAATGAAGGGATGGAAGGGGATGGATAGATAGAACAACGGCAACATAGCAAGTGAGGACAATGACAAGAAACAGAACGAGTGGTCTATATTGATCAAAATATTTCGGCTAACTTCAATCATTTTATTTCATTACGTAGGTCATGGCGGCAATGAGTGGAGCGCTTGTAATGGGAGGTGAACTTCGAAAAGTTGCATACACTCGCTGATGCTGAGGAAACAGAGGACGATGACTCTCAAATCGCTCAGAGCTTTGCTGGAAGCGAGGGAATGCCCGAAGGGTCCAGAGGAAAGGGTATGTGCTATACGAGGCAGGTGGATGAAATTGAAGCCTCTGGCTCTGCAGGTTCTTTTGAGCTGCCCAAGAGATGCGAGAGGTGCAAGCGTGCAAAGAAGGGAGCGCAATATTGCTTTGATGCGGTACAGAGATCTTGCCATGCTGTCATCCGTTAAAATTTGCTGTCTCAGGGCCACCACCTTAACCCCGGCGATCCTCGCCCTGTGAAGGCAAAACGAACCCAACCACCGACGTCAGGAAACTCAACTGGTTTGAGCTTAGATGCCTTGGCTCCTCCCTGACGGCTCAAATTTCAGCCACACCTAAGAAAGTGAAGCTTACAGCAAGCCCTCCCTTGACTGCATGTTGGACAAGCTTCTCAGACTTGCACGTGCTGAATCTTGCCGTTAGCAGCAGTGCAGTCGATGGATATTGCGGAACAAGCTTTGGAGCCAAACCAGGACCTTCTCGAAGTTTCCAAGACAGCAGGAGCAGGACAAGGAGCGTTGGCGGAGAATGACGAAGGTGAATTCGATGTCTCTTGTTCGAAATCTTCTTCCCGACTGTTGTCCCGATCAGGTGAGAACGGCGAGATGTCAAACGCAACTTTCGACCCGAAGAAGAGGCCGAGGCATTGGGCTAGGCGAGCTGTTCCCATCCAACTGATAGGAGGAGAGGTTTGTCCCTCTAATTTGCTACCTTTGCTTTCCATGTCTTTGGGTATATGACTTGCGAGATTGTAACATGTGAATCAGGAAATTCATATCATGAAGTGGGTCACCGACACAGCTCGAAAGGTTCTAAGAAGAGAGGTTCTTGTGTTTTTGTGACTTCTCGAGCGTAGCTTTCCTCCAAAGAAGAAAGCTTCACCTCTGCCGAAGCGCAAGAAGCGTTGAAACGCAAGGCTGCATTAGCCCAGGGACGCAAGCTGTTAGATACAACTCTTCTTCTCGGTGGGTGGATTGATTTATTGTTCAAGGTTTACGTGCTCTTGGCCGAACTGTGCGAAGTCCTTCTTCGAGAGCTCGAGGTTGAAGCGGCACATGCTTGTTCACACAGGTTGGAAGAGCGGTTGTTTTTCCTCCAGCAAGTGAGAAATTTCTTCGCAGGTGAACGACCGTTCAAATGCCCTGTCGAAGGATGCGGCAAATCGTTCTCGTTGGACTTCAACCTCAGGTAGGATTTATCTTGCTACTGGCTCACTTTCTTTGCCGTTTCCTACATCTCTCTCCTCCTCTGCCTCGTTTCCTGCTCTTTCTGTTTCTGCATTTCCTGTCATGACTCTGAATGACAGGTCTCACTTGCGTGCCATCCACGGCCATTCCTACGCTTCGGCATGGCAGGTTTGCGATGCATTCATGAGGCTGCAAGAGCTGCCGTGTGGCCTGCCAGTGCTGACAGCTGCACAGACCTGCAAAGCTGCGGGAACTGGGACGAACCCCAAGGACGACAAGGGCAGCCTCGGGCCTGGAGGTTCTATGGAAGCAGGCATGGACGGGGAGGAGGCAGGAATGGAGTAGAGGCTTGCTATCTGTACAATAAACGTGAGCTCACCTCAGAGACGAATAAGAAGACACCAGCAGAGAGACTCAAGTTTCTAGCGAGTTCTTGGGGGCAGCAAAGGTCTCGTTCCACAAAGTTTTTAGAGGGAGAGAGAGGGGGAGAGAAGGCGAGAGGAGAAGGCGTGAGGAGAAGGCGTGAGGAGAAGGCGTGAGGGAGGGTCAAGGCGCCAGGGAACAAGCAGGAAGCGAGCCAGAGCTGCGAGTAACAAGGGGAGGAAAGGCGCTCAACCCGAGAATCTGGGATCAGACCTGCACAGGATGGAGGGGGAACCTGGCTCAGGCACGCTGAACGCGGAAGGGAAAAGTGGAGCTGAAAGCTCAAGGAAGGGAAGGGGGAGGAAGCGATTGGCAAAGGTGAGCCCCACGTGTCCTCGTCCTCCACTCAAACCACGTCAGGTTGACAGCAATGAACTTCTGCGGGAGCTCAAGGTGATGCTGCTCCTGCTCCTGCTCCTGCTCCTGCTCCTGCTCCTGCTCCTGCTCCTGCTCCTACTCCTTCTACTCCTGCTCCTGCTCCTGCTCCTTCTACTCCTGCATCTTATCTTGATCCTCCTCGTCATCGTCCTCTTCCTCTTTACTGGGGCTCAGCCATGTTCAATGCAGGGCTGGGGCGACCTTGAAAATCTCGAAGAGAAGATCAGAAACTTCAACTTAGCTGGCGTTATTGATCAGTTTCATCGGACGAAGGAGGAGACTTCGCAGCACTGCAAGGACCTCTGCAAGTTTGTGTTCGACAACTCCAAGCTTGCTGGCTCCAGCATGGTCGACATCTTCTCCAAGGACTTGTGGGGATCGTTGCCTGCGGACTGGAGGGAGGAGCTTGAGGAGCTGCAGGAGGAGGAGGTATCAAATCTCTCCACAGGAGAGCTTGACAAGAAGTGGAAGAGCGCAAGTTTGAGAGAGTTCGTGCGATCATCTTACACGTTGGATCTTGATCGCAAGAACGCGGTCAATGCGGCAGAGATGCTTCGTTGCAAGCTCCCACTGATTGCGATGTCAGAGAAGAAGGCACATGAGGTAACGTTGAGCTGCAAGCAGCTGAAGAGCAAGTGATGAGCGAGCAGGTCGAGGTCTTGTCACTTGTGGTCACGAAACTTGCAAGTCAGGTGAATGTTCTCTTCTGCTGTTCTTCCTTGTTCTCAGCAAAGGCTCGGCAGTTTGAAATCTCTTGGACCATTGATCTCGGTAGTGGAAAGGTACAGAATATCACCTCTTAAACTCCTGATCTTCATCTCCCCCTCCTGTACAGTTCTTCTCTCCCTTTCCCAACTCCTCTCCACTCTCTCTTCCCTTCCCTCCCCTCCTCCTCGTCTCATTCCCTACTCTTCTCCTCCCTTCTTCTTTCTCACATCTCTTCAGGGTTATCTCAGCGAGGCTCTAGCGATAGGATGCGGACTGAAGGTACTAGGCATCGACGCGTCTGCAGTCAACACCAACGGTAAGGAGCAAAGTTCCGAGCACTCGTGAGCATGCTACAGGTGCCCTCAAGAGACAATCTTTGGTTACAAGACTGACGGGGCGGAGGCAAAGAGAGGAGGAAGAGGAGGGGAAAGTCGCAGGATCGGAACAGAAGAAGAATGGGGACCGAGGAATCTTTATTCCAGTAACAGGAAGAATGCAGTTGGAGGTAATACAAGAAGACCCTCTTCGACTGATTTTCCTTCTCCTCCAGATTCCTCACCTCAGCCTCTCGTTCTCTTTCCCTCCCACATTGATGCTTGCGAGCCCCTCCCTCTCAAGCTTCCACTTCTTCTGTCGAAACACATATGCCGAAAGCTTGTGTCAGGCATATTCGCTTCTTCCCTGATCGATGAGCCTCGTCCTCCTCTGCTTCCTGACCCCCAAGTGATCCATTACTGATCGGTTTGATACTCCAGGATGCAGACAGTTTCCTGACCTTCCTGGGCGACAAGTCTGGACAAAATTTCAACGTGACTGATAGAGAGGTTCGTGGTGGTTGCCATGCTTACCGAGGGCCTTCATTGGACAGGAAGACGACAAATTGATGCTTGTAGGGCTTCACACTTGCGGAGACCTTGCGAGCACAGGTCAAATCTCATTGAGATAGTACTCCATTCATTCTCCCACGCAATGGATTGTCTTATTTCTCCTTCTCACTGAATTCCTTCCTTCCCTTCGCCTTTGCTCTTGCCCTCTCCCCTCTCTCTCTCCCCCCCCCCTCCTCTCTCCCCCCTCTCTCTCTCCCTCCCTCCCTCCCTCCCTGCTTTCTCTCCCCCTGGTCCTCTTCTGTTCGTTTTCACATCATTTGTTCTTCGTCTCCACCTTTCTCTCTATCTCCCCGCATCCTCCAGTCTGTTCTCGGACATGATTCTCTTTCTCAGCTCTCCGGGCGTTCCTTAAGTGGAGAAACGTCAAGTGTCTTTGCACAGTTGGTTGCTGTTACAACCTTCTCTCGGAGGTAAGTTTTGTTAGTCTTGCAAGCTCTTCTCAGCTCCTGGTCCTGCTCTCCCCTTTCAGCGCTACAGACCGCCGGAAGATGAAGACTCGGGTATTGCTACCTCCCGTATTGTCCTCATTCATCTGCTGATCATCCACAAGCTCTCAACGAACCGGGACAAGACTTTGGTTTTCCTCTCAGCTCATTCGTTCGTGAACATGTTGAGGTTGAGTTTTGCTCAAGTATCTCCTCGGCTGACGCTGGTTGTAGAGAGTGAAGGAGGAGGGAGGAGAGATGAGAGCAGTTCTTGGAAGAAACGTCTTTAACCTCGCAGCAAACACCAATCAGGTCGACTTGTTGCACGAAAACCACTTGTTTGTATACGAGTCTTCAATGCCTCTGTCTCGTTGATCCTTGCGATTCATCCTCACTTTTCTCCCAGCGAGTGCCACATGGTCCTTTGCACGATTCGGAGGTGAACAACATGTTTCGAGCTGCGTTTCAGGTTTCTTCCTCTACTTCTGTCTGACATCTCCATGCTACATCATCTCCCTTGATCTTGTCGATCTCATAGCTCTTATATGCGAGCTCAGCTCCTTGAAACATCGTCTTTCCTGTCCTCTCCCTTGTCGTCCATTCGGCCCCCTTCAGAGGCTTTTTCTGCCTGGTTTCACTTCTCCTCAGGTTCTTTGGATTCAAAAACTTAAAGCTTTGGCTCCTGCGCATCTCCAACACGACAAAGTTCGCTTTTTCCTGTACTGCGATGATATGATTGAAGAGCAGGTTGTAGTGGGTAAAATAGCATCGAAGAGCAAAGATTTCGAGGTGGGAGAGGAGGAGATGAGGAGGAACAGGATGGGAGGCGACGGAGATCAGTGTTGTGAGTTGTTGTGCAGGACTACTGCATGAGAGCTCTTTCTCGTCTAGATATTGATCCCTCAAGCGTATGGACTGTGATTGTTGACCTTGTTCACATTGTTGACCTTGGTTGCAGTTAAGCAAACTTGAAATAGAGGAATGTTACGCCAATTGCCTTGCCAGGTTTGCATTCTCATGAGTTCTCAGAGCATCACGAATGAAACATCTCACCTACAAGTATCTGATCATCGTATTTGTTTCTGTGAACAGATTGCATGAATTTCGAAGGCTGGGTGCATTAAGAGCTATTCTTGCAAGGTAGCGTGATGGTGGTGGTGACGGTGATGATAGTATTGATGAGAAGACACATATAATGCCGATTATGATGACGACAAAGATAATCATGAAGATGAAGTTGGTGGTGGTTGTGATGATGATGAGATATTGATTAAGTTATGGTTATTGTTATTGTTTCTGTTGTTGTTATTGTTCTTGTTGTTGTGTTGACGATGACATTGGTTATGATGGAGTTGGTGGTTTTGGTATTCATCGAACGCATCAGATGCATCGAGAGCATGGTGTTGATCGATCGGTTGTGCTTCCTACAGGAAGAGGATCAAGAGACTCGTGCGGCGATTGTAAGAGGAGGAGGGGGAGGGGGAGGGAGAGGGAGAGGGAGAGGGGGAGGGAGAGGGGGAGGGAGAGGAGGTGACGGTCTGCTGACGTTTGCGGAAGGTGCCTCTGTTTGATCCATCGCTCTCTCCGAGAAGTTTTGCCATCATTGCACATCGTGTTGAGAAAGCGTAAATGAAGGAGGTGCCGTCTCATAGGAAGAGAGAGATAAGTGTTGTCATCATTGATATCAATCAGAATCAGAGAAATCATCGTCCTCAACACCCCCACCACTTACTCCTGTTCCTCCCCCTCCTCCTCGGTACCTGCGTCTGCTTCAGTGGCATTTCTACCTCAATTCATATGAAGTGTCGCCATCCTCTCTCAAAATCCAAACCTCCTTTCTTCCCCAACCCCGACAGTACCCCAGGAGCTGCTATTACTCCTTCTCTCGTCCCGTTCCTCCTCCCCCTATTCCTCCTCTTCATCATTCTACAACTCCTTCTATCCCCCGCTTCCTCCTCCCCGGCACCGCGCTTCCTCCTCACCGTATGCCACGTACACGGAAAGACATATCTGCTTGCTTCCATCCGCTGTCGAAAAACTGACAGATGAAGTCAAGCGGAGAAAGACGCAAATCTACTCACTTGCTGCAGGAACTTGATCTTGACAAGTTTGCGCTCTCCTGATGTTGACACGATCTCTATTCTGTTACCACCAGAAGCTTGGTCAATATCACAATCATCAAACTTTCATTCTTTCACCACAACAACAACCAGCACTAACAGCAAAACAAAAAAGCATACCCCTCAACTCCCACCACCTTGTCCTCGTCTTCCTCCTTACAATGATCACCACCACCATCCCAATCATCGTCACCATCATCGTCATCATCATCGTCACCACCACCACCACTACCATCATCATCTCCATCATCATCATCACCATCATCTCCATCATCATCGTCACCATCATCATCGTCACCATCTGCATCTGCATCTGCATCTACATCTGCATCTGCATCTGCATCTACATCATCATCATCATCATCATCATCATCATCATCATCATCATCATCATCATCATCATCATCATCATCATCATCATCATCATCATCATCATCATCATCATCATCATCATCATCATCGGTTTTTTTTATCACTCTGGGACTCTCACTTGTCGTTAAGACCGAACTTGACAACCTTCGCATCCCTGGAGGGCTGATCTTCCTCCTGCCCTTCCCCTTCATTCTGCACCTTGCTCGTGAACTCATCGTCTCTCGATTGTTAAGACGAGCATACAAACTCTTCGAGGAAACGATTGCGACGCGGAATCGGCATGTTTCTCATCTCAGCTTCCACTTGCTCCATCCTCAGGTCACCATCTTCAACCCAACACTCACTTCCTTCAGGTCATTTCAGCGGCTGACTTACCGATGGGTTGGAAGTTGTTGAAGACGGAGTATGCACTCCCCTGCCCTTCTTGGCGTCTTCCAAGGTTGGTGAAAATCACAACAAAGCAGAGGAGGATGAAGTAGACTGCAGCAAATCCAATCTTAGCTGCTGCATACCACCTGCAAGAACATGCGTCAGCACGCTCTCGACGCCTCAAGGTCGTTTACAAGCTCAGGGCAACAGCCAGCATCGACCACTGCAGGAAACTAGCCTTCTTCATCATCAAGAACGACCATCTTGCGAGGATGCGCAGGCTGCAAACTTGAAACCAAACATACTTGATCATCGCTAGCAGCGATTTCCATTTCCTCCTCCCTTGGAAACGCACATACTGCACGAAGGGAATGTCGTTGTGCCTTCCAGATCGATGGCAGACTTTGAGGAGGAGGAGGAGGAGGAGGGCGGGAGAAAGAGCCAGAGACGTCAGAGGATATAGCTTGCAGCACGAGATGATTGGGTCGAGCATGAGCATGACATACTTCCAGGCGTCGATCCTGAAGTCCTCCTCGTTTGTTTGCCAGTCGTTGGGATCCCCCCGCATGCTGCTCCATCTCGCTCTTGCTGACTTCCTCCCTCTCTTCTCGTCTGTTTCGAGGATCCTCGCGACTAAGTCTCGCTTGTCCCTGCACCTGAGGGATGTCACATAAGCAGCAATAGGGAAACATGTTCAACCCCTCGCACTTCACCCCGCGGTCGTCCAGGATCTTGCGAAGTTTGCTGGGCCGCAACTTAGAGAGCTCCTCCTCTCTCGTCTGAGAAAGAACAGACGAGAGAAAGAGGAGGAAGAGGAGGAGAGGAAGCGCATGTCGCACCATGGCCGAACCCCCCGCCATCACGGTTGGACAAGGGGCAGTGTTTGCTCTGCCGCCATGGGGGCCAACAAAATCAGCCCGCCTCAGAGCATGTTTGTTCAAGCTATGTCAAACTGATCTTGACTGCGGCGCACTTGAAGGCGATGGGTGCTGGGATGGTGAAGATGCGGAGGAACCAGCGTGAGGAGGAGATGATGGAGCAGGTGATGATGATGATGATGATGATGAGGAGGAGGAGGAGGAGGAGGACAAGGCGGGCAGGGGAGGATGCAAGGAGCAAAGTGAAAACTGGGAGTCGCAGGTACGGGAACAGCAGGCTCAAAGGGAAACATGGCTCTCCAAGTTCAAGAACACTTCTGCTAAGCTCGTTCAAGATCCAGATTCTTTACTTCACGGTCGTTATGTAGTAGAGGAAAGACTGATCGCTGTATGTTGGCCCTGCTGATTCCCATCGACCAGATCGAGTTCAAAGACTTCTTTCATTTCGAGTACCTGCTGTGTCCAAGGTGAGGCTCGCTTTCTCAAAGAGCTGCTCCATCACACATGATCCACTCGGTGCCAGGCGGTTGCTGCTGCTAGAGAGTGACGGCCAGATGTCTCAAGTTCAACGCAACGAGTTGAAGAGAGCTGTAAGAAGCTCCCGATAGCACCAGGCTCTTGTACTAACTTGCGTGCTCTTCAGATTCCTGGGAAAGTGATCCTCAGCTGGCCGGAGACGTGTGAACGAGTTAAGAATCAAGATAAGAGTGGTGCAGAGGTCTCATTGACGACGTCCAGTATCTTGATCTGAATCGGTTGTTCAGCTCAAGACGTACATTGAAACCTCGCTAGATGATGCGGTAGTAGACAAGAGAGCATTTTCAGAGCACCTCTTCACGTGCAAGATCATTTCCCCTTCGGACTGGAAAGCTGTAATCTTAGTCTTGATGCTATAGAGCCGTAATTCAAACAAGAGAGATGAGCTGATGAAGGAATTCGAGTCAACAGTTGCGCTCCAGCAAGATCTGGAGCGATCGAAGGTGAATGTTATCTTTATCTTTGACATTCTTTGTGCTGCTGGTTTCAATTTGACTTTTTTGGATAGATGGCAGTCAATCTCCAAAAGAAGAAAAAGGATGTAGACCCAAAACTCAATAACCTTCTGGATGGTTGAATTGTTGAATCCTGAAATGCAGAAATCCAAGACTGTTCCCGATGACAAGCTCATCAATGAAGGAGTCAGTAAACAGACGAAACGTGGTGACTCTAATGTGTTGGATTGACACCGTCCTTGCAGAAGATTTCTGTTCGACAGTACATCGAAATTATCGCGAAATGGAGAATGTCTAGGGTAATTGAGTACATCTTACAAATTATTTTATGTGACATTCAGAACCAGTATCACGAATGGCCATACAAGGACCGCAAAGAATATGGTTCCAGCACGATTGGAGAGATCGTAAGCAATCAGAACACGCATCTTTTCAATCCTTCAGTTTATGTGCGATGAACAGTTACAGAAACTGAAGGCGCAGTTTCGAAAGACTTACGGTTTGCGAACCACGTCAACTTTCATATGCAGGTATTTCATTCCAATGTCGAATGATTGTTGAAGGATTGCAGTGTTTCAGAAGACCGATGGCTGATGACAAGGCATCCTTTACAAGAGGTTTTGATAGATCTGAAGTGCCAAGAAATCAAGGTGCAGCATGGCTACCTATTCCGTTTGCTAATCTGAGCTTTCCAAGCCTTTGTTCGACAACGTTCGTGTTCAGTTTGAAGCAGAACAAGAGTTACGTGCATCACAAGCACTCACATTCGTACCGTAAGTAAATGCACTAGTTTGTAGGAAAAAGAGCTCAATGCCCAACCAGGTGGCTCCGAGACGAACTAATGGTCATCACCGCACGAGCCCGTTCAAAATGAAATTATAAGAATAATCTCCATCGGACTGCTGCTTCGCGTTTCCTTCTTCTTGCTGCCGTGACAGCGATATCGTCCTCAGATTTGTCATGGAAACTGCTCTTCGAGCTATTTGATGTTACAGTCAAGTTTGTGATGTTGCCTGCATAGCTCCTATCACTCTGATGAATGGAATTTTCATGACTTGTTATGTTGTGGGTTGCAGTACATTGCGATTGGAGCTGAAGGGATGCCCTTAATGACCGAATTACAGTTTTGCATTCCTGCAATTCTAAATGAGCATAGTCGAGACGAAATTCTAAGTTTTCAATCCGACCAATTGAGATTTGGTTCATTTTCGAACTCTGGCTCATGTTCGCGATGCACTCTTTCATTATGGAATCGTCACGTCTTGATCTAGAAGGAGCTCGAATGGATACAACTCTTTTATGAGCAGGAACGCAATGATTCTGAGTAAAATGTCTGTTGTAATGCATGTAGTCGAAATTCAAAAAGAGTACAAGAGTGGACAAAGTAACCAGAGCGAAGATCCAAATTTGAGTCAAAATATGTCTGCAGTTTCTGGATTCGGAAAGATCTGTTGAAATCTCATATTCTCTTGATTGCTTTATTTCGATGATGTTGTCGGATATCTCTTTGCTTTGAATCATCAAAGGGGTTTGACCTTCAACCGTTGTTCCAGGTTTTGATCCTTCTTCTAAGAATTCCTGGACATGTTCCACATTTTCGATAACTCCAAGTGCTTGAGATAGACATTCACCGTAATTATGAGTTTCAGAGATCTCTGATGCTGTTCGAGAATTTGATTTGGTGCCCTTTACTGCCTCTATTTCTTCGAAATCCAAGTTTTCGGAGGTTTCTGCTAAGTCATGAGCAAGATGTGGAATATCCATTATCAAAGTTTCTGCGAAGTACGAATCATCTACCTGTTCAAAAATATTGATAAGATCCAATTGATCAGGGCATTTCAAAATTTCCAAAGCTTCTTGTGCATATGCTTTCATGGCGTAACATTTTTGAAGTACCTTCGAAAATGTGTTTCCTGATTTGCTTCGAAAATAATTATTCTCACGAATGGCCACATCAAGAGCGTGCTGAGCGAAAGATTTCGCTTGTAGAGCAGCAATTGTGGTTTCTCTTGCTTCTTCAGCATCCCTTTCCGATTCTTTTATCTTGCTGAGGTTTTCTTCAATATCTGATTTCATTTCTGATAATTGTCTCTGGTAATTTTCTATCTCTTTCATGAATATATTGTTGCTGCGGTCAGAATATTCGAGAGCCTGCTTCAAGGTTGCAATCTGATCATGAAGATCTCTGCTATTTGCATGTCCATCTTGGATTTCAATGTCCTGAACACCGAAATTTGATGAGCCACGCATGCCCTGAGTATTTTGCGTTTTGAATCTCATTTCTAATGAGTCTTTCTGGGACTGCACTGAACAAATTATTGATTCCTTTGATCTGATGGTGGCGTCTCGCTGTTGTATAATCCCTTGAAGGTGTTGAATCTCCTGCTCTTTGACAGTAGATTCATTTTCAAACGCCAGTCGAAGTTCTTCCAATTCCTGAAACAAACTTGCAGCTTCTGTCTGACTATCTTCCAACTGAGCCTCCAAGAACGAAGCATATTCCTCTGATTCTTGGGTTTGGGAACGAAGTTTGCTCCTCAAATCCTCAAAAGATCTACTCAAGTCATTCATGCAGACCTTAAATTCAATCATCTCAGAGGAAATAATTCTTGTTATGCTGACGAAATCATGAAATGTTCCAAGTAAGGAAGCATCCGAAAAAAAGCCATGAACATCTACAAGATTCCGTCTCTCACACACCATCCTATTCTCCTCCAGCTTCTGCCCAACCTCCGAATACAACGCCCGCGAAGCCTTCAACCCCGCCCCAAGCCTTACTCGATCTAACACACGTACATCTGCTTGCCCCATCACATGTCCATCTTCTTGGCACCGCGTGTCCTCAAGCTCCCGCCCGAGCCCCTCCTGCGCCTCCCGCAGCCCGTCCCTCTCTGTCCCAAGTGCGCTCCTCTCCTGTAGCAGTGCCTGCTCTTGCGCCGCGTACTCTGCCGACGCCTCCAGCCCCGCCGCCCGAGCCGCCTCAAGCTCCCGCTCCAGCAGCTCCGCGTACTCCGCCGCCTCCATAGCTTGCGCCTCTGCTTTCCTCCGCATGTCCTCAAGCTCCCGCCCGAGCCCCTCCTGCGCCTCCCGCAGCCCGTCCCTCTCCGCCTCAAGTGCGCTCCTCTCCTGTAGCAGTGCCTGCTCTTGCGCCGCGTACTCTGCCGACGCCTCCAGCCCCGCCGCCCGAGCCGCCTCAAGCTCCCGCTCCAGCAGCTCCGCGTACTCCGCCGCCTCCATAGCTTGCGCCTCTGCTTTCCTCCGCATGTCCTCAAGCTCCCGCCCGAGCCCCTCCTGCGCCTCCCGCAGCCCGTCCCTCTCCGCCTCCAGCGCCCGGATCGACCCCTCCAGATCCCTTTGCTTGTTCTGCTCTGATCGCATCATCGCCTCTACTGTACCGATCTCCTCCTCCAGCTTCCCGGCCTGTGCCTTGATCGCCTCCATGGCCTTCCGCTGCGCCTCCTGCAATGCCCCGACCTCTTGCCGGGCCGTCGCTGACAGGCCCTCTCGCTCGGCTCTCCAGCGAGCCTCAGTCTGCTCCCTGGAGTGACGCGCGGCATCTAGCCTAGCTTCAGCCTCCAGCGCCCTACGCGAGAGAATGTCCTCTTGAGCCGCGTACTCTGCCGACGCCTCCAGCCCCGCCGCCCGAGCCGCCTCAAGCTCCCGCTCCAGCAGCTCCGCGTACTCCGCCGCCTCCTTGGACTGCTTCGCCAAGCGGGCTTGCACCGCCTCAAGCTCCCGCCCGAGCCCCTCCTGCGCCTCCCGCAGCCCGTCCCTCTCCGCCTCAAGCGCCCGGATCGACCCCTCCAGATCCCTTCGCTTGTTCTGCTCTGATCTCATCATCGCCTCTACTGTACCGATCTCCTCCTCCAGCTTCCCGGCCTGTGCCTTGATGGCCTCCATGGCCTTCCGCTGCGCCTCCTGCAAAGCCCCGACCTCTTGCCGGGCCGTCGCTGACAGGCCCTCTCGCTCGGCTCTCCAGCGAGCCTCGGCCTGCTCCCTGGAGTGACGCGCGGCATCTAGCCTAGCTTCAGCCTCCAGCGCCCTACGCAAGAGAATGTCCTCCTGAGCCGCGTACTCTGCCGACGCCTCCAGCCCCGCCGCCCGAGCCGCCTCAAGCTCCCGCTCCAGCAGCTCGCGTACTCCGCCGCCTCCTTGGACTGCTTCGCCAAGCGGGCTTGCACCGCCTCAAGCTCCCGCCCGAGCCCCTCCTGCGCCTCCCGCAGCCCGTCCCTCTCCGCCTCCAGCGCCCGTAGCGCTGCCTCTAGCTCTGCCCGTCCCCGCCGCTCCTCCGCAAGCGCCTGCTCTTGCGCCGCGTGCTCTGCCGACGCCTCCAGCCCCCGCCGCCCCGAGCCGCCTCAAGCTCCCGCTCCAGCAGCTCCGCGTACTCCGCCGCCTCCTTGGACTGCTTCGCCAAGCGGGCTTGCACCGCCTCAAGCTCCCGCCCGAGCCCCTCCTGCGCCTCCCGCAGCCCGTCCCTCTCCGCCTCAAGTGCACCATTCTCCTGTAGCAGTGCCTGCTCTTGCGCCGCGTACTCTGCCGACGCCTCCAGCCCCGCCGCCCGAGCCGCCTCAAGCTCCCGCTCCAGCAGCTCCGCGTACTCCGCCGCCTCCTTGGACTGCTTCGCCAAGCGGGCTTGCACCGCCTCAAGCTCCCGCCCGAGCCCCTCCTGCGCCTCCCGCAGCCCGTCCCTCTCCGCCTCCAGCGCCCGGATCGACCCCTCCAGATTCCTTCGCTTGTTCTGCTCTGATCTCATCATCGCCTCTACTGTACCGATCTCCTCCTCCAGCTTCCCGGTCTGTGTCTTGATCGCCTCCATGGCCTTCTGCTTAGCCTCCTGCAAAGCCCCGACCTCTTGCCGGGCCGTCGCTGACAGGCC